CCACTTATCTGCGCAGTCGATCGGGAGCGCTCAAAAGCACGTCCATCCACCGTGACAGTCCGAACCAAAGCTAAACAACGAGCGCGCCCCCTCGTGGTGGTGCACAGAAGGGTGACACCTGCGGCGGCGCAGTTTGGAAACTGAAAGAAGAATCTAGTAACGTTGCTTGCACTCACGTCAGCATGTAAAAACAAAGTGTTTGAAACAACTTTCCTTGTAGGTAGTTGTGGCAAAAGCACCTGGTAATCCATAGAATCCTTGACAGTTGCCCTGATACCACGGCCCGGTTGGGCAGCTGAACCCCCCCCCCCCCCCGGTCGATAAATGAGCACACGTCACACAAATGAGCACACGTTTGCTCGCTTTGGAGGCCGGAAGTCGTTGAGGCTCTTATCACCTCTTATCAGGGGTGATAAGAGCCTCAACTTTTTTCGCTGGTTTTGGTCATGCATTGCGTGGAAGCCAACTTCTCAAGGTGCTTTTTAGCTCGGTACAAACGTACAGTACGCCACGTGACGTCAGACAAAAGATGGCCCTTATCAGGGGTGATAAAGACCAACTTTTTTCGCTGGTTTTCACCATGCATTGCGGAAAAGCCAACTTCTTAGGGGAAGCTTTAGCTCGAAACAAACATACAGTATGTGGCAAGGCGTAACGTCAGACAAAAGTGGAGCCCTATCGGGGGTGATAAGAGCCTCGCCCTCTTTCGCTGGTTTTGACCATGCATTGCGGGGAAACCAACTTCGCAGGGGACGCTTTAGCTCTGTATAAACGCACAGTACGCCCACGTGGCAAGGTGTGATGTCAGAGAAAGTTGAACCTTATCAGGGGTGATAAGGCCTCAACTTTTTTCGCTGGTTTTTACCATGCATTACCCAAAGGCTCCTTCTCAAGAGAACCTTTAGCTCGAAACAAACGCACAGTACGCCCACTTGACAAGGCTTGACGTCAGACAATTAAAATTTGAGCCTTACCAGGGGTGAGAAGGGCCTCAAAACTTTTCGCTGGTTTCCACCATGCATTGCGGGGAAGTCAACTTCTCAGGGAATCATTAATTTAGCTCCAAACAAATGTACAGTACGCCCACGTGACAAGGCGTGACGTCAGACAAAAGTGGAGCCTTATGAAGGGTGACAAGGGCTTTAAACGTTTTCGCTGGTTTTGACCACGCATTGTGGGGAAGCCAACTTCTCATGGGACCCTTTAGCTCGGTACAAACGCACAGTACGCTTTGAATCTACCAGCGGAATGAAGCTTCTCGACCATGGAGCAAGAAAACTTAATTGCTCCCGTTTGACGAGTGGAATTCGCCGATAGCTGGTTGATTCAAATTCACTGATAGCTTCAAAGCAAGTTCACGTGCTCAACTGGTAGATTAGGAGCAACCCACTCCGTGACTGAGCGTTCCGCGTGCTCCGTCTAGCAGAGACGGATTTCGCCGGAACTACGAGAATGCGTTGCCGTCATTTCCGGCACAGTCGGGCAGCGCTGTTGCCTGCAGCTGTCTTGAGCGTTTTTTTTTCGTTTTTTTTTCTTTGTCGAGGCGGTGTCTTGTGCTCGTGTTTACATTTCTAAACGGCATTGTTCGATGCTGCTGAACGTGCTGCTGCTCTTTTGCTTGTCGCTTTGAGCGACAGCGAGAGCACTAGTTCTGCTAGCAGTAGCAGCAGCGAGGACAACGAGCTGTACTTGCTTTCCCACCGTGCGCACGACCGAAGTCGCCGAAGATAATCGGCTATGTCGAAGAAGTTTCCGACATCGGTTTAGTGACGTATGTGCAAACAAATTCCGGCACGACCTGAGGCGGGGCATCCACGTGTTCCACTCACAGATCTGGCTTGGCGCAATCCCAGTGCTCGCTCCAGGAGTTCGGCGGCCGCTCCGGATCTACCAGTGGAACTCACCATTAGCTGGGACGCTGGGGCCCAATCGCACCGAAAGAGCGTGTTTACAGAGGTGGGCGTGGCCCGCTCTTTTCTCCGCACCGCGGCGCTCCTTCGTATGGTCGAAAAGACTGTCACACTGTTGGCGAAGCTTGCATGTGGCGAGAAACAAAAAACAATTTTGCGCTTTTATTATCTTCGCGTTCATTTGGGAATGTCAGGCCAAGATGTACGAGAGGCAAAGTCGATGCTTGCAAGCATCGACTTTGCCGATTCCCTACCGGGCTGCAGAAATTAGGCGCCTTCTTTCTCTTCTAACCACTACCACCACCACCGAATGGGAGGGTCGGAGAAAAACACGCCGTGCGCTTGTCACCTCATAGGCCTAGGCGCTGCGCCATGCTCCCAACTTGGCTGCAGAAATTAGGCACATTCTTATTCTTCTAACCACCACCACCATCTCGAAAGCCATGTTTCATCACACTAACCATTTCACTACACTAGTCAAGCTCGAGCGTGTTAACCACATGTGGCGCTGCATAATATCAACAGTAATTGCACTACATGCATTGCACAAGAAAAATTATGTTTTTATTTTGACCTTGCTGAAGACTACGATGCATTAAATACAATCAAGGTGACCTACGAGCACAAATAATCATTAAAGCATGAGCCAAATGGAAGGGAAACTCACTTCTCGCGAGTTAGCAGCTGATCGTTCACGGTCACTGTCATTTTCGGTGCGTTCACAGCCTTTCTATATCCAGCGAAAAATCCTCGTAGTCAAGATGGTTTCTTTCAACATCACTGCTGAAAGCAATCTGAGGGATTCCCTTCGCCGAACAACTTGACAACACTAACAACAGCGCATCACCACGTTCATCCGGGTGGGGAGAACATTTCGCCATCCTGCCAACAAGAACGATTACATTCTCTGCGCGAGTAGATCGGTGAGTGGAACCCCAATTCCAGGATCCCATTGATGCGTGCTGCTAGCCTCGCATATTTCACGAGGGCCTCTTGGCTCTTCTGATCTGAGCCGGACAGAGCTGCCTCCCACCCTTCCATGTTGTGTTGTGTCTGGGGCTGCAAAGGAGGATTGTGTGGACATTCCAATAAAGTGTGGTACAGGGTGGCTGTTTTATTGGTACAGAACCTGCACTGTGGTGTGTGTGTGTCAGGATCTATCTTTGACAATATGTAGGAATTGGAGTAGGACAAGGTCTGTAGGCGATGCCACGCCACCTGCGGTTCCTTAATGAGGTTTGGCCCTGGGAGTGGAACTTTCTGTCTTTCGAGTCTTTGGCGTCGCAGAACTTCCGTATACATGTGAAGCGGGTCAATATGGAGAGCCGAGAGTGGATGCGATATGCCATGTCAGAGGTCCGGAAGATGTAATTGTCGGGCCAAAAGAAGGGCGAGCTGAATTCTCTTGAACTCCACAGTGGCCGAGTATCCATGCAAATCACTTGCAGTGTGCTGCCATCTATCAACAAACATATAAAAACAAGCGGCGCAGCGCTGACCAATTTGAGCGAATTGCGTGCTGACACGACCTTCCACATACAATGTTTTGGTGTTCATGCATTAGGGAAAGCACTGACAAATGCAATGTACATGTAAAAGAAGGTGAATTTCGAATAAATATAGGTCAGACGATCACCTGCTTGACTAGAGAAAACCTCGCGAAGCTGCATAATATGTGTATCCCAAGGGCTATCATCGAAAGTGCGAGCTGCCATGTATTTTCACGAAAACTTTGTGCATCACGAGAACGAATCTGATTTATTGCGTCACGAAGGCTCCGGTTTCTTCACTGATGCAGCAAGCATGCAAAGTGGTAGTGTTCATTTCTTGCTAAGGCGTTGACACTGAGACTAGCACAGCTGAGCAAGGGAGCGTCTGCCTACTGACCATCGTTGAGAGGATGCTCTCGAATACTGCTTGGCGGCGCGACAGCCTATGGGTGATGCGAATGCTATGCTCTACCTTGTCCTCCTACCCCTTTCTCTTCTCCTTGTCCTTCCTCACCTTAACTTCTGTTTTCCACCACATTGATACGCTGTACTATACTATACACAACCATACTATACTCTAGCCCGCCTTTTTTATTTTTCCTTCGTACCTGCCCTTTGCAATATTGTGCTACACACTACTATGCTACAATCATCCCTCACTCTCCTTCTTTCCCTCCTCCACCTCTTTCTCACCCTCAGTCCCCTTTTCCTCTTCTTACTATGCTGTACGTATTTACAATGACTATGGTATGCTTTACACTACCACCTCCTCAACCTCACATCACTCTTCCTCACTATAACTTGCCTTTCCCGCCCCTAGACATACTACTCTACGCTATGTGTCGTTTTGTCAGCGTGCTGCCAAGCGACAACATAATATGCCATCATATGACAGCCCGAGCCCCTCAAGGGATCCGCACTAAAAAAGGGCGTTTTTTTGTCCCATAATTGTGATCTAAATTACTCGCATTTTCATTCTTCAAATGCAAGTTTCTATTTTTGAAACACCCCATTCCTATCAAGAACGCTATGTCACAACGATGACGTGCATGCTGTTCATAACCTGGTTGTGTCGGGCATGCTGTGTAATGCGAGAAAAGGCAAGCAAGATAGATGACGATTATCGTTTCTGGACAAAAGGCAGCCTTTTTACTCATTCTTTTTTTTTAAGTGCAGAAATTTCGACGGGACAAAAGAAAATGGGTAAAAACAACACTTCAACAACATATAATCTGTAAACATTGACTAGTATTGGCGGTGTTGCATAATACTGTTGCCAGGCTCAAGGGTCAACGTTGCCACATGCCGCCATATTTTGTGGCTAAGCTTGCCCAAGCAATTCCAGGGTTAATGTTGCTGTGTTATCTGCACGTCACAACTGTCTGTAATGTCTATTGGCATCGGACGTTTCTATCACTGGCCTCCATGCGTGTTGCAGGAGCCGGAGCTTTTTTTTTACTGTATGTACGGGCAATCACTGGACGACGTCAGTAATTATGAAGAAGCAATTAGGTAATGGGTATGTACACAGTAATGTACACAGAAATAGTTAAAAAACTGTACTGGACAGCTTCCACACAAAGAACACAACAAACCAGAATACACTGCCAATTAATTTTATATGTACAAGATGAGACAATTACACACACATGCAAAAGCATTTGTTTCATTAAAAATTCTGTAAAAAAGGCATTTGTGCACAAATGCCCAAGTACATTTAAATATGTTTCACGAAAACAAAACTGTCACATCAATGCAGGACATACAAAAAAGCAAGGTGTGCTGGTGCAGCCTGTTTGGTCAGAACATTGTAGAGGAAAATAATACTGTACAGCAAAGTAAAACAAACAAAAACGAACAATACTGTGCTTTTAGGTATGGCCTGTGGCAAGCTCCGTACCAGCAACGAAATGGCACATGACCTCATTTAAAATCACGCAGGTCTTACAATACACATCTCCTTCGACATTGCACTAAATCAATGCATTGTAATGCTAGTGCGTGCGCATAATGTGTACAACGAAATTTGCCCACATTCGGCTTCTTTGCGGCGTGCAACAAGCTGAGCACAAAAGCAAAGTTTGGATGACCGATTTCACTACTATAACTAGAAATACTACAAGTAGACTGTTCTTTGAGAGAGGATAAGTTTGGCAACCAGAAATCACTGATTAGTACAGCTTTCACATACCCTCCAAATTAAGCCTTTTTTTGGTGGAAGTTATTAAGTGGCCAGCGCTCGACAATGCAAAAACATAATAGCATATTTGAAGACACTTGAATGGAAAAAAAAATTAATGGATAACCTTGGTACTTCTGGGACATAACCTAAAACAATAGTGGGAGAGACAAATACGTGAAGTATTGTGCAGCATGTGAAATCTGAGCATTGTCACTCGCACCATCATTTGGGGGCAGTATCTAAGTGCAGAAATACTGGCTTTTATTCTTTACTTTTAACTTCACTTTTCAAAATTTAACTTCACCTTTTAAAAATTGCTTTTTAATGTAGACAAATTAGCTGTTAATCTATCTCTTTCATCTATGCTCAAGGCAATCGAATCAAACTATACTATATTAAATGCTAAAATATAAAAATACTACATTAAATGCTAAAATATAAAAAAAACACAGCTAAATGTTGAAAAATGTGTATTTTATATGTCGAGATACAATGATTGTATTGCAATAATGAATGCTCCCTTTGATTTCCTTTGCCAAAAGACTTCTGCAAAATCTGAGGAGATTTTTCGGTCTAGTGGTACATTAAAGGCACTTTTGTGGAACAGAGTCCAGGTTTGCAGATTTCCATGACAGAATAAAAGTAAATTCACAAACTTAGAGGAAATCTTCGACACTACATAGTTTACAATATGGTGACTGACTGAAAACAGTGCAACTTCAATTAACTCCTCATTCTTGGAAAAGATTTATGCGAATATTGCTTCATATCAGAAATCTCACAATCTACACTGTTAAAATTTTAATGATTGCATTTCAGTTTGCGAGCACAGGCACAAATTCACCAGTTACATGCAAGACTCAATGTCAAAGGTTTTCACCTACGAAGTACCTACAGTTACCACAAATGATAAAAAGTAGAATTCCCGAACAGCAAAGTTTCCACACTCTGGACTTCTGAGCCCACTACTGGGAAGGAAAGCTTTAAGTGGCTAGATATCGCATCTACGCTTGAATTAAAAAGCCATTACATCAAGCAAATGGCAGAGTAAAGCACCTAAAAATAAAGTACTAAAAACATAGCAAACCATACAAAAAGCAGAAAAAGGCCGTTGTACGACAGGCGAATGAAAAATTGCTCCCACAAAATTAACAAAATGGAAAACAAACTTGGGGGACACTACTGAAAGGACAACACAAACATGTATAAAAAAAATAATAAACGTAAATGCTGTTCCATGCTCATCTCTCGTGGAATGCATTGGAGAGGTGGTGGTTACAGACTAGAGCATCTTGTTAATACGACGCGCTGGCAGTGTCGAGTACGATATTGCAAAACTGAAGGCGAATTTCACGGGTTGATCCGAAGATGGTTGCTTCATGGCATCTGACAGCACAAGATCTGTTTCTGCTTCGTTCACTGGTTTACTTAGAACATGCTAAACCACTGTTCGTTTAGGATTACATTCTCATTCTGCAGTGAATTGCAACTAATTTTCCTGATGACTGACTGGGAAGCACACACAGAGCTTAGACCTCGAATGAATTCGACAGTTTCCACCAGCTCAAATGCCGAGTTTGCGTTAATTTCAGCTCTTATGAGCATATTAACAAGCTCGCAAGAATTTCCGCACTTGCTGCATTTCAAGCTCCACTCTTCTTTCGACAATGTGTGCATGAACCATGAGCAAAATGAGGGAAGTAATTAAATTTTACACAGTACAATCCATCACTTCAACTGTAAAAATTTGTCAGCACAAGCTTCGGTCTGGAAGAAAGCCCTCTGTTCGTGTCTGGTGCATTGAAATTCTCGAGAATGTTCACTAGGTACAAAATTCACGCATCTTCTTTGAATCAACCAGCGAAACTCGCCACCAGGAAACGTTTTTCGCAGGTAAGAAAAGAGACGCATTCAATGCATGGCAGTATGCGTGTTACCTGCGGCCACTATGGCTAAATAAAAAGGCTGTTTCTTTTTTTTTTTTCAACAAGCACAGCACACGGAACACACTATGTGGGGAGCGCAACTCGTAGGAATAATACTGAAATGACAAGAAACAAAACGGTGATCAACAGCCCTTACAAAAGTTCGCGCTATGCGAGTTGGAAAATGATCACCGAGCACAAAACACAAGCTTCTTCACCAAAGTTTTGGGAAAACTCCTTGTGAAGTTCCCCTGATGCATAAAGCATGAATATTTTGTGGTGACATCAAAGTGTAGCCCTTAGAGTAGGAACTCTGTCACAAATTAAAAAAAAAAAGGAAACCCTTTAAAACTGGCACAAGCTCTATAGACACATTTAAAGGCACAACGTCGGGACAGAAACTCGGCTTAAGTAACGGCTCTTGCACAAAAACAATTTCACGTATGTATGAGAAGAAAATACGAAGGAAAACAAACAGATCAGTCATTTTTTGTTGGCCTAAGGTTCTTCGCTGGTGCCTTAACTACTATACATGGTAGCTTGAAAGTTCGCACACTGCAGGTAATGGCATGCTACTCTTTGATTTAAATATAACACTGCCATGCAAAATCTTGTGTTCCTTTCTGGTGCTTGACATATTGCACACAAAGCCACGTGGCTTCCACAAGGTACAGCAGCGTTAAAGGAATACACGTAAAGAAAAAAAGACAAGGTGGCAGGCCTTGTAGTAATTAAGTAGACACATGCAGCATGTAAAAGGCAACTTACCACTGAGAGTCTGAGCATGCTTCTAGGTTTAAAAGTAATGCAAATAAACACCATACAGCCTATAAGATATAGCTAATTGCATGAGACAATGCAATGAATGCTTGAGACAGCAGTGCGAAAGAAAATTGAAAGTAATTTTTCAAATCAGATCTGATCAGATGAAGCTGATGTCAATGCTTAGGCAAACAATGTTGCCTTTCCAGCACTCACTATCGCTCATGTCAACCTGATATGCTGTTCTCAACATCGGCAATTTTGCATTTCTTTCAGGTCAGAGTTTCACATGTTTTATCAGGCTTTTCAAATGAACTCCTCGCTAATGTATTGGTATTAGACTATGGGTACATAAGGCAGGAATGCACCTAGCAAGATCGTACGATGACACAAACTGACAAACTACCCCTGTAGTGAGTGCCATGATACCTAGAACATGTGACGAAAAAATATGCCATTGCAAGCTTTGAAGAGGTTTCACACAATGACCAATGAAAATCAAATATAAGGAGACCCGGACAAGAAAACCCTGAGTTGCAGATTTGGCAAGATTCGCTTAGGCGAGTTCGTTGGTTTTGTTGCCGCTCCCGTTTCCAGTGGAATTTCCGTATGCATTGCCATGACCATTTCCATTACTGTACCCATTGACGTAGCCGTTGCCAAAGCTATTGCCACTGTTGAAGCCGCCTCCATAGCGGTTTCCGTGTCCATTACCATAGCCGTTCCCATTGCTGTAGCCGTTTCCATTGCCATAGCCATTTCCGTTGCCGTAACCATTTCCGTTGCCGTAACCATTTCCGTTGCTGTATCCATTTCCATTGTCATAGCCGTTTCCATTGCCATTGGTGTACCCATTGGCATCAGCATGAATTTGGCCAGCAAGCATGCAAGAACGGCAACAGAACCTCGAGTAGTGCTTGTTTGTGCAGTAACGAGCACGTACTATGAGGTTGCAGTTCGCAAAGCGGGGGCTGTCAGTGCACGACTCCGGAACATGGATGTCTGCAAGAGAGTCGGCATTTGTTAAAGCCACTGAGAACTTGGCTTATAGTACTGGCATTTTTACCTCAAAAGCATCTGCTGAAATGTGCCCCCACAACAAGTTTGCCAGCACAATGATTAACTGTGCTTGCAACCTTTTTTTTAAAGCTCACCTGGGGTACTCTCGTATGCAAATTTCCATTTTCATGTAAATAAATTTGTACTAGAAATGCATTAAACTTAAATAAACAGCTTTAAGAAATGCTGCCTTAATTTTTTGTAACTACACTGCTGGCAGTTTGTAAACAATAGATGAGAATCCTCTAGTTTTTAACCACCTAGCTATCTAAGTTCAACAGTGTCGTTGTTAATGACTGAAAGAAATGACACAACGTATGGTCAAATCAAGCGATGTTGTATCCTTTGATTAGATGACTTGATAATCTTTTGTGATTATAGTCAAAGAAAAGCACCAGGAACACTCGTAAGAATGTCCTGTCTGAGACCTGCATCTTTTAAACTGCCAAATAATTGCGCACAAACATTAATCACCCAAGTTTTTTTTTTTTTCATTGTAACTGCGCTATAACTACAGACAAGTTTTACGGAGACAAGGCGGAACATTTTCAACTAAAGGAAGAGAGTTAGTATCCATCTGATACAGCGCAGATACCATCATCGTCGTCAGCCTGACTATGCACATGGTAAGGCAAAGGCCTCTCCTATGTTTTTCTCCAATTACTCCGGTCGTGTGCTTGATGCAGACAAGTTATCCCCACAAACTTCTTAGTCTCGCCTGCCAACCCAACTCTCTGCCCTCTCCTTCCTTTCTCTTGGAATACAGTCAGTCAATCCTAACGAGACCAATCAGACTTCATGCTATATGTTTTGCTCATGCCTGAAGCAAGGCATTGGGATACCTAAACAAAAGCCTCCTTCACCCTTCCTCCCCTGAAATGTCAGTAAAATTCACTCACCATCCATGACGATATGAACCGAGACAGATTGATTGCTGTGGCCATTGTCTGCCTGACAGGAGTATTCGCCCCCGTCCGACATCGCTGCCGACGGAATGTACAGGGTGTGGTTCTCCATGAGAACGCGATGACCGTCCGTTTCGACCTGCTTGCCCTCGTGCAGCCAAGAGACGCGTGGTTCGGGGGCACCCGTCACGTAGCAATCCAGCTGCAGTGGCGCCCCCACGCGGTTCTCGCCCGTTGCAATCACCACGTCGACTGTCACCACCTCTGCGAGGAGACGCCATGAGCTTGGTGAGCACCCACACTCACGCAACGTCATTCTACGCTCGAAAGGGCCACCCAATTGCTCACACGCTCACTTGTCACTTCGCTCAGTAACTTCAGTCACTTCCCTACCTCAACTCTCACATTCACTCAACTCGCTGTACTTACTCGCTCGCAATATAGTCACTACTCACAGTACTCACTGTACCTTTCAAACTAAATGCGACTTGTAAAATATAAGAAAATGGTTTCCCTCTACATACATGCTTGCATGCTAGAATCAGCATGCATGTACCCAGTGTTAGCCATTTTGAAAGTCTGATAACTTATATAAATCTCGCAGTGAAACCTGCTTGAAACTAATATTGATGTTTATTGCAGTCATAACTCAACTCTCATCTTAGATCAAGAAATCTCATTCCTCAATTTACAGACTGGACAATGGGCTGGCAATATGACATAAAAAATGCACTCAATGTTGGTCATACAGTAGGAAGTTCTGGTGAGGAATCAATATATGATGAAATGTATCTAGCCTATTTTTTCTTTTTATTTATACCCTTACTTTATGATCTTTTGACAGGCAAATCGAGTTTAGCATCTATACCGCGCTTCCAAACGTTTTTTGCTGTCTGGTTAACGATTTTTTCAGAAATTTTATTTTACAGGTGAGCTTCTCCACCAGAACAAAGGAGAGCTCAGTTATCAAGAAATGTGGAATATGTGAAATTAAAATACAGTCATTTTAAAGAAAAAGATGTGCCAAAGGCAGAAAAGTTAAAAGGGACTGCTTTCCTCTAATTACAATTAAAGAAAGCATTCCTTGCAAGCACTTCATTAACATAATGAAACCAACCTTCATTATTTCAATGCATGTTAATCCGGTGAATGTCCTGGTACGTTGGTTTGACACATTCGAGAAGGGCATGCAAAGAACAACGTGCTAAGGACATGCGTTATGTTCTTGTGTTCATCGTCTTTGCAACTTGTACACTTTCGTGCATGCTGTGAACATTTATGGGTGTCGTGAATGTTGTGTCATTTCTACATATTTGTATAGTCAAGCATACGACAATGCATATACAGTTAAACCCCTTTATATAAGATACGTGCACCAGAGAGAAATTTTTGTTGTTTATATGAGGTGTTTTGTAAGCGGAGCACCGCGTTTGCATTGTCTTGTCAACTCCTATTTCTATGTAGGTTCAGTGCTGTTCTTTATAAACATTTCTCTCTTACACCAGTGTCTATCATAAAGGGGTTTTTCAGCAACAAGTTAGGACAAATTAAATAAATTAACATCAATGTGAAATGTTTCTCATGAACACGAACATTTATGGAGCACTTGCGTGCACATTACCTAATGTTGCAAACATACTTTAGCTTCATGAGACTTTGTTGCAATAATGTTAGATTGTGCAATGCATGGCAATGACGCTAACCAGCTTGGCATTCCGAACCTTACTTTCTTTGGGTCACCATTGTTAGTTGATATGGGTTCTTTAAAAGAACAGTAGCAGTTGGGATAGGCTAACTTTTATGCTCTGGTTTTTTATAAACAAAATTTGGTCTGTGCTGACGGTGAATCTTACACACATTAAACAGTTTAATCCAGCCTGCATTTCATTTGGCCACACCTAGTACATCCAAAAGCAGCTATACCTTTCAAGATTTTAGTACAAACTTCCTTTTATTTTGAACTTTAGAGTGATTCAAACCAGTTCTTACTACATCAAGATTACCCGAGGTTCACTTTATGTAAAAACCACTTGAGACTGAACACCTAAGTTTAGTTTTCTTAATCTAAGTTACCCAAACCAAGAAGATTTTAAACCTCATTGATGCAAAAAGAACAAGCCATCAAATGAAAAAAATTTACTTGGGCAGAAAGGTCACACAAAATTGCAGGACACTTTGTAGATACCAAAGTGCTTTCAGCGAAAGTTCATGCACATTGAGATGGCATGTATTAAAATAAAATGCACTGCACACGTTTCCCTTCTTGCAGAAGGACGGGTGCGCATTAGGGCCATCTAATTCAACTGCTGCAACAAGGCATCTCACGAAGGAACATAGCGGCGCGCATCGCTGTGCCATCATGTTATTGCTAAAAGATGCAAGAGGGAGAGAGCCTCAATAACCTCACTCCTCAAGTTTTTTATACAAATGACGAACCAGCAAAGCTGGAACATGTGGCCCCATTGTATAACATGAGCTGTGATCTATCGAAGTGCCTTCTTTCGTAGCTTTTGATTTTTCTATCACTATCGTTAAAAAATGAGCACTTGATACTTTGCGTTTGGTGACGTTAGCTTAAAGGATATCAAGCACACCTGAAGGCTTTTTAGGAGTGGCACTTTAAGCAGACGTCAGTATTATCCCGAGCTATATGTGTTGACAAAACCTAAGAAGAAGCTAGTGCGAGTGCGGAGACGCTTCGAGGTAGCGTATGCAAGAATTCAGGGTATGGGCGGACACAGCCTGCCAACATGAGTATGAGACACTAAAGGCTTTTGCTTTAATACTGCCACTGGGGTACCGTTCCGAATTCAGATTACTCGGAGCCATTCTGGTGATTGATTGATTGATTGATTGATTGATTGATTGATTGATTGATTGATTGATTGATTGATTGATTGATTGATTGATATGTGGGGCTTTACGTCCCAAAGCCACCATATGATTATGAGAGACGCCACAGTGGAGGGCTCCAGAAATTTCGACCACCTGGGATTCTTTAACGTGCACCCAAATCTGAGCACACTGGCCTACAACATTTTCGCCTCCATCGGAAATGCAGCCGCCACAGCCGGGATACGACCCCGCGACCTGAGAGTCAGCAGCTGAGTACCTTAGCCACTAGACCACCGCGGCGGGGCTCTGGTGTTTGAAATAAACGTGCTAGCTTCTGTAGGAGTGAAGTGTTTCGTACTTCAAACATAACGTGCTAGTTAAGAAGCCCTAACGTCTTTGCACTTCTACAACCCACCCTTGCCTTGTATGGGGTTACATTGCAGATCAAGCAGCTTTTATAACTTGAGAAAATGGCACAGATCTTTATAAAGCACCCACCTTTCACTAAGTGCAAGCATATACTATCAGTTACATATGAAAAGCGTGATGCTACCCTCGTTTACAAGCATATAACATGCCTTGGAAGCATGCTCAAGCGACATTACAGCAGAGTTATAGTAATTGCAAGTGTTATTATTTGTTTATTTTTATTAAGCCAAGTTAAGCCAAGCACGTACCTTCTTAGATGTACGAGCATCAAGTGACAAATAGCACTTGACACGTACAACAATCGATTACTGGAAGTGAAATCTGTACACTTGGCTTTCAAAAATATTTTATTCTGGTCTGTACGTTGCAGTTCTGCTGGGAAGGTGGACTGCGATGAGCCGCAGTCAAGGCACATCGAGCGACAAGCTAAAACCTAGGCAGCTTTTATTAATGATTCGTGCTCTGCCTACGTCTCGACAATCTTTGTATGTGTGAATTCAATTCTGGAAAGGCCTCAATGGCATGGCACACCTTGTTGAAACTGTTTCAACACCAATCCTCATGCCTTTCGAAATTGTTCTGCTTTTAGAAGCCTTTTAGATGCCATACAAAAGATGTGACATTGCCATACTGCTGCATTGTCTCCGACATGACCAACATTAAATTACTTGAGGCGGCTCTTTATTGTGAATATGGCAGTATGTCGCTTGTAAGGCTCTACAGGCCACGACTGCACCAGAGCCTTGGCTATCTACAAACAGTGGTGAAAAACAGTGAAAAAGAAAAACAAATTTTGTATGGCTATGTTTTTATGATGTGAAAACTGCATGCATTAATATGTACAGACATCATGACAAAAAAAATAAAGGCAAACTTCAGGCCAACTAAAATTTTTCTGCACAGTATTGCTGGGGTATGGAGCTCACATAAATTTTCCCCTGCCCAACAAATTACTTCCAATATCGTACCACTTATGACGGAAACCGTAACATTCTTGTAAGTTAAAAATGTTTGTAATGATACTTTTTAAAGAGGTCGTTAAGTAAGAACCTAACATTCTGCCTACATTTAATGCAGAGTCAAAGTTGTAATGCCTCTAATTTACAGCCTGTACCTGTAGTTACACATCGATAACTCTGTAAAGGTGAACTACACTACACTAGCAAAAGGATAAAATGCACTTAATTTTAGCTCCTAAGTCATAGCACCAACGACCAATATACAGGTTAAAAAAAAAGATCTGAAGCAAGGCGCTACAGTTTGTATACAGTTCCCTGAAGTTCATGAATGGCTCAAAGGCGTGACCGACATAATCTGTTGGGTCACACTCGTAATAGAAAGAAAACGCTCCCGACACCTCTCCGGCCACCTATGAGTGGCTACGCACCGTTGCCAGTCAGATATGTTTTTCGGCCCGTGCGGCGGTGCGAAAAACCTGGAGAGCCGTGGCCGCGACGCCGGCGCCGTCCCGGCACCGCCGCGTTTCGGCCAAGCGGCAGCACCGAGAGAGACACCTTCCAGACGGCCGGCTGGCCGTGGTAGTTGTAGGCGCGGCACATGTAAATGCCCTCGTCTTCTTGGGTGACGTTTCGGATGGCGAGCGTGAAGTCATCGAGTTGGGCGTAGCGCGAGCTCCGTTGTGGCAGCTGCTTCGAGTTGCGGTACCACTGTACGACGGGCCTCGGGTAGCCCACGGCTAAGCAGGCCATCCGGGCCGTTTCTGACACGGTCACAGTCACTGTTGCGCTCGAAGGTCTGATCGTGGCCGGTACTGGTGGTGAGGGTTATTGAGACAGTGAGTTTGCAGAGACGGGAACCATGCGTCAAGGAGAGATGGGGGAATGGGTTGCACGGGGGGGGGGGAAAGAGAAAGAAGAAGGGGCATGCAAGGTTAGTGTACCATTTGTAATGGCGTTTTGGAGCATTAGTGGTAACAGAGCTCCCTCGGGCAATGCATTCAAGACACTTCACTGCATTCCAACATGCTTGAGACAGTGAGTACATAGAGAATAGTCATGCACTACAGTAACAAACCTCATACTGGCAAATTCATATTCATATCGCATGCAAATTCATATCGCATGCTAAAATAAAATGTCTTTGTCATACATACGTACCAAATATTCGTTATAAGCATCATAGTAATATTCAATCCATGTGCATACTACTACTAACATATTTGTATGAGCGTATAAGCATAAGTTTGTTACAAGCTGATATTGAATGAAAACATTTCAATATTGCTGTGTTTTTGCAAGATTGTTACCTATATCTGATATTCTGTTGCAGCTGCTGGCCTACGATTGAAATGCTACTCCAAGACTAAACAAAAGCAACACTAGACAGCTGTCATGAAAGACATTATTTTGTGGAAAAACAATGTGAAAGAAATGTAATGTTAAATAATGTTGGTTCAAGGTCATTAAATATAATTAAAAGTAACACTCTTGTACCTGCCACTAAAATGTGACTAAATTTTTGCAGCGAATATTAGATAGGTTTATTGACAGTACCAATAATCAAATATAATTACTTTACACAAAAGCAGCTAGTTGCTGTTGCAGTGAACGTTAGACAACAGTGCTGGTGTTGTGCAAGCAGATGTGGTAGGCTTCTTAAAAAAATATTGGCAAGTTTGATTTAGCTTCACTTCATTACAGTGACGTGTTGTGGTGAAGTGTAACTAAAATAGGAATAAATGGTTTGAGAAATGTATTACATGGGTCCTGTATCTCTTCCACATATCAAATTGTGAATAATACATATATAGCCTTTTTTTATTGTTATGATATTTATGATATTGTTATGATATTGTTATGATAGCTTGTCAGCCTTTAGATACTGTATGTCACTGTTTTTTAATAAACTTTCAGTAGTACATGCTTGTCCACGTCTCTGCTTCTAGTCCCGCGCTTGTATTTCGAGTATGTCGAACCATTTTATTTTCTTAAGCTGTGATGTGCTCAAGTATCGACCGACTGCGTATAGTAAAGCTCACACCTACATATTTACAACGTCAAGTTTCAATAGGCTTGAATTCTACTTGAATGCTAAAACTATAGAAAAGAACTTTGCAGTAAAAAAGAAGCCAAAGAAGGTAACCCTACCATGCACATAAAAGAATTGTACACAACCAACAGATTGACATGCAATCTTTGTCAGCATCTGGCCATGCAGTCAGCTGGATGTTCGACAAGTGGACAGTGGTTCAAAGCACATTAAAGTACTCCTGCGTATTACCTCCCTTTGGCGCAATAACGCACTATTTCACTTATAAGACGTTTTTAGCAGCACCTTAAAAACTCACACACAAATACATACCAGACAAGCAACTGATTCGTAAGGCAAGTTTTACCGACAAAAACCATAAAAAATTAAGAGATGCTTCAGTGCAAAACTCCAGGTGAATTGGTTATATTTTCACATGCAACAAAGCCTCGATGCACAAGTATCTTTGCTTCTCTATTCAAAAGAAATACGACACGCTGCCAATCGGAATCAAGCCCGCAACCTTGCTCTCAGTGACAGTCCACTATAGTCACCACTAAGGCACGGTGGTAAGCAAATTAAGCAAGTGCTCAAGTAAAACTGCTTTTGCTAATCAGCCTTTTTTTTTCGTTTTTCTTTTTGCAATCTTTTTTCACCATAGTAAAGCCCACCTTCAAGGCATATTAGGAGACTATGACTCTTCCTCCGAGAGTATGAAACAACTTTGCCTAGCTAGCAAACAACTTTGCGCAATAGTCTCCAAAGAATCGTGCTGTAGCATAAAAGGATATACAGTATCGTACATGAAGACGCAACGCTGAGCACAAACTATAACTAATGCTCAAACAGTTATTTTGTGCTCTGAGTAGATGCGTGTTCTAGAATAGTCTGTCTTTCTATGTTACAGCGTGATCATTTAGAGACACCGAATGACCAGTTTGCCCCTATCACAGCTCTCTTCACACTATGTACACCTTGTATGACCATGCAAAGCACTAGCTGGCCATACACTTTTCAGAGGAGATCCTGTTGCATTACCAGAACTTCAGACTATGTAGATGCTAACAGTATTTAACCTCTGAAGTTGCTAAGTGCAATTAGCCATGTGGGTCCCACTATCATGAAGTAACAGAACAGAAAGGGTTTTGAGGACAAAATTAATCATAAATTAATAAAAAGTGAGAAAATAAACTATGCCCTGCCCAATGCCCCAAAGTATTGCAGGCTACCAAATCAAATAAACAAAAATGAATAGGACAATTGTCAAATGAAAATTTTGAAAACTATGGAGTAACAATCAGACTAGCTGTCAGCTGTTTCTAAGCGTGAAATATTTGCCCTTTAATGTTGCAAAATGTGGTTAGTGTCAGGTGACCTGCACAACATGGACTGAGAATCACCCTTGCAGTGAGCTGTTTACTGCATACTGATGGCCAACAGGGCACAGCTTTGTAACGCAGGCATAGAGTTAGCCCCAAATTAAAAGCAAAACTGTGTGTGCTGGTCATCCACAGTACAGCCTCCTCTGACATAATGCTTATGGTGCTTTTGGAAATTTCTCAAACTGCAAAAGCAACGTGACGTCTCACACATTCTTTCTTATTCACTTTTTTTTAAGCACTGGTAACTTAACTGGCATGCCATCGCGTCGCATTCGAATGACTGAAATCTGTGTGCTCAGGTGGTTAAAGTTTCATTTGTTGGTGACTACGGGTGGTCTGTGAAGACACACAACCCATGAGCATACAAAGAATATTGCAAGTGTAACATCAAAACCTTGGCGTCAGACCCATTTGCCATGCCAGTACTTTGTTGACGACGCCTGCTGACTAGCAGCCTCTCGGCTCGGTAGCTTGATAAAATGTGTTCAAAATGAAAAGAAAAGCAAACAAACTGCGAACATATCTTCTTCTAAACTCACCATAAACAACGAGGTTAGTGACGTGCGACACCTTCTGGTGCCCGTCGTCTGCGGTGCACCGATAGGGCCCAGCATCGTCGCCCGTCAGCTGGGAGATGTGCAGCGAGCCGTCGACCAAGATCTTGAAGCGCCCCTCGTTGCTCTCAACCAGCTCATCACGGAAGGTCCACTCGACAGACACGATCAGGAATGGCCGGTCGAGGCACGACAGCGTAACATCAGAGCCCGCGTTGGCCGTCACCTCTGGCTTGGCAGGTGCGGCCAGTTCTGATGGCCGGTGCACAGGTGGAGATGGGGCTGCAGGAAACCCGAGGTCAATTGTTTTCAACGAGACTGAACAACAGTTAACCGTTGCAGAGTCCTAGACCACGAAAAATGCGACAGTTGTCTGAATAACAGTGGCATGAAGATGCCATAAAATTGTTTCCCTCAAGTGTCGAATGATTACTCAAAATCTGAACTTGACACTGCTTAAATGAGCCCCCACACAACTAGCCTTGTCGCTTACCACGCGATTATGCCATACACCACTTACATTAAAAAAACTTTGTTTTACAAAAACATAAGAAATGCTACATGCAGCATATCTTGACTACATACAATATGCATTTTTTTTTTAATCCCAAAGGCCAGCAACTTTTCGAGGCTTTTGAGTAGCATGATGAAGTCCACATAGCAAGTGTCACGCACCGAATCGGGAAGGGGGGCGGGGAAACCTTAGTTCAGTTTTTTTTTTTTACTTGTGCAATGAAAGTGAGGGCTTTATTCGGTCAAGTGTGAAGATAGGGGGCATTGCCAACTGGAAGCAACCATTATATTTTCTTGTCTAAACCATTTGAGGTCAAAACTGCCTTGAAAGCGACAAATGGCAGGGGTTGCATAATACTGACGATTATATACTATGGCGTTTATGGCGCAAGTGCCATTCATTGGCCAATAAGCACCAGGACGTGATGAGGCTACATAGTACTGGCACGCAGGATAGAGTCTACCCACCCCCGATTTATTCTATACTCCAAAAGTGTTTCTAGCAGTGCTAACTTTTTTTAGTCTTCTGCAGCGTACTACAATGTTATGTGCGAGAGTACCACCTGTTTGGCAATTGACAGCACTGATTATAAGTGGTAATCTGTTGCTATGAAAGTGAGAAATAAAACCAGCAATGTTGTCAAGCCATGCAGTAAGAGTAATTCTCCTTAAACCCGCTTCACAATAGGCAACTGTAATTGCTGTGAAGAAAAAATTAAACGAACTATCAAGTCATAGCAGAATGGGCTCCATTGTTAAATTGGAAGAATGAATGAATGAATGAACAAACGATCAAATGAATGAACGAACTAATAAATAAAGCTTCAAGTCATACAGCAATAAACCCCATAACTAAAAGGTTACTCCCACTAAACCATAGTTTCAGTTTTGTACAATTGCCACATAGGGAGGCAAAGCTGCTTTGTTACACAAATAGGCAGGTGAGTTGGAAAACGGCAAGTGTTTTACCTTCAGTTGTTGGCTCAACAGTCAGAATTGGGGCTTGCGTTGTCGTGGATGTCTGAACAGTGGTAACCTCTGTAATGAAAAACATTTCTTTTTAATTGTATGCATATATTATCTCAAAGCACACACATTAACGTCAGTGACAGCAGAAATTCTGGTGCTCAAAATTATCAGTTTGGCTCATTTCACTTCATTTGCATCAAGACAACCTCGAACGAGAGGAATTTAAGATGCAGACGCCAGCTAGCACTGTTCATATTAGGGAGAAAACCGTGTTTGCAAGCTGCTTGCACATACATTATTAACATGAATCTTAATTAAGTTACAATGAGAAGCATGAATGACCGAACCAAGTCTAAAACGCACAACCTTGCGCAAGGAAACGAAAGCGGTTTCGTCTGTCTTGAATAGCAATAAAGAAAACGGGAGGCTGTATTCTGAGACGATCACTTCATGCTTTGCATTACATAGGATTCCACGCATCCAATGATTGAAGCAACAACTTGTCCTTCTTTCCTCAACCAGCGAATCAGCTAGTTGCGAAGGCAACATCTTGAAAAGTAATTGTATCAAAATATGGTCCATGCAGCCTCGAAAAAGGGCACTCCCGAGGTAAAATAATACACTCATTACAATGAAGTTGCACCTAATTCGAAGATAACTTATGCTCGTTATGTACACATTATATTTCAGAAGATTAGTCTTATCTTCTCATTCAGTTTAGTCAGTACTGGTAGAGCATCAATTGTCGGGCATGTGTAAAATATTCACAAAAGCGTGCATCCTGAAGTTGAGACAGCTCTGTTCCTGCATCTGTATATATCCCCCACTTTGTTCTTTAGCAATTCGATGTATGCTAGCCTTTCGTTCATTGAATTATTTCGTATTGATTTCATAATTTAATACTCATACTTTGTTTATGGAATTATTAATGCTGTTTTCTTCCCGGCTGCGCCAAGATTTCCCACTTGTCTTTTTATCGCACCTTCTACTTGCCTTCGGCTATAGGTTCTACGAGTCCTTGTTGTCTGTGTATACAATATCACATAAACATTTGCTTTGATATGTACATATGTTATACAGAGAAGTTTGTTATTAACATATATTCACGCATGCCATTAGTGAAAAGGCTACTATCAGTTTACTTTGTTATAACAGATAACCCAATATCTCCTTTTTGATTATGCTGGGGCTCAAGTGTAAGGCAAAAAAAAAAGCATGAGAACTTGACATGAAACATACGTTCACTCACACAAAAAAATGCATGCACATACACAAGCACATACTGCCCATACACGCATTTCATTACCCTTAAATTCCAAGCACCCCCCCCCCCCCATGGACAAATAATCCGCCAAGCTTCAGAGGGAGGCCTTGGCTCAGTCATGAATTGAAATTTGAGATGGCGAGAAAAGAGCCATTAAACGTAAGGAATGCACAACCGTGCTTTTAGTGCAATGCTTTACTTGATGCATTCACTGTTTTCATTCACTCTCGTCATGCAAATGAGAACAATGAATGAAACAGTAAAAATGGTGGGAGGTAGAAGGAGGAACACATACAAACTCTTCTGAAGAAGGAAAGGGTACGCTCGCTTGGCTTTGTAAAAGGCCCTGCAACACTTTGTCAAGTAAACACAGAAGGGATTCACTAAAGGATTACCTCACGAATTCACTGTCACAAAAATTTTCAGAATCCGTCCAGTACGAGCAAAGTTACAAAGATTTGTCACACCCTGCAATTGCAGTCTCTCTTTTCTCGTCCCGTCTAAAGTGCTGGAATCTAAGCAGGGAGGGATGGCACAGGGAAAGGAAATACCTCACATGTGCCTTGTGACCTTGAGCACTTTTACTTTCTTCTTTTTTCTTCAGATGTGCGGCTTTTCAGTGTGATCGCATGCACACAAGTGGGCACGTCACAACCTCCTGCGGCGGCCCAAGTAATTACCGAGCGTGCCATGCCCGAACCGGTTAATGGCTGATTCGTACAATGACTGTGATGAGTGATTTTTGAGCTTGTAGCGCCATTTGTCGAAACAAGAGAAAGCAATTTTTAACTGACTTTGAAAATTCATTGCGAATTCCAGTTCGCACGCTACACTGCAATAGTGTTTGGTTTGAATGTTTTCGGTAGCCTCGACTACCGATCGGCAGCATTTTCTGACCAGGCTAAGTTAGGTTGCAGGGCCTTTTTATTGTAAGTAAATAAATGTCCCACCAGTGACAACAGCCTGCACGCAGACGTGTGCACAGCCATTGTAGCAGCACTTGCGGATGTCTGGACAGTCGGCATCCACGCGGCAGACATCTCGGCAGTCAGCTCGAACCACGGCTGCGGGCTGTGCCTCGACTTCGGCTACGGGGCAGTGGCCAGCCTTGTTCACTGGTAAACAGTCAGAACTTGTGTTACAGTAGGATTCCACACCCAAAAAATACAGCAGCATTGAGCTAAAAAAGATGCAAGTAATCAAAATTGACACAAAAACTTGAGGTTAGCACTCTTATCCAAAACAAGAAATTATTCATTGCTATCAATTGGGCGAGTTAACATTCTTTGGTGCACATATGCAGCGGAATAATTTATTTCACAGTAATTTCTACCTAGTCGTTCATCCCTGGCTCTTCACACCTATGCCTGTATGCGATGAAGTAATTTTCTATCAATTTTATTAATCTGCAGAACTATTTATAAACAAGAGGCCAAAATTCTCACGAGTGAATGTATAATATACCTTTGTACTACACATTTTTACAGTATGTCCACAGCTTTGGTATTATCAATATTTGCTATAAAATATTTTTGTTTGACACAGTTCTCGCCATCCAACTTTATTTCTTGTGATACTTGAACTGTCCGGAACCTTTGAACAATTTTGTTGGTTCCTGAAAAGCATTGGCATAGGCAAGAAAAGATGGTAGTGGTTACCCCCCCCCCCCCCCCCCGCTTTGAAAATTTTAAATTTTGCATGTAGTGTACACACACACATTGAAGGGATACCAAACGAACATTGAGAGGACATTATGGAAGAATTTGGAATTGGAAGAATTTCACGTAATTTTTAACAGTTGGCTGTATTTACGCGCAACGGCTACACGCGAGTGTAAACCCCGACGTCACACTCACCGAGGTGCATGCAAGGTGCACGTGTTCCTGTCCTCTTTCTTTTCTGTGCCTCTCCTTTATGTCTAAATCTCCCACTTCGACAAAAGCATGGATGCTTTACCCCTGCCGGGAGCATTGTTTGCTTGTGGTTCTGTTTGTAGTGTTTTTGGGAATCGTAGTGGGAGTTGAGCGGGCCAAGAGATGATTGCGATGGCTGGCATTGTTGGCACGCTTGTTTCCGACATGTGAAACGTTGCACAACATCAGCTCCTCTATTTTGCAGCGTGGCCACTAGCAACAGCAGTTTGCGAACAATGCATTAAAATTTCATTATTTTCTTCTAGTTTCTGCCTAAAATCAAGGCTGTGTCGATCAATTTCAGCACCTAACCTTTCAGTCTGGCTGAAAATCTCAGCGGCAAAAACTTTGTCCGGTATGTCTTTGAATATGGCCAGACAAGCCCTATATACCCCCCTTCCCCCCCCCCCCTGAAAAACACTTTTCCGCTGAAAAGTGAACTAGAGGCATCGCATTGTTCAAAACTTGATAAGCCATAATGAGCAACAAAAAAAAAATCTCACCCAGGCGGCACACCGGTCGGTAGTTGGGCCTGCCGTCAGGACTTCGGTACGCCTCGATCCTACAAAGCTCTGCTTCGTGGCACGAAAAGGTCTGAAGAGAGACAAAATGCACGTGAACTGTACTGGTCATTCTTGGCTTATCCACAGTACTCCCCGATCTTCCTGAACTGCTGCATGCTGCTTCAACGTAGGGTAGCCAACCTTCTCATGGTTGCAAGAAGAGGTATGGCAACATAACTCACAATAACAAGAGAACCGAAACCAATACCGAAATGTCTTGTTGTCTTTATTTTTATGTTCATGGTCAGAATTTCTTTTACTTTTGATCTTTATTGATTGTAAGACCAATCTTTCAGATCTGCGTTTCATTAACCCAGCTAAGCTGATTCCTCTTTAGTGGATCCCCAAGGACTGCTACCCAGGCATAGTCAGGGGGGTTAGGGGGTACAACGACCCTCTTTACCTTTCTATGTGTACGTGTGTATGTAAACAAGCAAAATTAAAAATTTGGGGAAAGCGGGTGATTTGAACCTCCTATCTCCACTGCACCAAAGTTTTACACTTTAATAATATTTCCAAATCAGTCCACAATAAAAAAAAGCTGTTCCAATTTTCCAATTTTCTAGTGTCTACCTAGAACACCGAACCAGCCCGGCTTTTGTTTTTGTTCGATCACTTTCCGTTTCCCACTATGACTTTTTTCTATGCATATCACCAAAGAAACTGCTGTAAACAATGACAACAACACGGCGCTGCAGCTGCTACATTCAAAATCCTTAGATTTTGTGCTGTTTGTTAAGTAGGAGCAACGGGTGAAGCGCCACAGAAAAATCTAACTGGGTAACACCCGTTTTTAGTAGGCATGTACTTTCCAACGCTTTTCCAGTGCCTGGTGAAGAGCGGGCGACGTATCACCCACTCACCACTGACAGGGGATCAGCAGAAGGAAGAAACAGATATCGTGTTCGTGTATCCCTGTCGCTGAATAGCATGTCGCTGAATGGTGCACAGGTAGTGTATTTAAACATAAGTGGCTTTGTAAATCTTCTAAGTTGAAAAAAACATGGTGGCAGACAGCAGCTTTGCATGAGAGAGGGTCGGGAAAGGAAACTGTAGTTGCTATTTAGGTGAAAGTTAGAAAAGTATAGAGTTTGGCTGCACCCACTGTATCAGCAGTGCCAATGATGATAATGACACCAACAGCCGACCACACTCACCTCGCAAGGGTTGCTGCAGCGACACTGGACGCAACCACGATGGTCCACGGTCTGGTTCTTCCCAAGGGGACACTGCAGCTCTTCGCAGTTGGACGGGAGGCACTCCGGTGCCGGCGTCTGTGGTGGAGCAGCTGGTGTCAGTGGGAACGGTTCTGGGAACGGTGTGACGGGCATTGGTGGCTTTGCACGTGGTTCCAACTCTTGGTCTGGTCTCGTGTGCCCTCGAGAAGGTGGTGGCGGCATCCGCTTCTCGTTTGTGCCCGGTTCGTCCACTTCATAATCAGGGGTGTCCACTGTGAGTGTGTCAAGATATGAGCAATGCCCTAAAGGAACCCTGACACCAATTTTCGAAAGTGCATTTACTGCGCCATATAAATGTATTTTATACAGAGACGTCTCTAACCAGGCAGGAAGTACTTATAAGACATTATACTTTCACATTAGAGTCAATTTGTGAGGGATGCACCTACTGGCGTAGACAACATTGCAACATCAGGTCATAGTATCAATTCTGGTGATGGCAGGCACCAGTATAGCTACTTGTAATGACGTCAGGTGCCAAAACATACAAAATGGCCACTTGTGCATCACCAATGAAGCCATAATGATTAGAGGCAATACACACATCACAATATCTTGGCCGAGCATGTGACAAGAAGCTCATACAGTGTTGTGATGTTCGAGTGCGGGAGAAACTAAAGCTAACTTTTAAAATATATTGTATTTAGGCCTGTGCAAATAGTGAACTTTAGGTTCAAAGCGAATTTCAAGTGAATAGTCATTTTGGTTGAATAATTTCGAATCGAATTCAAATGGTATGTATGACATATAAAAAAATGGGAATATTTACCATGACCTAACTAACCTGAGCAGTATTTTTTAAAATTGAAATACGAGCTCTATGCAAATGCCTTTTTTCATTCAAAAAAAGGCAAAACAACTCTGTGTAGTAGCGGGATTTCAGTTTCGGTTGAAATTTTTTTCGGTTGGAATTTTTGGAGTGAGAGCGGAGTTTCAAATTTTTGCCGCAAGCTGCAATGGCATTCTCTCTTCTCGTCCCGACGAAAGAGGTGGAAGCTTAAGCAGGAAGGCATGGCACGGGGAAATAAAATACACCACGCATGTTTCGTGACCTCGAGCACCTTTTCTCTCTTTCTTTTTTTTTTTTTTTTTTTCGAATACGCGGCCTTTCAGTGCCCCCTTGCATATGTGCATGGACAAGTGGCGGCCTCCAGTGGTAGCTACAGTAACGACCGAGTGCGCCATGCTCAAATGCGCGAATGACTGTGAGAAGTGATTTCACAGCGAAAGCTGTCATGAGATCACAACTCGGATCAGGGGCAGTTGTCCGCCGCCGCCGCCGGTGTCCGTAACCACATCGCGCGAAATTAGAAAAAAACCTAGACCCAAAGAGACAGTGGGGCTCGTACCCAGGTCTGCTGGGTGCCAGCCTAGTAATCTACCACTGAGCTACACTGGTGCTTGCGACTTGTTGTCAAACTTGCCTTAGGCAGGCTTGATGTCGGGAAAGCAGTCGCGTTAATATGACTTATGAAGCGTTTTGAAACAGCGAAGAAACAACCAGTCGTCGCACAATGCAATTACCATAGCGAGTGGGCCATCCAATGCTCCAACGCATTACAAAAGCTTGTTCGTGTTTCCCTATTAACTGTGGCGCATAGCCACTACAGCCATAATTCCCCATCGTCTCAGCCACTGCATGGACAATTTGCACGAAATTCCTTGCAAGTTTTTAGTGAATACCATGCTGCTCAGAATAATGACAAAAAATAGCACAGCGAATGCCGGCCTACTAAAGAAAAGTTTATTATTAATGCCTTAATGGGAACCAAGCAGGTGCTTGCAGTAGTTACCCAATAAGTGTTTTGAAAAGGCTCTGAAAGACTGCTCTTCTAGCTTTCCCTAAAACTGTGCTGTGCCTTCCGTGCAGGACTGGCATTCTTTTTTAGCTTGTGGTGTCATTTGTCGATAAAAGAGAAAGCAATTTTTAGTTGACATTTAGAATTTATTATAAATTGCAGTTGCTTGCTGCGCTATGATATTTGGCTTGCATGTTCTCGGTAACCTCGACTACCTATTGGCAGCATTTTCTGACCATGCTCAATAAGTGTTGCAGGGCCCCTTTACATCTAAAGGGGAAACTTTGCGGCAGAACGAATTTTTCCTGAAAAGGTTTTTTCACTCATTAACACAACTACACTGCAGTGAAACTGCCTTTACAAGCCGTTACATGCGGATCAATATACACCTACATGTTCACTGCGAATACTTCGAAATTTTCAACAACTTAAGCTCGAATCGAAGTGAATTCAAATAGTATACTATTTATTGAAATATTCAAAGCATTCAAATATTTGCACAAGTCTAACTATAAATATTTCTGAGGGTGCACTCGGGCTTGCCAGTATTTCTTCTAGGATCTTGATGACTTGGTGTTTCATGTGACACAATGAAATGACAATTGAAAATTGCAGTGTCAGTACTTAAAGAACAAGACGATCGTACCTACGTCAGCAACAACATGCTAAACAACTCGCACTATAAAGCCGAGGGGCCTATGACAGATGCAGAAGATGTGAACGTTTATTGCTGGCATTGATCTCGGAGTGAGGCGGACAGCTTCGTGAACGCGTTGAATACTGAGAGCAGCATCTTCATAATGCTTCTAAACGTTGCACGCCTCTTCACAAAGCCTGAAAAGGCCTGCTAAACTCAAGCACACCTGTTCATTTACTACCAATCGGAAACTACAAAACGGGCAACACACATAGCCCAGTTCATCACAGCTCATGCAAAAGAAACCACCTTGCATTAGCACGTGCGCAAGTGCACGGGATCTATAAGAAGGTGTACCATCCATTTCTGCGTGCAAGAGAATATTCGAGAGCCACCTCCACCTACTTGTGACCCCAGAGCAGACTTTCATGCAGATTTCGTGCGACTTGAACCGGTTCCTATTGCCTCCGCAGCCAGTGTACACGAACGGGAGGCAGTTGCCGGTCTTTACATCGTAGAACCATCGAGCATGCACCTCACTGCAGTCGCCCTTGTCGGCCATTCTCTTGCATGCACCTGCGCAGTTCAGTCGTGACTTCTGCAGCTTTCAAAGCTGCCTCATTTAACACTGTCCGTACCGCACCATACGCCATTGTTCTTGTGCTCTGAAAACATTATTGTTGTAACTTATAACTAGTCCTTCTAGTTAAAGTACATAGCGTGCTTCAGGTAGCACTTCGGTATTTTGAGACACGAGGTTTTTGAGGAAAAAAATAATTTTCTCTCAGTAACCCCAACGAACATTCGCGAGTGGTCTCCACTAAGTGGGGATACTCAAACTGAGCTATTATTACGAGCATAAGTTACTAGGGAAAAATACTGTATTCTTTAATTTATGTCACCTCTGCATTTAACCTGCATCTCACACACCCTACAATTTGTGGTAAAATAAAAACTAAAGAAAAAAAAAAGATTCCTACAAATAGATGTGAAAATGTATTACTTGCACTACCCCAAAGCTGCGCCATGAAGCCTACTTACGCACCGAACTTCAAATAAAACATGCACCCCGACTGTTGCTCTAACGTTTCTCTATATCATGTGGGTTCTATGCGATAAAATATGGTAGTAAGTAATGCTAATTATTGAAGAAATAAAAGTGACTCTGTGCTTCAAGTTGTCAGCCAATTTGCCTTCATGATGCGATTTAATAGCTCTCTCATGAGCTCACATTGCAGCTGCCCCAAAAAAAACACTGGTCCTGGGTTAGAATCGCACAGGGGATAAACTTGAAACTAGTCACAGTGCGTTACCCTTGAAAAATCTGTACGAATATTACAGCTTGACACTACAAATATGTCGATGACAACCCTTTTTTTTTCGCGATTGTTTCCCGTAGTCTTACGAGCTTTAACAAAACCAATTCACCAACGCTAAAAATTACTGATACAGTAAGTACTGTATCGGTATTCAATGACTTTATTAGGCTTAGCAGTTTTGTTGCTACAAGAACAGAGAGCAGGCAGGATAATGGAGAGAGCATGCAAGTATGTGTTAGTACATGAAGATGTTACCTTTGACGCTAGGCCAGGGTTTAGTGGGGCGCCGTGCAGGTGTATCTACAACTACAACGAGCAAGACAATCATCAGCAACGAGTTTGAAACTGTTCAGCAAAGTCATGCGCACAAAAACATCAATGGATGCCGAGCACCAACTCCGCCTCAGTACAATTTCACCACTGTAGGGTTTCACTGTTTTTAATGACTGCCATTAAGACAATTGCTCAATTAATGTCAACAAGTGTGCTGAGACCATCAAGTACACTCAAACGTTACCATAACAAAGTTGCATCTTACACAAAAATAAGTTTGTTATATCCGAAATTTCATTATAAAGATTTATTGTAAACACTATATCTCTTGATAGACTATTTTTCATATACTTCGTTGTAACCGATATTTCATTATATCTGGTTTCATTACATCAAGGTTTGAATGTATTTAGACAATGACCGATGTTATGCCAGTAATTAAAAAGAAGGTTATGCTTATCGCCACATTCATCCAGATGGTTATGATCAGTTGCAGTTACAGCAATGAGTGTAGGTGCCAAGTAACCACACACACACTGTTATGAGTGCTTACACACCAGGCGTTATACAGTGAAACACGTAGCTAACAAGCTTGCCAGTGATTTTGTCCCATAATTCGGTAACACTGTAAAACTGATCAAAATTTAAAGCAAGTGAGTATGTGCAGCCAGAGAACTGGTAGGGAACTGAAATAGTAAGATATATTATAAAGTAAGTTCCCAAGTTCAACGGAAAAAAATGGTAACAATAGCAATTTTTTGTGCGAATAGTGTCAGCCTTTTAGGGCCATTCAGCTTAACATGTTGAATCATATTGCACACCACGAACAACATTTCTGAAATAAATTAATGCTTTATCAGAGCCCAGGAAATCTTCAATGACTTATCAAACAGATCCTTGAATTCCTGTTTTTTCTGTTTGCTTTTTTTTTTTTTACAAATTATGAGAGGAATGACGCAAGAGTGCTTTATTTCTTCCTAGTCCCTTCCCTACCATAGACACTAACAAGGTAAGAAAATAGTCAGTGCACTTCATTCACCAGTAAAATAAAATTTGTAAACTAAGGTTCGATTGCAACCCCTACAAGGCTCCCAGAGCTTTCTTTTCTTTTTTTCCAACTAATGTATTTAGCCAGGTTACAACTGCACTTAATTATTTGCACTGCACTTCAAGTGAAGCTTGAGTCAAGGAAAGCAAAGGTGATTAACAGTTCCTCTCCTCCAAAGTCGTGCTTTTCCTCTGCAAGTTCTTTATCCTGTGCAAGTTCTTCACCGAGAAGCCAGGCACTAAGCTTCGTCTTCCGCAAGACACTATCTGTGCGCCATAGATTGTAGAAAGCAAGCATCCCGTTTGTTTCACTGAGCTCTGCACAACCAAGTGCCAAAACAAATCTGTATGTTCGGATTTTCTCAGCCAGTACAAACGTCATGCAAATCGAATCGGTCACTAGAATGAAGTCGTAGGGCGATGCTAGATCCCCATTGCCGCCGCGGCTGAAAACTCAGTCTGGCGGTGCACCGCGGTCTTGAACGACGTGCATATTGAAAGCCTCGTAATAAATTACACACTTTAACCACAGCAATCAAATCGGTCTATCAATTAAACAACCAATGCATTGCACTTGCATTGCAACCGATGCGTATAAAAATCAGCAGAGGCGTTTCTGGGCCCATATAAACGCCATATTACACTGATTCAGCAAGGTGTCGCTGCAGGTTTAGAGGACCTCCCACTGTTGGGAAAAATGTCTCCTATTGCTGACATAAAGTAGGCAAAGATCTGCCTTATTTTTTCCAGCTCTACTTTTCAATAAAGCATAAACAAACAAATCAGCAACTGCTGGTCATAATATTCTCATTGCAGTCACTACACTACTGTCACATGAGTGTTTTTGACACTTCAGCGCTCATGACACTCGAGTGATTGTAATGCCTGAGCATTTGTGACATTTGTGAACATATCATGCTATAGTACTTTTGACCCTTGACTACTTGTGACACTATTGCTCTTGTGGCACTTGAGTGTTCCTGATGCTTGACCGCTAGTGACATTCGTGTGCACTTAACACTATAGTGCTCTTCACACTCGAGTGTTTACGACACAATAGTGCTCGTAGCTCTCCTATTCCAAAAAAAGTCTGAGACAAGGCAATAAAAATATCTCACCTGCTGGCGCTACAACGTGGGCACAGCGTTGTTTACAAAGCTCTAGGGATTCAAACCGATTGTCGTTGCCCTCACAGCCTCCATAGGTAAAGTTGCGGCACTCGCGAGTTGCAGTGTCGAAGTACCACATCATCAGTAAGCCATAGCATGGCCCAGGCTGGTTGGGAAGGGTGCACACATCTACAAAACAAAAAAATTGATTGATTGATTGATTGATCGATCGACTGATTCATGTCAAAGCACTTGCTAAGAGGCTTATTAGCAAAAGACTCAGGTAAACAGGCAGCAATCAAAAGCACTTGGCCACGCACAACAACTACAAGCCCACGCCAGTAGCGATGATGTTGAGGCACAGGTGGCTCTTCCCTACAGATTGGTTGACTGATTGATCAATTGATCGGCACAGTGCAGGTCTAACTCGGCTGTGATGTGCCCATAACCATCTAGACACCGATTTGAATGCTTGATTCTCAAAGAGCCAGCATCATCATCGCTTACACTGAGCCATGACATCAAGCACAGTATAATTTGCATGGGAATGAGTTCTTAGTCTCTAATCTTTATAATAAGCTGGCTGTGAAACCAAGAAGAGGCTTCTAAGAAACACAACAGATGCAGTAATGAATAACTTCACCCAAATACTTTTAAGTTTATGAAGTACACATCGTGCACGTTTTTTTGTTGCAAAAGAAAGGCACTACGGAAAAGTATTTTCATGCAGCAAAGAACAGCTCATCACAGATTATCTTTTGTAATCAAGCTGTGTTTTTAATAAAAATTTGAGACATGCCTTTACTTTACAAACTCATGTTTCATTTGAATGAATGCAAAAATATTGCGCTCTTTGCAGCTTTCAATCTGTTCTTTAAGGTGTCACGGGATCTTGTCCTTTTTATCTTTATTTTGCATCATTTGATTGTCATCATCGAAATGGATGGTCTCTTCAGATTTTCCACAGCTATATACCATACCACAGAGAGCAGAAAGAACCAAAAAGAGCAGAGAAGTAACCCAGATACATGTCAAGTTTGTTACACTGCACATCGTACAGGAAAAGTGACACGTAAGGAAAGACTGATAGGAAGAGAGAGAGCACATAGAGCCTGCGCTTTGTCACAAAGACATGTCAATTCGAGGTAGAGTAGCAAAGCCTTCATTTCCTTCTGCGCCATCGACGTGCACGGCCCCGGTCCAACAATCTTAAACACTCACCAGGCGGCGTGGGGCGCTCAACGGGCAGCGGCGCCCCCTTGCGGCATTTCTTCTCGCATGCCTCACGGTCGTTAAAGCGGTTGGCATTGCCCTGGCAACCTCCATACGTAAACTCGTGGCACCGGTCTGTCTCGGTGTCGTAGAACCACTGGATGAACGTGCCACTGCACGGTCCTTGCACTTTCGGCAGCGTGCACACATCTGCATGCGTTCAAACAACAAAAGCGGTTGAGAAAAACTACTGGAAGCAAGCACAGCGGAACAGTGAAGCGCAATCGCTCGAAAGTGCTCTGCAACAAAGGCGAGTAATGTTTATTATGTACAGTCTGAACGAGTTGAAATATGACAAACTAGGGCAAAAGTAGTGCCAGCCAAGTTGGGCCCACTACGAGTTTCAACGTGTCACTCGCGTGGTCGAAGCAGTGCCAACGCTGCACAGTGGCGCTGAAATGGAGAACAATGAGCGACGTAAGAACTGTTTCGACTACCGGTGTCACGAATATCAATTTCACATTTGCTGGTGTAACAGTGTAACGCCAGCCAATGGGAATCCAAATCAAAGCGCTTATCCTTTGTACTTCATTCGTCTCACGCGTATTTTGCACTTACAGAAGTTTTGTTACACTCCTTTGCAGCTCCTACAACCATGGCGACCCTATTACAATTCATACTGAGTTCCAGCGTGTCTTCATTTCGGCTATCTTCAGATCGTGTCGTACTGCTCTGTAATTTTGGTACGAACCCTTACATGAAAGTAAGGTACATATATGCTCTCATATACAGTCGAATCTCATTAATTCAAACACTCTTAATTCGAACTTCCGGTTAATTCAAACTTACGATGAGGTCCCATCAAAGCTATGTGTATTCAAATGCACAAGCACTTGCAACGGTTAATTGGAACATACCGCCCTCCAAAAATGCTCTTAGCACCTTGCCCAAACCTGCGGCGGCACTTGCGACACCTCAACGCTGCACGTGAAGGAAATGAAAAGGAAAGAAAAGGCTGCGGTTATGGTGACTAGCCACCATACTGTGGTGGAGTGTTTGCTCTATTCCAAATGCTGGTCTGCGACACACCCGTGTCACGCTTCTCCTTTTTTCGTCCCTGCCACGTAAAGACTTTTCTCCTTCCAACACCGCACGTGAACAGAGAGAGGAAAAAAAAGAAAGCTGTTGCTGCGTTGAATGAATGTGAGGTTGAAGGAAAGGGAAAAGGCACTATCTGCTGCAGCCCTTGCCCCTTGCGGGAGCACGGCTCTGTGCCTAGAGGGGGGGGGTCTCACGCGCCTGTGCCATGCTTCCCCCTTTCCCATCCCTGCCACGTAACCCTTCTCCTCACAACCACCCGTGCGAAGAGAGCAAAAAAAAAAGGTTGCCGTGGAGAGTTGGTTTTCTCTCAATTGCCGATCTGCTTCTCTCCATGTGGAGACGCTCCTCCTTTCTCCGCACGTGCTGGCCACGCTGCGGCTGCGCAGCAGAAAAGCTTAGCTGCGCAGTCGTTGTTGTCGTCTTTACAAAGTGTCGGCGCTGGACATTTCCGCGCGCAACTTCTCTTGCCAGGAGAATGCTGAAGCCGAAGTAGAAATGCTTTGCAAGCTGCGTGCGAAATTGATTGACTCACTGCAAGGCAAACGTGTGCAGATGCGCATCACAGATGTCCTGTGATTTGTGAATAAATGTAAGTCTTCTGAAACTTCCCCCTCGTGTATTAGCTCAACGCACATGCGCCACTGCATGGAGAGCCCTCCGTTCATTTAGCTTTCATTAAATCACACTTCTTTTAATTCGAACAAATTTTCGGGCCCCTGCGAGTTCGAATTATTGAGATTCGACTGTACAAGGACAGATATAGTGAATTTCAGTAGCTGCCTTCCAGTTATTAGAGTCAGAGATGGCAGTGATAGAGGCACAGATGTGGTTAGAGTTTTAATGGTTCTAGGAATGGATTAGCCACAGTGAATTCTAAATTGCAATAAGGTACACCAACCATCAATGCAAGACAATATGCATGAGACGGCTATGGATCAACTGTTTCTCAGCTAGGTGATCGAAGTAATGTACTACTGGTTTGTGGAATAACTACAGTTCACGACATTTTCATAGCCAAGTGAGGTCTTCTCATCTCGGTTTCACTGCAGTGAAGAATGATCCTAGCAGCGAGAAAACTTGAAAATGAACAAAAACGGTCAATGCAGCAATAGAAAAGAAAGAGAGGCACTGCTTTTGATTCTCTGGCCATTTTCATTCAAGTTTTTGCACAAACACCAACTTGCCTAAAGAGTTATTCTGAATTCCATTGCAGAGAGTCTTAACAGCAACCAAAACTATAGAAGGGCCTCTCGATGTCACGTACCTTGAGAACTGAAGCACCGTTCCTCGCAGTCTCGGCGGGATCGGAAGCGGTTTCGGTTTCCAAGGCAGCCGCCGTAGTAGAACTCTCGGCACACGCCATCTTGCTTGTCGTAGAACCAGCGCACCTCCATGTTGGTGCAGGGTCCCGCTTCGTGAGGCATGAAGCAGAACTCTGCACGGGTTTCAGGATAGGCCTCGTTAGAGACCTTTAACGTGTTACGAGAATACGGTACGCAAATACGCTACCGCTCCCACTTTCCCAGTGAAGGACCTTTTGGTGGCGAAGGCAACACAACAGCACAAAAGCTTTTTAAAAAATTACTGTGGGGTTGTCATGCCACGTTGTTGCCTGTCAGTCTATGCATTGTTAATGAGACATCTGTCGGGTGACAGGCAGTCACTGAAATCGGGAGGAGCAAAAGTACAAAGAGCGGTGGAAAAGGAACATTGACGTACTGTCTTACCTTACCGTATTTCTGTACTGTACTTCTGTAACATACCAGAACTCTTTATCACAAAGATATGTAAGTAATAATAAATTTCAGGCTTGAAGCAAATGGAAATTTGGTTGAATAAATTGAACTCAGATAGCTCGAACAGTGTATATCAGATGTTACAGCTTGACCCACATATGACAAATTATTAACACAATAGCGTTAAAGAGCTCGTGTTGGAGAAATGCTGCTGTCAGCATTGGCGTTCTTGGTGGTGAACTAAAAATGAGTGACTAAAAAAAGTGACTAAAAAAAGTGCTGTTAGTGAGAAAAAACTTTGAGATAGACACAAATAATGAAATACTAAAAAAAAATTTCGGTCCAAGTGAGAATTGGACCCAGGCCTGAGTGGCAAGCTGGTGTTTTACCTTTGAGCCATGACACTGCTTGAAGCTGCTTCGTAAAAAACCCTATAAGTATGTCATGCAGTGGGTGGAGTCTCTTTCACACATGGAGGAATCTTCAAATCAAACCCGGCATCAGAATAAGGTAATTGCGAAAGCTGCCCATCCATTACAAAGTGTGCCGTTTGACAAGTGCACATGGCGTCTTACTGGCGCATAGTGGGTGCTTCACAAGCTTGCTAAAGGAAAAATTATTTATGACATAATAGGCTCTTAGCAACTATATTCAGCTGATCAGCGATGTCAGAATCTCTAACAAAATTTACCAGGACATTCAAGTTCCTCACCTTAAACCAGAACACAAACGTGTGTCTGCATGGTCTGAAACATTCAAAAACGAAAATGTGCAAATGCTATTGAATAGAAAATTTATACAAATTCTCTGCGGGAATGACAGCAGTGGCAATGGGTAGAGATGATATTCTTTTTTTTCCTATGTTATAAACGACCATAACACTTCTATTTTACAACATGTTTTGTTTTTTTAGAGCAAAAAGGCTTCATCGCAGTTCTCTCACCCTGCCTGAACTCTTCCTCAGGCTCGTCTGTTGGGGCAGGTTGTCTGCACATCTGTTGGCACTCCAGGTGCGAGGCAAAGTTATTCTCGTTTCCATCACAGCCCCCGTAATAAAAACGGTGACAGCGACCTTCCTCAGCATTGTAGTACCATCGCTCGCGGAACTCCACGCAGTTTCCGGCCTCTTGCGGCAGCAGGCAGATGTTTCGACCTGCAGTTCGACACTGTTCATGAACCCACAGAAAACTCTGTCATGAAGTTTTGTGAAAGCGCATAGCAATAAAAAAGTGGCAACCTTCTGCAGTGGTGCTGCACATCGTGACCTGCCCTTATTTCTGCCAAACAAGGGATGCAAAATATCACTACGTCATGACATCATTATGACATCACAGATAATGAGAAGTTGTGGCTTCATTATGACGTCACATAATGTGGCATTGCATGATGACATCGTCAAATGACATCAACGCTTGGTCAAAGGTGTGCTGATCAGGGAGGCCATGCAAAACCAGATAGAGTGCAAAAAGCGTTCAGTGTCTCCAATCTTAGAGGCAATGGAAAACCACCTTAGGTGCAGAAACATCTTCGAAAAGGGAGAACCAATACAGTAACAGAGAAGAAAGAGAAGATGGCTGTTGTCTTCAAGTCGTTCTAGCCATAGAGTTTCCTTCATATACACTAGAGGGAGCTCTGGCGCCAGTGTCTATGGAAGCTGCAACACACAGCACTTCAGCGAGCATGAGAATGATGGGTAAAAGATATATAGCATGTCTAATCTTCGTACTTCTGGCCTGCTTTTGGCTCCGTGTGTGTTCGTGTGGCTTGGGGCTGTTTTCTCACGAAATAAAAATCAGCAAATGTTCAGCGATTGCACTTCACCACCTTATTCTTCTAGGCTTACCATTTAGAATCGGGTCACGAAGTTCAAAAGCGTTTGTCCTTTCCATCAAAATGAAATTGAAACCTGCAACAATCGAAGCCGCAAGTACGATTCCCCACATGCAAGTACGAAGACTAGGCAAATCCTTGTACTACCCATCATTCCCATGGTCGCTGAACGATTGCAGCGCCAGAGTCTCCTCTAGTTAATTTTAGGAAACTCTATGGTTTTAACTACTAAATGCATTAGGAACTCAGCGAGTTTTTTTTTATGTGATTCGGTTTCACTCACAAAACCCGTTGAACAGCTCATAATAGGCCATGCAGTGATGTTTGGGAGGCTTCCACGACTGTTTCAGATTGTTCTGCTGTGATTACGAGCAGGACGCGCAAGTTTATTTGCGATCTTACGCAAGCATGAGCGAAAATTCCGGAAAGTTTGATCCCCTACATGTAAAAAATGACACAATCCACCAACCATAGAGTATACTGACGGCCAACACCTGCGAATACCACTGTCAGTGTTAAAGCGTCTACTGCTTGCACTTTGGCTCTTCATTTCTTGGGCACGAGTTTGCACAATAAAGCATTTCGCCTTTAACAGCCCAACTGTTGCCTTCTTCACCGTCATGACTATGAGACAGCACAGTAGCAGTGCTAAAATCACTGTTGAACACACAACAGTATGCAGCACTTTCACACTTATACTCGCCTGAAATATATACAGCAAATTCGGAGCTAAAATCAAAGTGCAAATCACCCGTTATTTCCGGCATGCAAGTTGCTTTCATGGCACGGCTTAATTGTAATGCAAAAAAGGCAGCTTCACGTCAGTGCGTGGGAGCTTTTGTTGTATGAAATATTACTTTGCCCTTGTTTGTGGCCTGAAGAGTGTGTTATAATTAGCGATAAGTCATGTGTGAGAAAATACAGTAATCATTCATGCCATGCACTTGAACATGAAATAGGTACGGTGGAGCTTCATTATCTTAATTGCACAGGAACCAGAAATTTTTCTTTATCAAACGCAGCAAGAGGTAAGGATTCCTGGGCCAATAGTGCCTAAGCCGTTTTCAAGAGAGGGAGGTAAACAATTAAGAATACACTGCTCAGATGCATAAATGTAAGTATACATGCATCTGTGCATGCAGTATGTTGCCAAGGCTAGGCATAGAATGTGCATGACATGCTCAACATCCTTATGAACATCGTCAGAGTGCTTTTTACCGGTAGCGAGGCAGGCACGCTCGCAGTCAAGCCTCGACTCGAACCGGTTGGCGTTGCCCTGACAGCCGCCATAGTAGAACTGCTCGCACCGTCCGGCCGCCATGTTGTAGTGCCAGTGCAAGATGGCCGCCCGACACGGACCCTCTTCCTTCGGCAGGGCACAGATTTCGCGTGACACTGCAGGAAAGACCAAAAAACAATGGATAACTTGATTCTTCATTATCTTCTGCATGCACAATTTATTTTGCTTTACAATTACTTTTTATTCCCAAGGCCTTATGGCATCAGAGAAGCAGGCAGGTGAGTTTCACAATGCAACATACAAACTTGATCAACAAAGGTTTACCAAAAGTGACCAAAGAGGAAATTATGAAAACCACAAAATACTGGCAATACAGTGGCCACTCTAGACTAAAAGTTTTTATTCTGTAGTTTTCAAACCTAGTATATTTTGCGACGCTTACGAATCTGCAATGCTTATGAAGAGGGTTGGAGCGATCATTTCATTTGTGGCAAGCCCTTAGTAAAAATAAATTCAGGTGTTTCACATCTCGACACATCCCCACATATCCCTCAATATTTAAAAAAAATAGCAAAAAATGTCATTTGAACTATATGTAACCTCTGCAATGGATTTAAAGGAGCAACATATCTTTAGATATATAATAAACAGATACTATAAATATACTAGAAGAAACATACAGTAGAATCACAGCCACCATAGGAATATATGAAGAAAGTGACAGAATTTCAATAAAGGAGTGTGTGAGGCTAGAAACACAATCTTCTCAATGCTATTCACTGCGTGCTTATAAGAGGTTTTCAGGGCCCTGGATGGAGAAGAGCCGGAAATAAGAGTTAATGGAGAGTACCTTAGTAACGTGTGATTCCCTGATGACATTGCATCAATAAATTGGGCATGAATTACGACTCATGATTACTGAATTGGAAAGGAAAGCAGAAGAGTAGGTGCGAAAATTAATGTGCATAAAATTAAGGTAATGTGCAACAGTCTCAGAAGAGAACAGCACTTTGCAATTGGCAGCGAGACACTACATCTTCTAAAATAATGCGTCGACATAGGAGAGGTGGTAACTGTGGATCTGAGCCCTGAAAGTGAAATAGTAACTAGAACATTAGGGATGGGGTGGATCACATTCGGCAAGCATTCTTAAATCATGAATAGTAGTTTAGCTTACCCCTATTCATCAAGAGAAAGATATATAACAGCTGTATATTACCAGTACTTAGCTACGAAGCAGAAACCTCGAGGTATACAAAGAGGGTTTAACTTAATAAATTGAGAACAACACAGTGAGAGAGGGAAAGAAAATTATCAGTGTAACCTTAAGGGACAGGAAGAGTGCAGAGGGGGTCAGGGAACAAACCGGGGTCAAGGCTATCATAGTTGCAATCAAGAAGAAAAGGACATGGGCCGGGCACAAAGGCAGGGCAACTGCTGGTCATTAAGGGTAATTGACTGGATTCCCAGAGAAGGCAAGCATGCAAGGAAAAAAGACAAAAAGTCAGCAGGACTTATGAGATTAAGAAGTCTTCGGATGTACAACGAGGCAGTAGCAAGCACAGGACCAGATTGATTGGCAGATCATGGGAGTGGCTTTTGCGCAGCAGTGGGTGTAGTCATGCCAACAACAATATCTTAAAACGCTTCTCACTGAGATCATCATGCAACAAATCATGCTTACTGAACATAATGAAGGTACTTTTGTGCAAGCTCACCTACATGACAGTGAGGAACATTTTAATTTTTATATAAATCATCATTATTACCCTGACTGCACCCACTGCAGCGAAAATGTCTCTTCCTAGTTTTGTCAACCAACCCAGTCCTGTGCTTACAGCGACCATGAAATCCCCAGACTCTTTAATTACATACACCGACCTAAATTATTGCTTCCCTCTTGGTGTACATGATTTCTCTTGAAATTTCTCTTGGAAAGAGTGAAGCCCCGTACATAACTCACCGGCGACTCTGGTAGAGTTGCACATGCGCTCACACTGGTCAAGCGTGTTGAAGCGGTTGCGGTTGCCCTGGCAACCCGTGTAGACAAACTCCTTGCAGCGCCCTTCTACGTAGTCGTAGTACCACTTGCGGTCTGCCGACAGGCACTGGCCTTCCTCCTTGGCCAAGATGCATATCTCTGCGCAAATCAAACAGAGGAGTCTGGAGCTGATCCCCACACCTTGACTGAGGTGTCTGTAGCAGCATTCACATGTCAACATTTGTGCATCATTCTATACTCAAACCATGATATAACGAATCTAGATATAACAAAATATCGGTCATACCGAAGTTAATGAAGAATAACCTTGCAATACTCTCAAACCTCAATATAACAAACATGGATATAACGAAATATTAGTTATAATGAAGTGAATGAAAAGTAGTCTTTGGATAGATGCAGTGTTAGAAATAACCTCTATAATGAACTTTTTAGATATAACAAACTTATTTTTGTGTAAAATGCAACTCTGTTATAATGAGGGCTGAGTGCACTCCTTGGGTTACCTTAGTATTTCGTCACGTTGCTGGAGCAAATCACAGAGGCCAGACAAAAGAAAGCGCATTGTTGTGATCTGCTCCTCCAGGTGGTGCTACGATCCCAGTTGCTCACAAGAATACCATGTGATCTTTCAGTAAACTAATCCAGTTAATTTTCACTGTTTTTCCTGGAAGTCAATTGGCCCTTATCTTACACAAACCTATGCTTTGATATGATAGGTATCTAACATAATTTTTAACTTGAATCACAGCCATCGATTTCGTATCAGTTTTCTATTTTTGAAAACCTTTTGGAATACTCAGAAAACTGGAAGCTCTCTACCAGACGTGTTTAAAAAAGAAAAACAGAGTGTAACTGGGTGCTCGTGCCACTGAAGAGAAAAAATGGACAACCGAGCTATCCTATTAAGAATGAATGAAGACAATAGCACCTTTGTAGCAGTGGAGAGCGAACAGTTTTCATGGTTAGCTGACACCAAGCATGTCTTAGCCGACATTATGCAGTGCTTGTATTATGCAAATAAGTACAGTAAACTTCGCACAAACTATACACATTTTGTCAAACATACACACACGTAATGCTAAAGGGAAGGCTGATTTAGTGGCAAAATGTATTTTTGTTACCTTTAATTATCACTGATTACCTTAACAGCCAAGACAAGCCAATTTTGTGATCAGTACTTGTCATATGTGAATAAATACAGCAAAGGAATTCAGTCAGCAAATTATCGTTGGCATCATTAGGATCATCGCATACAACATACTCTGTTGCATACAGTAGTTAGAAGAAGCTATAGAGCACACTTTCTTGGAAAAAAAAAAAGAGCTGCAATGTGACATTGGTCTGACCAAGTTAAGTCTACTAGAACTACGAGTCCAAGCACCTGTTCAACAAACTAGTAGCTGCCATTCCACGAGCGTGACCCTTAGCGTCATACTTCGGCCAACTTTGTCACATTAACAGAAAATTTTCTGAACTGTCATTTGAGACGAAAAACCATTGAAGGGGGAATGCGCCTGAGCGAAATTTTCAACCATAAGTGACTGTACAAAAGGAAGACAGAGCAAACGTTCACAGCTTTGTACAAGACAAAGGATGCAGTAGTAGGGTTGAGTTCATGGGCATGCAGAAGGGGGAGGGTAGGCAAGGGAGAGCTGCTCTCCTCCCCCCAAAATTTCCAAATATTTGTTTGTCTACTAGCATTAAGCTACACAGGTGAATTAGCAGCACTCAAGTGACACGTGCTTGTATGAAACAACCCTCAGAACTGCGAAAGTCAGCTTTTCACGATAAACATACAACTAATCTTGCCCATCATTTACTGGCAGTGAAAGGACGGTTGCGTGTGCTGGATACCCTTGCAAATGCCTCTCTTCCCCCTTCTTGCAAAGTGTTCTAACAAAGGCCTTTTGTAAGTTTAATGATAACTTAAAAAATTTACCATCTCCCACTAAAGGAAACTTTGTGTAGATGCGAAGCAGCGGGCGCTAATGCTTACACTGGTGGTAACGTTAACGCTTGCGTTCATGGCGGGGTTGCGCAGGAGAGAAACCTGGAGAGGCGCAAAGCACGCAGTGATAAACTGGTATTTCCTACAGGAAGATGCCACTCACTGCTAATGGGCAATGGGAGACAGAAGATTCCGACTGAATACAGAGACCCGCAGTCCGCTTTTAGTTAACACTAATATTGCGAACATATATTGTTCAACAATGCACATTAGAAATCTCCCACCGACACCTTCGAGGTCAAGACTCAGTGCCTATATATACGAAGTGGCCAGTGAACGGTTGTGCAGCGCAAGCAGTTGGTTTTTGCAAATCAAGAAGTTCGCTAGGAGTTGCTGCCTGCGTCGGCGTTGCAAGGCAAGAGAGAGGGGAGCGCAGGAGAGGAGATAGAGGGGGAGGTGCGCTGTCGTGATGTAAACATTGGGGGGGGGGATGCTTAGAGGAGAAAGAGCGGAGAGCAACCACAGATTAGCCGACACTCCCTGTGTCGGCTAGCGAGGCGAGAGACGGGGGAGCGAAGGAGAGGACGCGCATGCATAGTAAAGGTGCTCACGCAGCACATGGGATGGAGCTCGACCCTAAGCTGCTTCGCATCTAAAGACTTCTTGCTGGGTTAGTTAGTGTATACTTAGTAACATTTCCATTTTATCTTTACAAGGACAGACATATGAGAGCCAGAAGGACAAGCACTTATCCGGTTGTCTCTCATGTGTTTGTTGATTTACTGCTAAAACGAAGGTGTCATCAGGCATGCCCTTGGTTACATTGAAAAACCAACTAAACAAAAAAAAACTTATGTATACTCCAAATGGCTTCTTTATGGAGCGATGTGTAGATATTCACCACAACAATTAGGAATATGTATTTTCATGTTTGTCCTAAGTTGTTCACAATGAATCCTCGCCGCATGCAGACTCACCCTGTGCACTAAGCCTGACACATCTTTCCGAGCACTCGTCCTCCGTGGCGAAGTTGTTTGCGTTGCCCTGGCAACCACCATACGTGAACTGCTTGCACCGGTTCTCTTGCCGGTCATAGTAGAAACGTGGGTAGTTACCCCTGCACGGTCCTGGTGCTGCGGACTGTTCGCATGGGTCTGAAGAGAAGACAAGAACGATGGACAAGCTTAAAAGATTAGAAACTTTTCACAAAAAACTAACAATTTGAGTTTGTCAATTTTCTTACGAAATATCTATGAGCAAAACACATTTCCTGACCACTTTATCAATCGCCGAATTACCTCAGCATTTCCCTGGGCACTTACACCTAAGCCATGACTACAGTAGAAACTAGTTGATATGTTTTTGGGAACAAAAAACTCAGGAAGAAACGCAAAAATCAGAAAAAACACACCAATCAAATTCACTAAAACATCACACAGTTTCACTTGATAACAATATAGCAAATTTTGGTACTGAGAAATTGGATCAAGTGGGAATGTACACAAGTGAGATTATATACTGTACTTTGTTATGCTTTTATGCATCGCAACATTATGATAGATAGAAGAAAAGCAAGCTGAAGTTACAAATAGTAAAGCTGCTTATCTGCATTGAAAAACACTTGCCAAGCGTTTCTTGGTGCAGGCACGTCTGCTCGCACAGGTGTTGGCTGGTGAAACGGTTGTTGTTTCCGTGGCACCCGCCGTACATGAACGACTCGCAGGTGCGAGTGGCCGAGTTAAAATACCAGTGCTCGTACTGGCCGTCACACGGACCAACCACCTTGGGCAGCAGGCAGGCATCTGAGAGGCACGCAAATAAATGAATTATCATTGTGACTAAAAATATGGAAGTTCATTTGCGCACGCTTGATTGCAGAAAGATGCCACTTATTCAATCTTTGAATGAAACACTGGTTGTTGGAGCTTCCAAAGGTGTGGAGACCATGGGAAGGATGAGAAAAACACTGCTGTACCCACGTAATAATACCTTCGTCTCCTTTATATATCAATAAACAGGATGGCGTATATGCATTGCAAGTATGTGCAATATTTCCCAGCCAATAAACACTGATAGCTTAATGGGTCACATCTGATGCAGAAGTCACTGCTGTGAGGTGCTGTCATCAGTGTGTGCACCGATTTTAGGAGCAAATCAGAATGTCAAATGCGTTTATTTTGTGGCTTTAAACACCACCAAGTCCCGTAGTAAGAAAATGTACAGAAAAAGCATGCATTATCTGGCGAGCAGAAGCAGAACCCTTTCGATCAATAGCTATACAGACCACAAAAAGTATGAGAGTCAAAAGGTCAAAACATTTAAGTAGGAGTTATGATCACAAGCTAGGTTAGAAGTCCGCCTTTTCACAAATGTCATGTCACATACTTTTGTCGTCAAGTGTGCAGTGCTCATGTGATAAACGCGACATCAAAAACATAGGTGTAACATTGGGCATGTTCAGAATCTCGAGATTACCATGTCTTGTCAATACGTGTCTAGCAGTTAAGGTTGGCGTTAACTCTAATCTCACTAAGAGTGACTATAATACTGATACAACACAAGCCGATGATAGTGGAAGTGAACATATACGCATTACGCAGCCCTAAGTTTATGCGTTTCATTTTGCGAACACTTTACGTACAGTAACTGTACTTGAGTTCACCTCAACTCAATTCACTCACCAGGTCCTTCGGGTTTGACGCAGATTGCCTCGCACTCTTCCTCCGAGTTGAACCGGTTTTCATTGCCCTCGCATCCGCCGTACCAGAAACGGCTGCAGCGGCCGTCAGCAACGTTGAAGACCCACTTGACCGTGTAATTGCGGCAGGGGCCAAGCTCTTCAGGTAGACCACACACGCCTGAAAAATTTTGACATTTTGTAGGTACCCAAATTGACTGAAAAATGGCACTGTTGATCATTACTGTTGATGTGCACATTTTAATCGGCCATGATGGATGTCACACTTTGCGAGCAAAAATATTATAAAGCGAAAAAAAAAAAAACATGTATGAAGTGTGAATACCCCCATGCAGGATGTGCTGGAACCAGCGAGCCACATAAATGGAACCAGGTCGCTTCGATAAGCGGGAGTGCCATCAATCCATTTGGGAGGTCGTGTTAGAACCAGAATCAGCTGCTGGAAGCAGCGTCCTGGTACGAAACAGAGCGCGTACAACTCAAAGGCAACCGCTGCATGCATGTAGCTTCGTCACTTTTTCTTGTCCAGTTGGTGGAGGACACCGACTCCATGCCTCTGGTGGCTCTCCTGGCTCTGGTGACCTCAATAAAATCCCTCAAAGGTGATCAGATGGACGTGTTGCCTCCACATCTCACCCTTATCTCCAACGTTATCTTATTTAACACAGTGCATGAATGTTCAATGCAAACATGCAACACTGTGCACTATGCATTCAACAGTGCTCAACTTCCTTGCTTAAGAATCACATGGCTGCCTACAATGGCAGACTGAGATGTGAGGCTGTGAAAAGGAATCTAAAGAATATCAGCTGTAGCAACAGTAAGAGAGGTAGTAGAGGCGATTGTTGTAGTACATAGTAGCCTTAAAGGAAACAAAGAAGGAACAATAGTTGGCAGGCATCATCATAAGAGTACAGTCGAATTTAGACAAATTGAACATGAAGGGGATCACAAAAAAAGTTCACGTATATGTTCGTAATTAGATCTATGAAATTTTTCATATAATGACAATACTTGAAGCAGATTTTACAACCATTTGACATACGCAATAATTCATTATATGCAGGTTTGAATGCGTGACTTTTTAGTAGACACAAACAAAAACAGGAAGCAGTAGTACCGTAATTACTCGAATCTAATGCGCACCTTTTTTCCGGTTAAGCGAGTTCATAAATCGCATGCGCGTTAGAATCGAGCACGAACAAAAAAATTATGGCTAATCTATTGCCATCGGCGAATCTAAAATGGCCGCCCCCTACGTGCGTCGGCATGGCGTGTCGTCCATTTCTGCCTATGTGTTTCTCATGTGCGGCACTTCGTATGTGTGCTGAGGAGTTCGTCATCTAGTAGTGCATTAGCATCGACGGCGTGGAATGGCCGACTCCAAAAACTCGAGTGCACCACAATGCCGCTTTTAAAAGAAAAGTCATCGCGTGTGCAGAAACGAACGGAAATCAGGCCGCATCGCGGTCGTTCGGAGTTCCCGAAACGTGCGTGCGGGACCGGCGTAAACAAAAGCAGAAGATTTTCGACAACAAAGCTTTACGCAAAGGCTTCAGTGGACCACAGCAGGGTCGGTTTCCGCAAATTAAAGAGCTGCTCGGCGAGTATGTGCTTTAGCAGCGAGCAGCACAGCGGCCCGTGACGGCAGAACTGCTCCAAGTGCGGGCTATGCAATTAGTCTTAGAAAAAGGTCTAATGCGGAGCCAGTTTAAAGCGAGCAAGTGCTGCCCCGCCGTGGTGGTCTAGTGGCTAAGGTACTCGGCTGCTGACCCGCAGGGCGCGGGTTCGAATCTCGGCTGCGGCGGCTGCATTTCCGATGGAGGCGGAAATGTTGTAGGCCCGTGCGCTCAGATTTGGGTGCACGTTAAAGAACCCCAGGTGGTCAAAATTTCCGGAGCCCTCCACTACGGCATCTCTCATAATCATATCGTGGTTTTGGGACGTTAAACCCCACAAATCAATCAATCAGCGAGCAGGTGCTGGCTAACTAACTTTATGAAAAGGAAAGGCTTTTCCCTCCGAAGGGGAACATGCATATGCGAAAATTTTTGCGGAGGAGTACGATGAAAAGCTTCACTGTTTTCAGAGGTTCGTCCTAAACTTGCGGCGCAACAACGACTACCTGCTTGGGCAAATCGGGAATGCCGATCAGACGCCTCTTTACTTCGACATGCCTGGCACCACAACCGTCGAGAAGAAGGGGGCGAAGCAAGTTCGCGTGCTGACATCGGTCCACGGTAAAACTACAGTGACGGCAATGCTCTGTTACACGTCAGATGGGCACAAGCTTCGCCCGTACCTCATATTTAAATGGAAGACGCTCTCGAAAGGAGTCGTTTTTTCGAGTGGTGTGATCATGCGGGCCAGCGAGAAAAAATGGGTGCGCGTTGCAATCGATGTCTTACGTTTTTTTTTTTTTTCGCGGTGGAAACTGGGTGCGCGTTACAATCGAGGGCGCGGTAGAATCGAGTAAATACGGTACAGTATTCTGGTTTTACCTAGGCACCATCACAGGGCTATTATTGCATGTTGAAAAACATAAGCATGTATGTACACATATACTCACATTGCTTGTCCTTCCCAAAGAAGCAATGAAAAAAAAAACCACCACTAATTATTATGTAATGCCTTCACTTGCTTAAAAATAAATGCTTGCATAAAACATTATTGGCAAGTAAATCCTTTGGTATTCTGAATGTTTTTATTAGAGACATGAAAAGTTTTAAAATGCACGAAGAAGTTCAGACACTACCTATTTGAATGATAATTTGGGGTTGAACCCTCGACATTCGAACTGCGATTACATGAACAGCCCGCAATTTCCCCCAATAACTTAATAAACAGGTCTGCAATTAATCACAGAGCTCCTGTGTCATATATGGCCTCATTATAACGAGAAATCACCAATATAGCCATGCACTGTAACGAGGACACTTTATAGAATAAACCATAGGCGTGCACACGGTTACATATTAGGAAGCGTGAGGTGGCAAAGTATCATCACAGTGCTCTCTCCCCCCATCGTTAGTCAGCTCCAAAGGACACCTCGCTTCACAATAAATGAAAAAAATTTAAATGAAGCAATGACGTTCTTCTCATAATGGTTTGCCTTGGGTCCCTGACTTTCATGTAGAAAAGACAGGAAGGAAGCAAACAGTTTTTGGAATTCAACATCGGTGGCGTTGGGCTGCAATTACTATCCTCAAACTTCAATATAACGAAGTTGCATCTTACAAAAAAATAGGTTTGTTATATCCAAAAATTAATTATAAAGGTTACTCCTAACAGTGTATCTATTGCAAGACCATTTTTCATTTACTTTGTCATAACCGATATTTCATTATATCCATGTTCGTTGTATTGAGGTTTTAGTGTATCTTCAAAAACATGTGAGGAAAAAAATTGAGCAAATGTATGGGGCGGAACTTGCACAACCCCTCCCCTGCACCTTTAATGCACGCCTATAGAATGGATGTTTAACCAGGGGAGTTCAACCGCTTTGTCAGGGGATAGTTTGTCAAGGCACCAAAGCACTTAACAGACATACTGGAAGGCCTTCAGAACTACTATGAAGGCAGTAAAGACATGCATTTGTTTTATTTTTGTCTTTTAGAGTTACATGACTTTTAGGACTACTTCACGCTTTTTGGAGACAGTGAAAAATCGTGCAATGGCTAAGTGCGTACTGTTTTTGTGCATACTTATCAGCATCACCGCATGTGCACACACCACATCTGAGCAGCATCACAAACGCGATCAAAGTGGAGCTTACTGGCGCTGACATTCCTGGCGGGAACGACCATCGTTGTATCGGGGCAACCCTCGAACTTGCGACCTCTGGCAGCAGTGACCCCATCGGGGCAGCAGCCGTATGCAGTCATGGCGCACGTGCAGCCGTCGTACTCGGGTCCTCGAGCCGGAGTTCGCCCATCGGGGCAACAGCCGTGCGGATAGTGGTGGCACGTGCAGCCCGTCAGACTGGGGCCCGTAGCTGCCGTACGGCCATCAGGACAACAGCTGGACGAATGCACACATCACCTGATTAGCTCGTTAATTTGTCCACATCCAAGTGTAGCCCATTTAATTAATTTGTCCACAAGCATCCCAGTGTAGCCCACTATCGAGAATGGGTGTGTTAAAATCAGAATCGATTATGACATTGTTAAAAGAACGAGTTGGTATACTTGAAGGCAGCTATGATGTAAACTAAGTGACTAATTAGTTAGCTCATTACTTTGCTCATTCACACCTGAAAAGATCTCATTGTAGCACACTATGAAAAGTGGTTGTTAATACCAAATTCAATTGCACCCAGACCTCAATACAACAAACACGGATATAAGGAAATGTAGGTTATAACAAAGTAAATGAAGAATGATCTTGAAATGAATAGTGTTAGAAATAAAATTAATACTGAACTTTCGATTGTAACAAACTTATTTTCTTGCAAGATGCAGCTTTGTTCTGTGGAGGCTTGAGTGTATGACATTGTTGCAAGAATGCGTCAGCATACCTAATGGCAGGTATGATGAAAACCAGATCCTCAACACTGATAATGTACTATATTAGTGATATTAATACCACAGTGCCCACATTTTATCATAAGAACACACTCAAGGCAAGCATGCAAAGCCATACAGAGCTTTGACGGGCCACCTAAATAACCATACCGCATAATGCAGCAAGCATAATGACTTCAAAATCTTATCTTAAATCTCTTTCATTCCTCTTTCTAAACTTTTTCTTATCTTTTTTTTTGTTGCCAACAAGTGCATTTAGCAGAGCGATGAAATCAGGGCAGTTAGTGACGGTTTATGGTTTCTTGTTTCACTGCGAATGCTGAGACTACAGGACAGGTGGTGTGCACCTGTCCTGCAGTCCCTGTATCGTCCTCGTCTCATCATTTGCAGCAGAAGAAACCATAAACTTATAAGTAAACCTTATATTAGACTAAATCACATTACCATTAGTATCTAAATGTTTCATGCCTTCTTTGTTCACCAAGAAATTTTCTTACTGACCTGCTATACACTTATGTACACCCACGAGTTAAAGTATACAGACCCATGGAGTAGGTGCCGAAACTGCCATCTATTGGCGAGTTGCCTGCTGTTGGGAGTACCGTTCAGGCTGAATTCGCCAGAACAATGCCCTCGACAGACCATGCCACTTCAAGCTGATTTATTGCCATTTTATTAATTTAATTTTTCACATACACTCAAACCTCATTATAGTAGACTCTCAGTAAACGGAAATCTGTTGAAGAGAAGTACTGCTTAAACGGAACTATTGCACCTGCAATGCTTTGTTTCGCGCTTGTATCTTGCACCCATGCTTACCTTTTAGTAAACGGAACTCCTATTAAATGGAACATATTTCCCCGGTCCCTTCAGGTTCTGTTTACTGAGAGTCTACTGAATAACGAAGTTGCACATTGCACGAAAACAACTCCGTTACATACTAAAATTTGTTATAAAGGTATATTCCCAACACTGTATCTACTGAAAGAGTATTCTTTATTTACTTCATTATAACTGGTATTTTGTTGTATCTGGGTTTGCTATACCGAGATTTGAGTGTACTAAAATTCTGAAAAATGTTTGAATATTTGCGCACATCTAATTGTTCCTCTAAATCTTCAGTCAGCATCGTGGTGTGTGGCTTACATTTGTACCTCCTCTGCTTAAGCAACCAAGCGAGTCACGTTTTTTCGCCTAGACAAGACGCACCCATAGACCAGATTCTGGCACTCGCAGCCGCGGCCGTCCGGTCCTTGAGCAGCAGTGATTTGGTCGGGGCAGCAGCCGTACGGCATCGCCGTGCACGGACAACCACCGAAGGCAGGCCCACGAGCCGGCGTTTGCTAGGGTCAAAGGAGAAGACCATTAACGTACTGAGAATTCTTTTGCGAGAGACAGTGAAACTGCAAGTTACTATGGCAAAGGGCATGACAGCAGCTTAAATGTTTGCTCAGTAACACGAGAAACCACAGAGCGTACACGCGTGATCATCCACACACAAGAGACTGCACACAAGGGAGTGCGATGGCAGTTCTGATAGCGTGTAGATCGCTTGCGACATACAAGTACTAGACACATGATATTAATGCAAGGATAGGCATGAAGTATAGATGACAATTATTACTGAGCCAGAGCAGCAAACGAAATGCACCCCTTCTTTGTGGCGTGAAAAGAGCACTCAAAAGGCACCTTCTCGCCCTGTCTCTGCACGGGTGAAGCACGAAAGCTGCGTCTGCCTGATGTTATCACTCTGAGTTGGCGCCATTACTCTTAAACCAAAAGCCAATAATAAGTATTTTGTCTAAAACGAAATGAAAAATAATGTTTCGATCGCTCTTTTGTTTCGGTTACAAATATCCTTTCTTTTATTTTTCGGTTTCCGCTCCATTCCACATGACGAGAAGCCTGTCGTTCACTCACTCGGTCTGGGCAGCAGCCATAGGGCATAGTCTCGCAACCGCAACCGGCAAGGTTAGGTCCACGAGCCGGAGTACGCCTGTCCAGGCAGCACCCAAACTCCATGATCTGGCACGGACAGCCTTGCAGGTTGGGGCCCTCAGCAGGAGTGACGTCATCGGGACAGCAACCGTAAAGCAGGCGCGAACAGATGCATCCTTCAAAGTTTGGACCACCGGCCGGCGTGTGCTTGTCTTGGCAGCAGCCGTACGGATAGTTGTGGCAGGTGCAGCCGTAGTACCTGGCAGTAGGAGTGGCAGGAGAAGAACGTCAGGCTTCAGAGGCTCCAGTCTTGAAAACTGAATGACTGCTAGAGGCAGCTGTAAGTGTGGGTGTTCATTACGGTGAGAGACTACAGTCAGTCAGTTTTATTTTTCCGATGCAAGAATTTTACATTGATTGCTTCCACATCACCATCATGATGTAGTTATTTCAGAGTCACTAACTTCTTTTTTTTTTTTCATTGTCTTCTATGTCTCGAACCTCAAGCTAAAGTTTGGAAAACAAAAAAAAAAAAAGAGCAATCAAGATCAGGCAAATTACTTTGTGTGTCACAAGTAAATGAAAACAAGGGTCAACAAAAGCAGAAAGAAAATGTATTGTCCATAACGTCATGCAAATGTAGAAACCACAAAATGGTGAATTAATGTGTATAAGACACTGGATATCCGCTCTAAATTGCTTTAAACGTCCTCTGCGAACATATGATGTCTGCCTGGGGTGCTAGTTAAATTTATTTACTGTAACAGGAACTTCCCTAAGGCACATTGCTTTGTGTACCATTTACGATCACTGCTTTTTGTTTTTATACAAACCAAAACAAGCTAGGACTTTCTTAAAAGAACCCCGTCACCAAAACTGAAACATGGACATGTTTTTGTTCTTTCATTTCTCTGTGTATGTTGGCACTTCTGATCAATAATTATTTGTGAACATTGCCTTTAAGAAACTTTAAATTGGTTTTAAAGTAAGTGTGAGAGCCCGTCTAAGTTGGCAGCACCTCGGGGCTTCGCCACTGGTATGACGCAGGTCAAGACCTTGTGAAATGTTCGAGTAAAGCGAGTACTGACGTACCCCAAATAGCACCAGACAAGGACTACTGTTCGTCACCCCTCGCGCTCTGTTGTCAGGCTACTCTAAATGTGGTTTTGGCTGTTAACACCACAAATGCTTTTCCTCTTTCTGATGAGACACGCTCTTAGCAGTCTAGTGAATGCTTAACAAGCTTAACTCGTACAAAAGCACACAAATTGTTCCATTCTTTACCGTAAGGGGGGGCCCTGATTTGAAAACTGCACTTTCTACGTCACCAAAGCACACGAGAACTTGGGTGCTCCCCCTACTGCGGTAAATCAGTGGTTTCCTATGAGTTTAGGCGAGCATTTCTCAGTGACGTTAAAATTGGTCGAAATTATTTATGTTAGCATAAATCATATGATACATCAGTACATTTATGGCAAAAATTTTGGTATTATCAGACATAAAGCAACAAATTGCAGTAAAAAAATTGCAGACAACAATTTCGCTCTAGAGCCTGGGACTCTGATTTCAATGATACCTCGGCCCACTAGCAGTGGCAATCCCATCGGGGCAACAGCCGTGTGGTGTCGTGTGGCAGCTGCAACCAGCCCGATCAGGTCCCTGCGCCTCCGTTTTGTTGTCAGAACAGCAGCCAAATTCGGTGTGGAAGCAACAGCCTTCGCCATCGGGGCCGAGGACAAAGGAAGTGTTGTCTGCGCAGCAGCCATACAAGGATTCACTGCAGTTGTCGCAACCCTCGAAGCCGATGCCTGATGCCGGAACCTGTCCGTCGGGACAGCAGCCGAACTGGGTCTTTTCGCAGCCCACAGCGCAGCCAGCAAAGTGTTCGCCTTCCGCAGCTTGTATTCCGTCGGGGCAGCAGCCAAAGGTGGTGTTTGTGCAGTTGGTCTCGTAGCTACATGTGAAAAAAAGAGCGGTCAAGGTTTTCTGCTACTATTTGCGCAGAAGGCTGCTCAATATGTCATACTAAATTTCCTCGTTACAACACATTCCACACAACAAGAGCGACACATGAACACATACAGAGGTAATGCAGTCTGCAAGTTTAATGTTTATGCTGCGTCAGGTACACTAACTCAATGGCATTTCATGAGAAGTTTTGCGACTTTCTTGTGCCTTTAAGGTGATCCCTGCCACCTGCAGATAAGCTTTTGTAACTGTGTCAACTGGCCCGTAAAACAAGTTCAGCTTGAGATCTGGCTTAACTTCCTCAATGCCACGAACTTAAAACTTTCTGATGATGCTGTTTGCACGTCTCACAGTTAATCATTATACGCATTTTTGTCAGTGACAACACCTAACCTTTTTTTTTCTTACTGCGAAAGCTGTTATTATATCACAACAGGAATCACGTGCGGTGCCATAGTTTTCCGCCGCCGGTGTTCGTAACCAATATCACACGAAATAAGAAAAAATAAACTCAAATTAAAAACATCAAGAACATGTAGTGACATAGTGGGATTCAAACTTGGATCCACTGCGTGCAAGCCCAGTATTCTACCGCTGAGCCACGCCGGTGCTTGGGGCTCAATTGCAAACCTGCCTAAGGCAGGCTTGATGTCGGAAAAGGAATTGCGTTAATTTGAGTAATAAAGCATTTTAGAACAGCAAAATAACAACCAGGCATCACACAATGCGAATCGCATAACTAGTAGGACGTCCAATGCTTCAACACATTGGAACAGCTTGTTCTTCATCACCTATTAACTGTGGCACATACCCACTTTAGGTGTTATTCTTCATCGTGGTCAGCCACTGAATGCAACACAAAATTCATTACAAGTGTTTAGCAGATACTACGCTTCACCAAAGAATGACGAAGGATAGCATAGTGAATCCTGGCCTACTACACAAAAATTATGATTATATATGGCATAGTGGGTACCCCACAAGTGTGCTTCTAGCATTTAGCCAGAGTGTTCAGAAAAGACACTGAAAGGCTGCTTTTTATGCTATTACTGCGACTGTGCTGCATGTTCTGCGCATGCCAGGCGATTTTTTTCTGCGTGCTTCTATGAGAACATGTGTGACATCTGTTTTTACGCATTTGTTTTAAGATCCAACCCTACTGGAATGAATGTGGCATAGCCAGTGACTGAACCCTCGACCTTGCAATCTCAGTAACAATCTATCATACATGTGGTGAGTTTACTCAGAGGCAGTGTTTAGATGCTTTGCGCCACACAAAGAGCTGCACTGCAAAGTGCAAGAACAAACAGGCGTAATCTCAGCCATCTGGGTTAATTTATGTTACTATACTGCCACATAAATTCACTTACATGCATAGAAAGGTTGGCTTTCTGGTTCTCTCCCGTGTCTACACAGGTACTGTTCTGGTATTTGATCCATCAAAGACGTTTCAAGGTTTCATAATCTGCCCAATTATGCACTCACTTCAGGTTTATTTTACCACTGCTGATGCAACATTTTATTGCTTTATTTCAATAAGCCCTACCTCTGGTGCTACTCGTGCATAGTAGTACTAGAGGTGTTTTCTCAAAACTGCGTCATTGAGCAACCCATCTGAGCATGTATTAAAACTCTAGGCATTGATGGCCTTCCCAGACATTCATTGTGCAACAAAAAAGTCATCGTAACTCCTTCACAATATGTGCGAGCAACAATAGTGTGATCGCTGCTTCTTTTCCAATTCGCGGACATCTATCATGCTTGCCAGTGTCACTGAGTCGACTGCCGTCTTTGTAGCCACACGTTCAACAAACAAAGCGTTGAACCTCGTCGTCACTGGATTTCCACAATGCATGACAGTGAGACAACTGCACCTTAGGCATATGTGGAGTGAAATGGACTTGCGCACCCTTCACAGCCTTCAAAGTTGGGTCCCACTGCTGCGGTGACATCATCAGGGCAGCATCCAAAGGTTGTGTTGGCACATATCACACAGCCCTCGAAGTCAGGGCCCGCGGCCGGCGATTTCTTGTCAGGACAGCAACCGAAAGCATAGTGCTCACAGGTGCATCCTTCGAAGCTGGGTCAAGCACGCAACAACACTTTATGTTAGCATTCTGCTATCACCTTCTAGTTCATCAGAAAATGCTATGAGATACAAAAGATTTCAACTAATTCAATATTTTCTACGCTCATTCTTATGACGTTGTGCACATAGCTGCAGTCATTCCAACATATTTCTTCATATATTTCATGGTAGTGGCACACTTGCGAGTAAAAAAGGCTAATGGCTCAACTTATTATGTCTTAATAACGAACAATTAGACTGAGAGATCAATGTAAGCTATACATAACAGTAACACGCCTTTTGTGGGGATGACTGTGCAGCTAAGTTGGGCTAGTAGCCACTGCAAGCACACCAAACAATCGAATGACTTAGCCACATCTCTATCAGTAACAGGCTCTGATTTCAATGTTCCTAACAGAAACCTGTATCATAGATGTACACAGGCAGACAGGAAAACAAACAATTCAATATACGTAAAATTAAATGACTGCCAGTGCATCTCACTACCAACTGAATGATGCTGATTGAAGCAACAAGATAGAGAATTTCAGATCACAAAAGAGAAATCATCAAGGCCAACACCAGTATCATACATACTCGGGACCAAGTGCGACAGTGACGTTGTCAGGACAACACCCATGCACTGTCTCGTTGCAGATGCAGCCGTCGGCCGTTGCCGCCGTGACATTGTCGCGGCAGCAGCCAAACTCTGTAACCACACAGCAACCCTCGCCGTTGGGTCCTAGGGCAAAGGTCACATTGTCGTCGCAGCACCCATGCATCGACTCTGAGCAATTCCCGCAGCCCTCGAAGTCGGGTCCCTTGGCTGGCGTGACCTTGTCAGGACAGCAGCCATACTTGGTGCCCTCGCAGCCCTCCGCACAACCTTCGAACGCCTCTCCCTTCGCGGCACTGACGCCGTCAGGACAGCAACCAAACGTGGTGTTCCTACAGTCGTCACACCCTTCGAGACCCACACCGCTCGCTGGCGTTTTGCCATCCGGACAGCAGCCGTACAGCGTATTCTCACAGTCCGTCGGTTCGGTCCCACTTCCTTCGATCTCATCTTCACAGCCGAGCCCGTCTGTACCCAGGGCGGCAGTAATTCCGTCTGCGCAGCAACCGTACGTTGACAGAGAGCAGTTGGCGATTGGCGTGACCTGGAAGAAGGGTGGACAGCCTTCGTTGTTTGGTCCCTGGGCCATTGAAAAGCCATCTGGACAGCAGCCATGCATTGAGCCCTGGCAGGGTTCTTCCGTGCCCGACCCCTCGATGCAGTTTAGCCCACCGGGACCGTCTGCTGCCGTCATATTGTCGGGACAGCAGCCGAACTGGGAGTCGGCACAGGGTACAAACGCAGGCGTCGTGGTTTCGACACAGTTGGTTTTGTTCACGTCTTCGGCCGCAGTGATGCCATCTGGACAGCAGCCCCATTCAGCAGCTGCGCAATTGGAAACGGGGGTCACGTTGGTCGTGGCCAAGAGACAACCCTCATTGTCGGGGCCCTCAGCCGGTGTCTCGCCGTCAGGACAGCAGCCGAACTGCGTGCCATTGCAGAGCGACAGCTGCTGACAACCCTTCCTGGAAGTGGAGGTGTGCACAAAATAGGTTTATAAGGGTGCACCGCACCGTTTCATTGGAAGAGTCATCGAGATGAATTGAGTTAAACAAACAAATGAACTATAGCTTTATCTTTGCATTTGTGCAGTGTATATGCAAATGAAAGTTTAGGTTGACTTTTTTTTCATATCGTGGCACATTTGTTGTAACTCCTGTACTAATGCTTCATTATTTATAGATGTTATACCATATGTGTTTGTTAAATAATTGATTGGATACACAGCTTACTTTTAGTTATTTTAAAGTCTTAGTTACAACACTTGAAACCAATTTATACTAGTGTATGAATTTATTATGTGCATGCTTCCTTCTAAAATACCCATAGAAATTGGCATTTATGTCTGAAATGAAACAAATAAATATGTGGGACCCCCTGCCTTATTATAGCAACTCTTCACTGATTGTGTTTGGTATGCCTACTGTATTCTTTATTTCTCAATTAGCACCTCAGTTTGAGCATGACATTTTATTGACCTTTATTTTAAATAAAGCTTTTGTCCAAGATCATGTGTATCCTATACAACTCTTAAATTGAACGAATCCTTCCCCTTTATATGTATAGGCTTTGACTTTTTTATAGGCGTTTCATAGCATTCGAGCCAAAGCTCAACTTCTGATTGGCTGTGAGTGAATTCGGGCATACTTTTTTTGAAAAAAACATGTCACTACATGCAAGTGCCAGACAGAGAGAGAGAGATGGCAGAGAAGCCACAAAGACAAGTCCGCTCACCTGAATGGCCCAAAGGCCGGGGTCACACCATCCAAGCAGCAACCAAACTCGGTCGCCTTGCAGCCACCTTCGACGACGGCGGCCTTGGGGCACCCAGCATAGTTTGGACCAGCGGGTGTCATGCCGTCAGGACAGCAGCCGTGCTTAGATTCCTTGCAGCCTCCCAGAGGAATAATTTCATCTAGGAAAAGGTATGTCTTGCATTAGCATTGATACAAGTCTGGTGAAAGGATGTTACTACGCTGGTGCAGGACTGTGAGTGTGCAATGTCTGTTTCAGAGAGCTCCAACACGCTTTCACCAACAGCATCTTACATATGACTTATGGTCAGTGCATGTGCATTTCTTCTAAACAGAAGGAGAACGGTTGAAGAGATCACTTTCTTGGTTAGACACAACTAAATAAAACCAACAAAAAATAAAGCCAAAAAAGGAATAGAGGACATTGCTTGCAGTCTTTCTTTAACTGTAGAAGCAGTTATGATGTGGATCACCTGAGCACCCTATCCACTACACCACGACAGAACATGATGTGAATGTAAAAAAAAAATTAGAAGTAGCGAAAAAGAAAACTTGTTGCTAGCATGAGCTCGACCTAGAACCTTCAAATGACGCATCCGATGCTCTACCAATTAAGCTGTGGCAGCTTGTCATCTTGCCGTCCAATTAACTTGGCATATCTATGCGTTTAAACTTGAGACTGTTTAGTCAGTGCTGCTCGCAGCCATCACAGCAGGGTACGAAACACTCATTAGTTGCGAGGTGGCATCATGTAGCACATGATATATTTACAAAGGCATCAAGCCTGCCAGACCGACGCTTTCAGCTCAAGTCTGTCCGAACAAGACCCTCTAAGAACAAACAAAAAAAGAGCTCGTTTTCTTCGATGGACACAATCTATTGAAACAAACAGACAATAAAATCAAGGCAGGTCCACACAAACAACATTGCTTGCAGTCTATTAACTAACACTAGTGTATCGATTATTACATAAGTCGTTTTCAAGCCAGAAAACACCCTGTGAATTTGTATTAGTCCATGACGAGACGGAGGTCACAGTGAACCTTGCATCGTACCTTCATCACAAGCATCCATGTTGCACGACTCGGTGTCGAACGGCTTCTTGCCGAAGTCGCAGTTCTTCGGCGCAGCTGGTTTCCCGTCCACATGGCAGATGACGGTTCTTTTGCGCTGGCCGCCTCCACAGGGCGTCGAGCACTGCGAGGAATGCCCGTTGCTTGCCATGAGTCAGACTTCCCTCAGACGTCACAATCAGCACAAATATACATTGTTTGGTGGTCCTTCAGAATCACTCATGGCTACCCTGTATGCCAGTGCACTTGTACACGATGTGCCATACGGCTATGTTGTATGGAAAGGCATTGGCAAAGGACATAGCCAAATGCACTTGCATACGAAATAGCCATAGCCTACAGTTGTCATATTCAAGTGCACTTGCATATGACATAGCCATATGCACTTGCATACGGTGTATGCCAGTGCAGCATTTAAAGAGGGATGTGCCCCCGGCCCTTTTATATCACTGCTCAAGAATCAAGTCTGAAAGAACACTCGTCTCAACAACTGCAACGTCTATTCTATGCTATATAAATATGATTATGTTGAAAACGTACTTTTACAGCCCAAACAGTCATTTCATGAGAGCGCAGAATGAAACAGAAGCTGAAGGTCACGCAAGAAACTTTGGATTAAATGAAGACATCTTCCATCTATCTTGCCACCAAGCACTATCATCTCGTCTGATGAAAGCGGAAAGTTCCACTTTTTCATTTCAATCCTTTTCTCTTACAATGGCTGCACAGAAAAACCACAAACGAGAAATCTGGGGCGGTCTGGTGACTTTTACAATCTGCACGACACTCCTATTGGCGTACAAGGATGTTTACAGGTGCCTTTCTATTGGCTGTTGCTCTGACAACTGCTTACATCTCTACAAACGAAGCGCCTCTCTGCTGGGTTTTTCTATCATGACTTTGCCTATCACTGCCTTCGTGAGGGAGATAAACTAAGCACGGCAAGGAATAAACTAAAAAAGAGAGAAAGAAAGAAAAAAGAAACAAAGAAAAAGGAAGAAAGAAAAGAAAAGTGTTTGCAAGAAGCCATGAAAAGCAAAGTGCAAGTCTTTTCAGCTTCTTACAGAAGAAAAGAGAGGATGATTATTATTGTAACGATTCAACAATTAAACGATTCAATGATCACACAAAATCAAACGGGTCATCATTGTGTAGTTCATCCCTCACCATGCAGCAAGACTTTTGCACCCAACTAAATCAACATATCCTTTTTTTTTTTTCAATAGAGTTCCTCCTACAAAACAACAGAAAAGCCTCCATTCAACAACAACAAAAAAAAAATTAGCTCAGCACAACACAACAGTGACATCATGTGCAACCTAATGAGAACTTAAGCTGAAAGCAGTAAAACATCCGTGTCTGTTCATCTTTCTGCACCTACACAGCCAAAGCTGCATACGTCAAAACCACACATTATGGAAGTATTATGTATATAAAAAAAGTTATTAAATTCTGTTGAAGATATTTTTTATATATAAAATTTTTTTTATATCATTTTTTTCTCACTTTATTTCTCTTTTATCACTGATATCACTGTCGTTACCCTCTTGAGATTCGATATCTCTGGACTTGACTGATTTACTGTGATTCCATTATCACTAAAGGCATTTTCGCTGTGTGTTCTGGTATTGCATAGTGTACGCAACAAATAAACGGGCTAGTAAAATAGCCAACTAGCAAGGCAAACTGGTAATGCATGTTTAGAGGAACATGAACAGTGTGAAAGGGACTTTGAAATGGTTTCGACCATTTCGTACAAACACAATGGGCGGCAGAAAAAGTCTAAGGGTACAGACCGATTCGAGCTATGCATAAACTGAGTAGTAATTTACTACAATGCTTTAAGTCTGCGCATCGCTGCAGGTTACTACGGCTCTGCCAGACCAATTTTCAACCACTCATTCACAGACCGACATGCTCTGGTAATGTGACAACACCCAGGCTTTTCATAAGTCGTTGGCTGTAGAATGCGCGAATTGGCTGTAGAATGCGCGAAAGGAAGATCGACTGATAGGATGGCAGCACCTGTCAGAGAAGATATCGACCACTCTGCAATCTTTGCCTCTGTTGCCAGATGGCGCGTGTGCTGTCGGTCACACTGGGTGATTGCCTCCGAGATTGCGCACAATCAGTCGGTGTGCAATCTCGGGGCTCTAGTAGACTGGGTAAAGTTCAAATCGTCGAATGCGCTCATGAGAGCCCTGCGATCACCAGCAGTGCCAGCGTGTCTTTCGAGTCGAGAAGGCAGGGGTGAGAAGTTCGGTATGGTATAATGTACCGTAGTGGCGTTGGTACACAACGTGTATTTAAACTTGTGGTGCAAATGGTTTGATAAGGCTCTAGCCTAAATGCTGAAGAAACTTTAAAAACTGTTTCAGGGTCCCTTGAACAATGACCACAAACGACTATAGACAAAAATGTCAACCTTACACTACATTTCTTGTCTTGCTTTTGTCTTACAATGGCCTTCGTTGATCATGCTGTTCACTTTCTAAGACCACGTGGGAGGCCCTGACGGTACACATACCCGGTTCCAGGGAGCAGCGACCCAAGTGCCGTTGCAGACAGCATCAATGACGCACTCCTTGGTTGACTCAAGTAGATCCTCCTGGTTGCAGTGGTCATCTGTCACGTTAACGATGCTCCCGTCAATAGCGGTGCCGCAGAACACCTTGCGGGTCTGCATGCCCTTCCCACACTCGGTGGAACACTGCGAAGGGTGTCGAATGTTCCAAACTGGTTCAACTCGAATGAACTTCCATAACAGTAGCAACGACAGCGGCACGAGGCCAGTTATGCAGAAAGCCAGGAATTAAGAGAAGTTAAATCATTACAGGCGATAAGGCTAGTTAAAGAACCTGCGTAGAATGCATGAACATATGGTGGTATTCCAGAAAGATGCATGATAAAATAAATCAGTGTGCAGCTACATTTATCGTAATGTCATCAAAGATCAGTTCTTCCATCTATTTAGGTTCAGCGGCACGAAAGTCGAGAAATGATCTCCAACTCTCGATCTGCCTATGACTACAAAAGCAGGTGTTCTCTTGAAAGAAAAAATAAAGCACTTTTCAGATTTTTAGAGAAGTCAACCAAGCAGTCCAACAAAATTAAAGAAGAATGTGTTGGCACAGATGCACGCTTTCAAGAAACAAAACAATAAAAAAATGTGAGGACATAGTAAGTATCAACAAGGCTACTAACACCATTATAATTTGCAAAGATGAATTTTCTCTTTTTGCATACTTGCACCGAAAATAAGCAGACAAGCCCACAAATAGAACAGGTGCCGAGGTGTTAGCTTTTATTTTCAGGTTTCCTATTTTCAACTTGGTTTTTCATGTAACCATGTTTTTTCTACTGTCTCGGCTCAGTGTATACATTCAGACTTTCATGTAAAAATATTAACATAAAAATACTTCACATACAATGAAGCGAACAATAACTGTACTTCATCAATATGAGCAAGTACAAATTATATTGTTACATTGAAGAGGTGTGCCCAAAGTGTCCACCAAAATGTTATCGATGTAAAAGTACCAAAAGAACATATTTATAAGAGATTGAGAAAGATACAAGAGACTGTGGGGAGCCCAGACAAGTTGCTGCTGTTTCGCCTTCGACATCATCGATGTTCTCTCGCTTCCTTCATTGTAACAACGTGCTTATAACAAATCTGGAGTATAACAAATGCGATTTTGCCTCAAGTGCAATTTCATTATGTTAACCTTCGACTGAAGCTGTTGCTACTCTTTTGATAGGCACTGTCATGTCCTACCTCTTACAAATTAAAAGCTCCTCACGAGACCTGGCCATTTTAAACTGAGAAGTGCCCTGTTTACATTGCGAGCGTATGATCGTGTCTGCCAAGAGTTGCTATTCGCCGCAGAAAAAGCTAGAGTTTCAAACTAAATGTAACCTGCCGTTGTCCTCGCGAAGAGCATGCTCCAAGATGGGATGATGACGTGCATAGGCAAGCGTGATGCAGTTATAAGTGCTGCGCTCTGTACCAAAAAGAGCCTCAATGTTCCCCTAACCACCACAGGGAGCGGTGGGCAAGAAGGACATCAAAGCACTCCAGCGCGGCATAACATGCCAAGAAAACAAAAAGGTGCATCTCGTACGTGCATTGTGACGTGTGTGTGACGTGGCAATGAGTGTGCGTCACGTACAAGAGAATGCAAGGAAGGAGTTTAATTTTGAAAACCCTAGACAGTACAAATGGCAAGAGTGCGAAGCTCGCCTCCTCACACCATGGTTGCGCACCGCTTCAATATATTTTTTTTTGACGTCCACTTGTTGTGAACCAATTAGAAAACTTCTTGCGATCGAGTGCCATCTATTGGACGCCTAACAGCCTCCTGTGCATATTAAAACTTGCTATGAACACGTTAAAAACATGCTACTTTCTAAGAGGTACATGCATTCTTTGCAGAAGCGTCAAAAGTTTAGGGTGCAGCGATTACTCACGGGACTCCACTGGGAGTAGTACCACATGTACTGGCAAAGGTCGTCCAAAGAGCCACCCTCCTCGTCGCACGACCTGGTTGTGTTGGGACGCTTCTCATCGTCACAGTATTCGTCCGGGAACAACATTCCTTCTTCGTTGGTGCAGAGCACTTGCCGGGTCTCGATGCGCGACGAGCACGGGGCCTCGCACTGTGGTCGGAAAGCATAGAGGCATGGTCAGTGCATCAAATGTGTCTGAGCTGCGAGCTTGTTGGCGCCAGGTTTGATTAAGGGAAGTGGCGTAAAATAGAAGTGAACGTGAAATACAAGTGGACGTCAAAATGAAGAGAGCACAAACAGATGTTTATTTAAAAATAATTCAAGACCCCTCACCCTGTCGAGAAAATGGGGCAAGCGAAGCTTGATCTCCGAGCATGTGGTGTAAGTACTACTTTTCTTGCTTTCTTTCTTATTACAGTTGAACCCTTTTATAAGAGTTATGCTTCAGACAGCACTTCTTGTATTCTACCGTACTTACTCGCATAATCCTCGCACTTTTTTTGACAGAAAACCGATGCAAAGTTGGGGGGTGCGCGAATAAGCGGGAAAACTTTCCACGAAAACGTACAGAGCGAGAAAGAAAACAAAGTTTTTACACTAGCAACTAGTTCTCATACTAGCAACTAACAGCAAGCTTTGAGAAGTACTAATTATAACTAACTTCAACAATAAAAGCACAGGTTCAACACAAGGCAAGATTTATTCGAGAGACAAAAAGCGCAAGCAAATAGTTGAGACTCAGAATACCATACGCAAAGCTTGTGGGCATTGTGGGCGTGGCAGTAGCATTTGTCACTCAAATGATGCAACAGGAGCCCTCAAAAGGTAAGCGTAGGACGTCAGTATTGGACTGATGGCTATTTAACAGAATCTTTGGCAGTTTCCTTCTGAAGAAACAAAGTTTACCATCAATCCCAGTCTTAGGCACACGGCAGGCTCAACGCGCCTTGGTGACTTTCAGCCGCCGTCACCAGTAGCGAACACAAAACTCGTAGACTCCGAAAGGTCTACCGGCGGTCCTGTTGTCGTTGTTTAGTGCGTAATCTATCACTTTCAACTTGAAAGCAGCCGTGCAGCTTCAGCATCACCCCATAACATGACAAGGTTACCGACACAACATAAAAAAGACGCCACAACGCACACTTGCCACTTTGGCTTAGCTTGGATTGGATCTCTGTGCAATAATAGTACGCTTGATGCTTGAGAGATGGCGCTAAATGGTGCACGCTATTATCATCAATGGCTGGAATGAGCAGACAACATTATTGCGGCAATTTTCGTGGGTGCGATAATTACTCGAGGAAAAGAAGAAATCGTATTTTTGTTGTGCAATGTGGTGTGTGCGATAATTATGCGAGTGTGAGGATTACGCGAGTAATTACTGTATATGAGATGTCTCTTATAACCAGAATGCCTCGTATGCATTTTCTAATCAATCCATATTTTACTGCAAGCACATTGATGTCTTTTATACCCATTAGTCTCTTATATCAGTGTCTGTTATAAAGGGGTTAGAGTGTATGCAATGCCACCTTCTAATTATAATTTAATTATAGTCGGGGTTTCACGTCCCATGAGCAGGATATGATTATGAGAGACGTCGTAAAGAAGAAGTTTAGAAATTTCGACCATGAGGTGTTATTCAACGTGCGCTTCAGTCTGGGCACATGGGCCCAAAGCATTTTCGCCGAGATCAGTAATGAGGCTGCCATGGCCCAGATTTGACCCCGTGACCTTCGGGTCAGCAGCCAAGCACCTTAACAACTACAACACCATGATGGGTGCCCCCTCCAAACCCTTTCCTTCCTCCATGTTGGGAATGAGACTTTCCTCTCAGCATTTTGCAGTGCAACACTTCAGCTGCTATAGACATCAACGATTACCGTGTGGACGTATTGTCACACATTGCCAAATACAGCAGTTGGCTTGTCCAGGATCAAACTCTTTATTTGGCTGAACTTGTGGCCGGCAAAAAAAAAGTCAAACTACAGCCAGCAGTGTACTCTGCGCTCTAATATCGGGGAACACAGCCTCAGCCGTATTTCGTACGTGTGCTATCGAAGATACTAACATTACTGCTGGTGGCGACGTAATACCTCAAAGAAGCTACACCATTCGTGCCCTGCATGCAATCTCAACGGAATAGTCTAAAACGATCACGAAGCTTTTGAAACATCGCGTCACGACTTGCACGGAGTGTTACAAACAATCTTTGCGAGTGAAGACCGAATCTATTAAAATATGGCACACATGGCTATATCCAAAAAACGATGAAATGTGGCAACGTGAAATTACAAGTGATCTCGATAAAGAATCATACTGCCTTATTAAAAGCAGGTGATAGTCAATAAGCTCCCGTTCGAGAGAGCACCAATCACAGTAGAACACCAAATAAAACTAGCACAATAAGTCTGATTGTTTAATCGTGAACTGTTTCATATCAAACCAGCTTTAACCCTTCTGACAAATACCGATGATCATGATGAGTTAATGCCAAATAAATGGCAGAGCAAATGCCCATCTTGAAAGTATAACTTTTGTGAACAATTGTGCTATAAACCTCATTTTTACAATATGCGCCTCCAAGGCTACGCTTTTGTTCGCGAGAACCCCAAGTCCTGTCACTTGCACTTCTCAAGTGGCTAATCTTACAGTCAAACTAGGCCAAGCTGTGCGCAGCCAACATGGCCACTAGGTGGCTCAGTGTGCACTTGGCAGCCCATCATATGAGAATGGTCTCAAAGTTACAATGTTACTGTGGTGTTCCCGATACATTTGGTCTAATGATAGCTACGTCGGGACCGGCGGAAAATGCATCAGAGAGAAACATAACAGTGGGATTCCACTATTGAAAAATGGCATGTACAAGTACGCATGTGGCCATGCACACTCAAAGGTCGCATTTCTTAACACTCGCGGGCGCCAATTTTTTTTTTTTTTCATACAATGCTGACATGTAAGAGTCATAACGAGCTTCGTTTAAAAAATTTAAACAGTACTCACGCCTGACCACGGTGAAGTGACCCATTCCGTGCCATCGCAGGTACGGATTTCGCAGGATTGGTTGGTGGGTGGTTTCAATGACTCGTCACAACCGGCGTCATCCAGAACTTCAACCTTGTCGCCTTCGAGTGGGTTGATGCACACGACTTCTCGAATCTGGGTGCCTTGCCCGCACAACCGGTCGCACTGTAGGGAATCGCAGCTCAGTGTCAAGAAGATGCGAAAAAGGACGAACATTATTGGCGATAAGGAGAAATGTGAGCAAATTGGATGGGGACTTCTCTAGAGGGCTCGACTAGTACCAGTAACTCATTGCACTCGAATGAGCACAGCTTCCCAACTCTTTCGATATTCACTTTCAAGCTGTACCACATTCACCATCACCACAATCAGCCTGACCCCAACCATTTTGCTAAATGAGTACCGAGAGCTTCACGATATCTCTACAAGTAACAAAAAGTCAGTAACTGGCTAGCAACTGAAACCTTGATGTAACAAACCCGGATACACTCAAATATCTGTTATAGTGAAAAAAAGAAGGAGAGTTTTGTAACAGATAGTGTTAGGAATATACCTTTAAAACTATTTTCGGTTATAATGAGCTTATTTTCTTGTTTATAACAAATTTTTGGTTATAATAAACTTATTTTCTTGTAAGAGGCAACTTCGTTCTAATGAAGTTGGAACGTAATAATGTCGCCAGGGAGCACGATTGCAGTATAATTAACACTAATACCGGCTTACATCACCACTTATTGCCAGTTCTGGCATATAGTAATTACAACTGTGCTCACCTGTCACCATTTACCAGTCTGTTTTCGGCTAACAGCATCATCGCCACGCAGATAGAAAAATTCTCATAACAAATTATTCACGTGTTTTCCGCTCGTGCACAATACGATCGGACACTTTGACCTATTGCACTAAGAAAAAAAAGTAGTAAGGTGAAAAAACTGGTTGTCGGTTCGCCCAGCATAAAAAGTTATCATCACTTCAACTGTGGCTTTCTATGTTAGCCGCACTTTCGTAATCGTTATTGAAAAGTCTAATCTTTGCAGTTTTCACATTACACTCAAACCTCGATATAGCAAACCCTGATATAGCGAAATATATGTAACAAAGTAAATAAAAAATAATCTTGCAATAGATATAGTGCTAAGAATAAACCTTTATCACAAATTTTTGGATATAACGAGCATACTTTCGTGTAATATGCAACTTTGTTATATTGAGGTTTTAGTTTATTCGTTAATCCACAGCCTCACACTTGTTTGAACGTTTAGTGACATGAGTAAACTGGTTCCGATTCTGATTCTGAGTCAAAGCCAAAATGTCTCATCAGCATTTCCACACATTGTAAGTTTGCTATGTGGTCGACGATGGTTGAAAAGAACAAGTTGCACTCGAACTTCCCCTTTACAAATGCAGATATAACAAATTGTCACTCATAACAAGTATATGCAGCATAGTCCAGTCATAGATGCAGTGACAAAGTTTAAACAAACTTGTGGATACGTATAACAAATGAGAACGACGCAGCGAGCAATGGAAAGAAAAATGGTAGGTGTAACCTTAAAAGACAAGAAGTGAGCAGAGTGGATTAGGGAACAAACCGCTGGATATCATAGCTGAAATAAAGAAGAGGAAATGGACATGGGCCGGGCATGTAGCACGTAGACAGAATAACCGCTGGTCATTAAGGGTAACTGACTGCATTCTAAGAAAAGGCAAACGGGTTAGGGGGAGACAGAAGGTTAGGTGGGCAGATGAGATTAAGAAGTTTGCGGGTATAAATTGGCAGCAACAAGCACGGGACCGGGTTAACTGGCGGAGCATGGGAGAGGCCTTTGTCCTATGAAATAGGACAAAGGCCTCTCTCATGGATAGGACACTATGAAATAGAGCACGAAAAGGAACAAACATGATAAGCTTACACATGAACAAAAAATAGAACGCAAAAACACACTATGACATCGCAATCATAGTGAATGGCAGTGCATACTGCACCAAAATAATCGACTGATACCCTTTCAAATAGAGGTGCAAACAAGAATGATACATGGAGAGGCATAAAAAAGCAAATTTATCGAGTTACAAAAAAAAAAACATCAGTGCATAGTAACAAGGCAAAAAAACAAACAAAATGTCAAGATAAAGACCTGTCCAGAAATAGGCAGTAAAGAGACAATAAATTGTCATTGTAGTATGTTGTTAATGCAGTTGTGAGCGTGATGCAGCTTCATAGTGTGTTTGTTAATGCTTTCCGGAAACGGTCTGTATCTCTGATAGCGACTAGTGACATTATTCTTGTACCGAATGCAGTTTTGTTATTATGAAGTTTTAAAGTAGTCAGCAGCGATCAGTGGTAGCTGCCAGTCAAACGACTTGCCTCCGTCCAGTTGCCCACTTCCCAGGAGGCACACTCAGCGTCCGAGCTGCAGTCCCGCAAGCGCTCCGGTTTTGGTCCGGCAGACTCGCAGTGCGCGTCTTCGGCCAACACGCTGCCTGCCTCGGTGCGCCGCTGGCAGAACACCAACCGCAGCTGGGTGCCATTGCCGCACGTCTTGGAGCACTTTTCCCACTCACCGACATACCAACTGCATCGTTGAGGAACAACACATGAAAAGATGTGAAAAAATGAAGCAATAGAAGAAGACATGAAACAGCTTCTTCTAGATTGTGAAAATCATGCTGTGGCCCGTAAAAAATTTTTAGAAAAACTAAATCATTAGAACAGAGAGCCACTATCACTAACGAAAATTGTGGGCCCCTAGTCTACAGAAACTTTTCGAAACATTGCTGGGCAAGCACTAGTACAGTATTTTAGAAGAATCAGAAGTATCAGAAAGGCACTAATTCTAAAACAATTCGTTTGCATTGTTATTTCTTTTCAGACACCTCAGGCGAAGCTCTTTGTGTGTTTTCGTGTGTTTCTCGTATTTCATGACAGCTGTCTTCATAGTATGCGTGATCACCTTCTGCAAATAACTGCAAAATGAAGTATTCAGTAAAGCGCAAACATTTCTTGTCATCTAATACTTCCTTGCGAATGAAAACTTTCGTGTGCAAATTTAGCATCACTTTACTGTTATGATAACCTAACAATGAAAATTATGGGAGAGGACAGGAGTAACCAGAGCCATACCTACGCTCCAACATCTCCTTAAATGCACTCAATTTAAAAATCGAGTCTAAGTGAAATAAATCCAGAATTTCTTTAAAGGAGCTCCAAACTGCTTTACTAATTATAACCATCGACTGACTTGAGTATTGAACTCAATCATTTCACGAATCAGTTGCCGGATAAAATTTTCAAAGCAGTTGAGAACGAGCGGAGTTTTAGGGGATTCGCTGCACACTCTAAGCACCTGCTCTCTTCTTTTGTCCTAACCAGTGTGCAGAAAGCTACACAGGGAGGGATGGCAAAGGGAAAGAAAGAAGGTATGTCAGAACACATCATTACTTAATGGACGCGTCATGAAACTGAACTGCTCTCTCCCTGTGTGATTCAGGCGCGTAATATTGTTGCTATAGTGCACATTCAGCACGCTGTAGAATGCGGCATTGGTACGTGGCATCACCATATGGAAAGAAGCACACCTAATCCACACGCCACTGCTTGTTTATGTCAGCTATCGGCTAATACCAGCTATCTGCTGTATGATGTCACACAGCATCCGCCAGCACCTTCAAAGAGAGTGAGGGCTGGCCTCTGTATAAAGAAAGGGCTTTCGATAAGCAGTAACTTCATTGAGAGACAGAAGTTCAGGAGAAGATGGCGTTTGAAGAGATCAGTATTCTTGAACATGGGGTATTGTAATGAGGACATCTGCAGCGTCTGCTATGGCATGGCTGCCATATTTCCAGGCTCATCACATTGTCACACCACCCTCCAAGAATGCAGCTAAGACACGTGGGACACTGGCAAGAAAATCACAGCACGGTGGACCCACTCGCTTCAAACAGTAGCAACACCTTCAAGTGGTGAGAATCGAGGTGTCCTAATATTATTCATTCTGCATCGTCCCCCAAGTCCACATACAGTCAAACGGAAAGCCGAACATTAAAGCCCATTGCACAACACAAACAACCCGTAGAACCTTCATCTGCTCTGTAACTCACGATGCCGGGCATGGCTCTGGGTTGCAGACCCTCACAGCTTGGGGCTTGACGGTCGGGTTGCAGAGGTCGTCAGACACCTTTTCAAATGTGGTTGCACTCGTGCAGTAGACGAGCCGGGTCTGAGCACCTAAAGGAGTACAGTTAAACCTGGATATAATGAAACTGATGAAGTCTCGGAAAAATTCGATATAAAGAGGATTTCATTATATGCAGGTTCGACACAAAAATTTGGAAAATAAACGAGCAAATTAAACAAGAGGGGTACTGAAGGAGAACTAACCCAAAACATTTATCTTACAGTAAAAAAACTGCCTTATTATTACGGTGTTGCGATAGCAATAATAACATAACAATAATAACATGGATACACTCGGCGGGTTTTTTCCGTCGCCACCACGTTTCGTAACAAGTTCAAATTAATAAAATGCCCCAGCGCATCGTAACTTTCACCAGCGGGTAAAAGCACGCGAGCCTATTCCTCTCACCTGAAAGTGCATAAAAGAACATTTCCCCTGGCACACTTGCTATCTCAGCGAGCACCAGTGCGGTTTCAATGGGAAGTGACTACGTGAAAAGAGCACTTCCTTCTGGAAAGGCCGCATTTGCTCACACCAGCTTTTTGTAGGAGTTCCACGATATCCGATCCAAAAGAGTTGGCGGCAGCCTTACTTCGTATACCTTTACAACTTTTTGCTATCGCGTTCATTGCATTGCATTCAACGCACCATCGTATTGTTAGAACTAATCAGCTAATCGCAAAAGCTACCAGCCTGCGAACTCGCGGCACAAGACGGAAGCACGTGACGAGTCGACCTATGACGAGCCGTCGTCACCGTGGTCTTGGAGAGTTTCCATCAACGCCTCTTCTGACATTCCCTCGGTGACGAGTGACGACAACACGGTTGTCCGAAATTAAAAAAAAGTCAAAGTTTCGTTGCAAGGGCAAAGCAATTAATGACTGCAATAGCAACAACTTTGAATGTAACGCTAAGAACGGCAAGCAGATCAAAAGGTGCGATGCGCTACTCACGCACAAATGAAGCACGAAAACAATTCACAGGACGAGAGCAAACTAACAATGTTTACGACTTGACACTTAACATGCTGTTTAAATAAAAACAAGACACGAAACGTAATCACAGGAACCGATATGAGAGCGAAATGAAGCACTTGTTAGTTCGCAGTTTTTGAAAAGCGCACTCTTTTCGCAAATGGCGCCTGTCCAGCAAGCGAAGTAATCATTGTGCACCCGGCAACTAAAGTCAATTGTTCCAGTCAAAGTCGAAGGCGCTTATTTTCCCCACCGAAGGAAAAGCGCGCACTGGCATCTAACATCCCCCCTCTATTCGTGAGGCAAAGTACGTGTGGGAGATAAGCGCGTCCACACATTGTGACGAGCTGCGTGCGAAATGCGAGTGGCTTTTCTTTTTTTTTTTTTTTTTGAGTTTTCATATTGCATATGTACATATACAGTGAATGACGGCGGCGACGACAATAAACCAGTCAGGACTCTCCGCATAAATGCTATGGTAATAAAAAAAAAGCAAAGCTGAACGTTGTCAGGGGCCACACGATGCTCGCGCGCACGACGTTGAAAATGGAGAGCGAACGACATGGACACTGACACGGATACCGCGGAAAACTATTCGGTAAAGCACCCTTCCATATGCAGCGCGGCCCCATATATGTGATGCTAACGAAAACGTGGCACTGCCAATGCGCAAAAGTAGTTTTCTTTCTTTCTTTTTTTTTTTATTTTGGTTTGGAGTTGGAGAGGGGGGCAACACTCACGCATGCGTCTCCGGTGGCGAGTACAGCAGCAACGCCAGCTCGTGGGATGCAGGCCGGCCCACCCACCTCGCGCTCACCCGCGCGCAATAACAAGCACTTGCTCTCGCCTGGTGCGCCGTGCGCGCTGCGCCGCTTTGCGCTGCGCCGCTTTGCGCTGCGCCGCTTTGCGCTGCGCCGCTTTGCGCTGCGCCGCTTCACGCTTTGTGGGCGACAGGGCAGCCGCGGAAGATGCATGCTCGTAACAAAATGTGGAGCGAAATTTATAGATTGTCCATGGAAAAAATTCGTTATATCAAGGTTGTCTCCCACTGTTACTACATTACATAGAGGTCGCAAATACATGTGCTTCCATGAAACAAGGGTGGAGAATAGAAAAACTTCGTTATATCGAGGAATTCGTCATAAGGAGGTTCATTAGAAGCAGGTTTAACTGTAATTGCAAAGGACAATTAAAGGCTGCAAAGTGGTAATGAGTTGACCCTTATTTCCTTACTCAGCTTCATAGTTCAAGAGCAGAGGAGAAGATTGGGAGACTGACGGACAACAAGCTAAGCAGAAGAGAATGTGAAGAAGTCACACGCATTGACGGAGCAAACAGACCGCCAGACTTGTAAAGTGCTCACAAAGTTCAGTAGATTCCACACAGAATGAGAAAGAGTGCTATGCGAAGCAGTCAGCAAGGAGCTGTGTCACATTGTTTGGCCCTGTCTGTTTCATCGAGGAGAGGAGCGACAGTAGCATGCTAGTGTGCACATCAAGTAAAGCGTTTGTTGGCGCATTTCAGCACATTCGGGCAACATATGAGTATTACGTATGTACTACTATGACTGTCACTATAATGACAGTTAGAGTGGTACATACATAATGTTTATTCAGTGTAGGTTTTACATAAGCAAAACTATATACAGTAGAAGTTCATTAATTCAGAATTCATGAGACTGGAAAAAATATCCGAATTGATCGAATTTCAAATTAACGAAAGTACCAAGAATGCAATGAAAAAAAATGCCCATTATGTCAATAGTCCTTTCCTTTTTTAATAAATACACAAATCCTGTACTTAGCAAGCATAAGAGCAGTTTAAAAGGCACAATTTTCGCCACAGACAACTTTGTTCAGAATGTGATAACGGCTGAAGACCTTCTTGTCTTAACCACTTCGAAACATGCGAAGCCTAAATTAAGCAAAAATGCTGTACCATCTTACAATGCGGTTCGCACCAAGAGCAATGGCAATGCAGACTGTGGTGTCCGTGAATGCCATTTTCAATTTTTTGTATCGCACATTTGAGGCATTTGACACTTGACGTGCTCCGAGAATTATCTGAATCAACTGAATAATAGCCAAATATGACAAAATTGTTCAGAGTTTGATGCCATTAAAATATGTGAATGCTGTCTGAGACCAGAAAACATGTCCGAATATTCATTTTTTTCAATTAACAGCAGTCAAATTAACGAGCTTTCAATGTAGTGCTATAAACAAGAAAACAACTATCTTTTCAGCAACATCATGATTCATCACAACTTGCTCTTGCCTAGTTTTTCAACAAATTATGGTCAATGCTCTTTTCTTTTTTTTTTCTAATATTATTTTGAGATGTTCAAAACGTGCATATCAAATCTATAATTTCCTATAAAACATTCAAGTACAAAGGCACGAAAGAGCTTTCACTGAAGAAACTGTAACCTACCTCCGCCGCAAGTCTGCGAACACTCCCCGAAGTCACCCGAGTTCCAGTTGTATGTGTCCGGTTGCGGCCGGCTCACACCAGCAGGCACCGAGTACTCGTACGTGATACCAAGGTTTTTCTCCTGGTACAGAAGCTGCGCGAAAAAGCCGTTTCTCACCAACCATCGTCAAGAAAAATGGCGAATGAGTTAACCAAGCAACAGTGGCATCTTTGGCATTCGAGAATCTCGTTCTAGCTAACTTGATGCCTTCAGGTAATAAATGAGGGGTTACTGGTCAGCTGCCAGCCCGTAGAATAATCATGCACTACACGACACCAGCTGCCAGAAAAAAGTTCTCCACCCTCACTGTCATAACTAACACTCCCGGAATTACATGTTAACATAACTAACACTCCCGTTGTTAAGGCAGCCAGGAAAAAGACCACCAACGTGGCTCAGCTGGTAGAGCATCGGACAGATTATCTGAAGTTTGTACAGTAAAAGCTCATTCCAATTTCAATTATTCAGAAAAACTGTCCAAATCAACCGAATGCCGAATTATCAATCATATCAAAACCACAAATTAATGTCTGTTACATAAATGCACTTTCAGTTTCTTGAGGGATACACAAATCTAGTAAGTGTTTTGCGTAAGAGAAGTGCAAAAGCCCCAATTTTTGTCATTTGCGAATTTGTTCGCAATGTGAACGCAGGCCTTGAACCCCACGTCATAATCCGAAATGTACTCTGAAACCCATACCTTATCATGTACCAACAGCACTATTTTGTATGGAGACCATGCCTGTCTGAAAACCCCCAGTCATTTTGGCTGCCCATGAACGCCATTTTCGTTCATTTCCGTCACACACTAGCGGCACTTAGCGCTCAACGCACTTTGAGCATCGTCCGAATTAACCAGGTTGAGGCCAAATATGATGAAATTAATGAGTGTTTGATGCCATTAAACAATGCATATGCTTGTCAGGCCAGAAAACATGGCATGAATTATCCAGTTTTCTGAATTTATAAAGGTCAAGTTAGCGAGCTTTATTGTAGACTTGTTTCCTGCTGATAGTATGTTGTCTTTTAGGGGTGAAGCTCCTTAAGGCGTGGGTCTGTCCATCCTCCGTTGTTGTGGTACGTAGCCACTGGGATGCGAGATGGGAGATAGCGGTACACGAGTGTCCACTAGATGAATGCACTGACGGACGTATGGACGGACGGACAGATGGACGGACGCTCGGAGCGGGTATGTGCCGCAGGGGATACGGGATGCGAGATGGTGGTACTTAGAGTGTTCACTACATGGACACACAGACGAACGGACAGACTAGAAGACGGATGGACAGATGGACGGATGCACGGACGTATAGATGCACAAACAGAGGAACAAACGCATAGATGGCCGCACGGATGGTCGTGAGGACGGACGGAAGCAAGAACGAACGGACGAACGAAAGCACAGACGGGCTGACGAACGCTTCGCCCACTCATCATCATTCACTCTGTGGATATGCTGTAATTCTTTTGTCCAATTTATTTTCTTCAAATTTATATTATAATTACTACTCTACAGTTAAAGAGGTCCCAAATAATGTCCTCTATAGATAACTTGCAACTATGTCGCGCCGCAGAGCTCTGGGTTACGATATCGGCATGCACCGAGCACATAGTAGCAGACGACATAAGGTTGCATAATAACCTGTACTATTCTCCATTATTTATAACTCATAGACACGTGAACAGTACACATTCTGTCCGGTAAGCGCTGCTACACTAATTTAACAATCTGCTTGTTGCCATGACCTGAAAAATTGCACAGCTTTCAGTGCAATACGAAAACACCAATGCTCACACTATAGTATTGCCGCATGCAATAACACCACAATATATATGCACATTTTTCAGAAATATTTTGAAAAACTAAGAAAAAATTATGTTCTCAATTGTTACATTTCACTCGTTTTCCTAGAAAACAATCTAAAAATTTTACTATTGATAACCAGAACCACTTGCAAATGTGGGATTTGGCTTCGTAGATTTGGCTACTGTGACACAGATAGTCATTGCGAGGTGTGATTAGCAAATCGTAGTATTGACACATGAATCGTGGCAGAATCATACTTCGTCACAAGCTAGGTTGAGAAAGAGCATAATGAATTGAATTGTACAGGAGTGCACACCAAAAGAAAAAAGGAGCACATACAGAAAGCAACGTTGATGTGTGCTCTTCGTGTGTCATCCGATGCGTACTCTTCGTGTGTCTGCGCTATACAATTCAATATGAATCAAGAACAACTAGCCCGCCTGTCCGTGTTGGGAAAAATAAACGAAAAGAAAATGACAGAGGACGAAAAAAGGAGACCAGAACAAGGGAACAAAAGAACAAACACAACAAGGCAAGCACCAAAATGAGAAAAGAATACGCACCACAATGAGGATGGTCTCGATGGTAGGCCCAAGGGCGACCAAGCTTTCGGGAGCGTTGGCCCCATGGTTGCGCCGCTCATAGTGAAACACTGTGCCAGCAAACCGGATGCTTCGAGGAAACTCGATGCGCCAGTTGCCATTGAGGTAGTAGTAGCCAGTCTGGTTGCGAACGGCTGCAGTGACACGAAAGAGGTCGACATAACACCATTCGTCAGAATGAAACAGAACAGCAAGCTGGTTCAGTTGGTAGGCTGGCATCTTTGAAATTACAGCGCAAGGCGCACGATGGACAGGCATTCACGGAGCACGAACTCTGACTCACAACTAGAGTGCTCAGTCAAGCAAATATGAATTTCTACAAAAGCACGGAGCTCACGAGAAAAGCAAGGTGTACTAAAACAATGGCCCAGTAATGAATTCCATTTCTCGCTGATGAAAAGTAAACAAAGTGAGACTAACATACGAGACAGAAGCTTTGTGCATACAATCGTTTGCTTGTCAGTCATCCATCTACCGCCGTTCAGAGGAGAGGACATGCATTCATGAAATAGGGCATTGTCCTAATGCTCCTTGCATACCGCGCATGCACTAAAAGTCCTTGCTTTCGAATACAATACTCTCCATAAACGGGAATCTCTGAAGCGGAATTCCTGCAACCAATGTGATTGGTTTTTGACTTGAATAGTGCACCAGTGTTCATCTTTAAGCAAGTAGGACTTCTATCAGGAACATGTTTTCCTGGTCTCTTCAAGTTTAATATATTGAGAGTCTCCCATAAGTTCCTGTTAGTGTGAAGAAGTGTTTAATTGTGAGTCAGCCCTGAAGCTGAATGAACCTACACCCATTGTCTGCCTCGCACCGTGGTTTCAGAGGTGTGCTGTGGATTCAGTTTGGCAGCATCGATAGCACGACTCTACCTAGCAATCGGTTGTTAGAAGAAAAAACAAGGAAGCATATATCACCGCATGTACACGCATGCTCATTCATTATGTCGATCATGCCACAGATTGTTAATTGACGGGAACGGCAGACTCACCGAGGTAGTTGTTTGTCGGAAATTTCTCTTCGATTCTGATGTTTGTGGCTCCCGATGGGATCAGCAGGATGTCGTTGTAGCCTGGGGAAGTGAAGGAACGTGCACAGAATCATCAGTTTCAATCAATCATTACCTTTTTGAGTATTATGTGTCGAAATCATAACATGACTATGAGGCACACAGTAGTGCAGGACTGTTAATTTTTGACCAACTTGGTGTTTCTCCTTGTGCACCTAGGCGAAACCATGCAAACATTTTTCGCATTATGCCTGCCATCAAAGTGCGGCTTCACAGGGTATCGAACTCAGGACCTCGAGCCCAATTGCGCAACGCCACAGCCATCAAGCCGCCGCTGTGAATGGAATGACCAGTTTCATAAGGAAGAAACTAGAATTGCTGTCAAGCTGTTCATCAATGAACTCGCTGCTTGTTTGCCATTTTCGAGATACGCTGACGAGCAAATTCAACAACGCAGTTTAAACCTCTGCAGTACTATACTTTTTCCCACCATCTCTCCATTCTTATCCGAAACTGAATGACTCAAACCTCAAGTAAAAGAGGCTTGCGAGCTCTTCATGAATAAGGCATAATTTGCTGACAATACGGGTGCATGAATCAGCCGCAACAGAACTTTTCCAGCAGTGCCCGATCACGAGCCGCTGCGACTGTGTTGCGTTGACGAGCAGTGCAACGGACTGCAAAGGGTCAATAAACTTGACTGCGTGGCTATTGCTGTATAAAGATGATGATTGCATAACCTGTGTAAATGGTCAGTGACAACAGTGACAGCTTGTCATTTCTTTCAGAAAGAGAATAGTTGCAAAAGCAGATACATGAAGCCCCCAAAAAATGTTATGTGATTCCACATCAAACAAGGCTGCATAGCTTTACTAGTTTTGTTTCTAGATACAGAAACTACATGGGCACAAAAATAATATGGCATAATATGTAGTGCCACGCCAGTGGTGGCAAGCAGACTGGAGTAAGAGACAAGTGTTGGTCACTTTTGGCATAAGACAGTCAGAACACTGGCACTTCAACTGCCTGGACGTTGTGGTCAAGGGTTCTTTTTGACCACAATCACACCTTTTTCCTTCACCTACCACCTTCATGTACTCAATAAAATAGCGACGACCGCAAGTCCATGGCAGATGGAGTCATGTCATCACATTAGTCATGTTACAAATCAATTAGAACAGAAATTAATGCGTAATGACCTGCTGAGCTATACATACCCAAAACTTATCTCCAGAACATCAACATCGCCGTGAGGTGTTTGCATCAAATGCTTCATTTCCCATGCCAAAATATGTACTCCGAGGTCGCAAACTCGGCATATTCAAAACGTTATTCCGTGGGTGAGGCAGGCAATGTGGAGCAGCGAAACATTTTTCATGAGAAGTGCCTCATTTGAGAAAACCACGAGCGACTCACCGACTTCGAGGTTGTCCAAGTCAAAAACGCCCTCAATGGTGCTACAACTTGTACCATCCCCCCGACATACGCGGCACTTGTCCTCCACAGCATCTGAACCCAGCATCTTGTCACACCCAACAGGCTGGAGCGAAAGAGGACAGATAAATGAGTTGCATAACACTGTACTGCTTCACTGAAATTCGGTACAAAAATTAAGAAACCTTCACACTAATGATGTCTATAATAAGGGAAGTGCCTTCTTTGTTTCTCCTTGTTTTTCCCTTTCTTTCTTCATCCTCTTTCTGCTTGTTGCCTCTTTTTACTTCTATTTCTCTCTCACTTTCTATCTTTCTTTTCCTAATGAACTAAAAAATATCGCAATATGTAGTGATGGGGTCCTAAACCTAATCTTGATATACTAAAATGTGTACCAGTTCCGATGGTATTTTGAATTCTTTCCTCGCATGAAACTGTTCGAGGACAGCAGCATAACTGACCTTAATTTTCCAGAAGCAGTTAGGACTCTGGTGTAGTACCACACTCATGAAAATCAGCCAAAGTACCCACCTTGCATAAATCAGGTGATAAACGTCTCTGTAATTATATACAATGCCTTTTACACCTCATTCTTGAAGCATGTTGGAACACGTCATTCATAAACATGTAATCGAACTTCCTTGACTCCAATAATATACTATCCTCAGCCCAGCTTGGTCTCCGTTGAGGTTAGATATTGTACTGAAACGTAATCAGTTGATTTCATGCGTGGCATTGCTTATAATTTAGATGAAAGTAATCAAATAGATGTCATTTTTATTGATTCTCCAAAGCTTTTAATTTCGTCATTCATTCTAAGCTGCTGTTAAAACTGAATGTCATTCTCAATAACCCTCGTATCGTTTCTTGGATAGCCAGTTTTTCTCAGATGCACTCACAGTTTGCTTCATTCAGCTCGACAGTTTCATCTCCTATTGTCACTCTGATGTTCCACAGAAATACGTACTAGGCACTTTATTATTTTTACTATGCATTAACACTTTACTTCATGGCATCTCCTCTAAAATAAAATTCAACGCAGATTATTGCACTCTCTATGAAACCATCAACTCTATTGACGATCAGTACCATCTTGTGCAATCACTCATGCCTTTTTAGTGGGTGTGTAACGTGGCTAATAAACATTACTGTGTGAAAAAAGTTACGTCTTCTGCTAATTGGTGTAACCACTTCTCTTTTGATTGTTTTCAAGATGGTACCCCAACCTGACAAATGTTGAATTCCAATGGCGGAGTCGGAGCAAGTTTTTCTGCTCCTTTCAGAGCAAGTGTGTTCCAATGACAGAGTGAGAGCGAGAGTCAAATGTTCCAATGAGAGAGCCGGAGTGGATTCAGAGCGGGAGTCCCTCCGTGGAGCAGGAAAAACTGCTCCGCCGAAATCGGTGGAGTGGACCGGAACTCAGCGTGACGCATTTCCTTTAACACGTTTGCCTGCTTGGGGGCGCGGCTGGCGCGGCGCGAGTTGTGTTGATAATGGCGGACGGCATGGACGGCTCGGCTACCTCGGCAAAGCGCGCGGCAATGCTTCTGCTACTCGATAGCGACAGCTCTGAGTCGGAAAGCTCAAGTACTGACACGAGTGATTCGTCGGACAGCGACAGCGACGCTAAAGCTTGCGCTTACGAGCGGGAATTTAACAAGTTGTTCCGCATTCCCGCGAAGAGGCCCAAAGTCGTCGGTTTCATCGAGGACGTCGTTCGGCAGTACTCGGACCACGAGGTAAAGAAATAGAAAAAAGAAGGAAAGCATTATGCTCAAGGTTTAACACGTTGTGGTGTTTTCGTTTGTTTCTTTTCTTGAGCAGTTCCGGAGGCACTTTAGGCTGGCTCGACCTGTGGCCGAAAAGTTGGTCGCGGAGTTTGCTGTCTCGACAATGTGCCCTTCGAGCACACACGGAGGAGTTCAAGCGAAATCCGCGGAAACGCATGTCTTGACATTTATCTGGTTAGTTACACCTCCCCACCTTCACCCCCCCCCCCCCCCTTTCTTTTTCTTTGTACGATGCCTGCACAAGAACGCATTTGACTATGAGCCTGTTGCTTACAGTGCAGTGTGATCTGAAGCTGTTTTTTTTTTTCTTTCGTGTACCTGTAATCCCCCTGCGCAGGTACGCGGCCAACAAAACCTGCATGCGAGACGTGGCAAGCCGTTTCGACATGTCAGAAAGCACCGTGTACAGAGTTCTTCAGAGAGTAGCGCAGTTCCTGATGACGCTGGGACCATCGGTGATCAAGTTTCCCGCAGACTTGGAGAACCTCACTAGCAGTTTTGAGAAGGTTTGTTTTGATTTTATTTATTGTGAGGACCAATAATATTGGCCGGCCAAGCTATGTTGATCATATCAGAAACACGAGTGCACATTTTATTGTGGGTTATTTCAAGCTCAATTTTACGCTGAGGTGGGACTTTAAGAAAAATGTGATAGGTCGTGATGATAATACCGAGCTTCATCCAGTTGTGTTCGAAACATTCAACTTATGTCTCTCCTGCAGTCACAGTCGATTCCTTGCATGCGGATGATGCTGCATGCTTTGTCATTTCTGTTCAGATGTACGATACAATATGGATGAGGTTTGGTTTTAAATTTAAGAATTAAATTGCAATTACGTACTTCAACTCCCTTTAAGAAAAAACATATGCAGGCTTTGTTTTGTTTTCTCTCCCATTTTACCATTGTAAAAAGAGAGGTGGATAGCAAGAAAACGTGTAGTATATGGTGTGGACAGCAATGTATGTTATCTTAAATAGTTCTTAAAGTTGAATTTGGTTTGCATTTTGAATCTTTACCATAAAATATATTGTGCTGAGTCATGAAGCGTATGCTGTGATTGTGAGTTAATGGGCTTGATCACCAGCATTTCCTGTTAAAACTCCTCGCAAATGCTCATTTCTTGCTCAGGCATGGATGATATCTCTCATTAGAAGAGTACAACTTGCTTGCAGGTGTCTGGAATGCCTGCTGTTATTGGCTGTATAGATGGATCGTATGTCAAGATACAGTGCCCAGCCAACAAGGTTGCCTCCACATACTGCAACAGGCACCATTACCTTTCACTAACGCTGCAAGCCGTCTGTGACCACAAGAGGCGCTTCCTCGATGCGTTCACTGGAACCTCCAGCAAAATGCATGATTCTCATGTGTTTAGCTTATCGCCTCTTTCAAAGAACATAGCTTCAGTATGTCAGGGCCGTTATCATATATTAGGGGACGCAGCATATCCGCTGCGGGAGTACCTGTTGACACCATACAGGGATTACGGTGCAATGAATAAGCAACAAAAAAGCTTCAATTTTAAGTTTTCAGGCACACGAGTGCTCATTGAAAATGCATTCAGCACACTCAAGAAGCGCTTCAGGCAGCTCATGTACCTGGAGTTGCACACTATCCACTGGCTCAATAAGTTTATTATAAGCTGCTGTATCCTTCATAACTTGTGCATTGATTACGGTGATGAAGAGCCAGATGATGATAATGATGATGATGGAGCACCCAATGCTATTCAGTGGGAGAACTGCACAGATAACCACAGTGATAAAACTGATGAGGAGCGAGCTTTGCACAAGCTTGGCGAAATTAAGCGTGCAAAGGTATTGACCAAGCTCCTGCAAAGTGATTGTGGGAAATAACACCATAATTCTCTGTTCTGTCTGAACTGGCCCTTTAGTTCCCCACAGTAGTTTGGAGGCTGTGTGTGTGCACCAATGCGCAGCCCCCTTTATATACACAAACACATGTTTTGCACTGCACATTTTATTTCAACTAGCTAATAGTATTTTAGGCCACTGAAATTATTCATCAGTGTCTAAGCCAAGAAAGCGGCTCAAAAGCTTCATTTTTTCTTCGTGCTGTTTTGCTTTTTCTTGCCGAATGCGCTCCTTCTGCTCTTGCCTCTCTTCATGGCGCTTCCTTCTTTCATTCTCGCGTTCAGTTCGTTTTTTTTCTTTTTTTTCCTGAATTTTCCTCATTTCATCAAAGAAGTGATTCATTTCCAGTAATCTAGAAGCCGAGGGTTTCGGCTTTTTGGGCTCAGGCTCCTTCGTTGTGCTGGTAGACTCCTGGCTCCCCGATGCTTGGCTTGTCGACGATTGGCTCGTCGACGCTTGTCTGGGCGGTCTTTTTATAGAGACTATTCCAGAGCTGTCCCTGAGCTCTTCTGGCTGAAGGCTGTCATCTAGCCAGCGTATTTTGGCTATGTCATCTTCAAAAGGAACATCGCAAGGAGAATTCCCCGATTTGCTGTTATGTGCTGCAGCGCTTCTTTTTCGTCGCATGACTGTTTTGTAGCGGCTGCAGCACTGGTCACCTGTTTTAGGGACCCCGACAGCCTCTGTAATGTCGGCCGCTATTTTGGCAAACATTGCCTTTTTATTTTTAAATTTTTTCATCGGCCCTATTTGGGAAAAATACTGCTGATAGTACTCGAGCAACAGCTTTGTTTCTCCCGCCGTCCACTCACAGCCTGTACCTGAAAAAAAAAAGTGCTTGAGACATTTGTACAGACGTTACCAGTTGCACGTCACCCGACACAGTTGTTAGAGAGTTGTGGTATTCTGCTGTGTTGGTATTAATGTAGAGCTTATAGGCATATATAAGCACCAACCTGTTTTAGTTTGTCTTGATATCGATTTTTCTACTTTGAGTTTTGTCGTTACAGTGCTTGGTGTTCTTTGCACTGATCTAACTGTATATATCATGTATAATTCATTACTTGAATGCATTTGTATCCTCTCCTGCTAGGGCCTCTAAATGGGCCTGCAGTTTTCTCTAAATAAATAAATAAATGGACTCACTGCGTTGCTCGCTCATTTGGCTGTGTTCTGGCACTGTGAATGGAAAAACGAAATGCATTGTTATTCATACAGCTGGTATACATGAAGCGACATAACGACCGATTTGTGTTCTGTGACACAAGTTGCTGTACATTGAAGCACCATGTGAATTTCATGCAACTATGTATGCACTTAAGCTAAGCCATGTGAGGCTTCCTGACACAGCTTCACAAAACAGTAACTCTATGCTTGCTATGCTATCTCATCACGACACAAAATTTTGAATAACAATTTCACGTAAGCATACATGGTGGCATGCAAGTTCTTCAACAATAGCTCAACACATTGTGCACATTCTTGATTGAATTACACACTCTCATCATGATGCACAGAGTTTATGATCAGCTGACCGTTCATCAAAATGAAGCAGGATCTTTCAGGCCTGAAACAGACAGTGACACTCCAGGAAAAGCAACGTAATTTCTGTGGACTGAGACCGATTCCTAATTTGGATGTGCTCAATGTCCTGAACTTGGTAACATTGCCAACCCATTAGATAGCAGAACATACACACACGCTGCTACCTCTGCAGCTAAAATTTCCTGGGGGTTACTTTGGAGGTATCTCGCCGCAAATGCGTACCTGCCAACCTAGAGACTTCTGAAATCGGGAGATTCGCCACGGGAGCGGAGTAGGGGGCAGAAAACAATTGTTTTGGACGATCGGTCCAATTGCCCTTATACCAAACACGCTTGTCACCAACGCGGTTCGTTTCTATTCGTGTGGCTACATTCTAAAGTGATAGGAAGTCGCTTCTTACTAATGACGCCGTTCCGTGCAAGAACAGCGGCGTCGCGCGCACGTTTACTTTTTGCTGTATATTTACAGCGGTGTTTGTGCAATCAATGCGGTGAAGGTTTTCGTTCTCTACGGACACAGGGAAACGAACAACGGTATGACGCATGCGATGCGTTTCAGTGACATGATCGCATCAGCAGTAGAGCAACGTTGCAACATGAACATAGCGCGTGCAGACAATCGCTCCACCCAACACGTGTGTTGCATTCAACTTACAATTACAGCACAGTGTTGAAATTGAGGAGACACTTACCATGTTGCTCCGCATACTGTGTGGTCACCATCGCAGACATCGTTGACAATAGCTGCTGCACGCTTGGCGTGATATCCATTTCACACAGGTGAATAGCGCTGAACAAGCAAACGAACGATGCGGCGATGCTGGTAAGCCACGTGGTAAACAGACAGCGGAAAAGACCACGCGCGAGGTATCCTGGGTAACGCGGCAGCTTCCGCCTTGCTCCAGCAGGGCGGGTTGTGTTCCGATGGCGGATTTGGAGGAGTTGCTCTACGCCAGAGTCGAGTGCTCGCTCGCGGAGTCGGTCGGCTGCACCCACTCCGCCATTGGAATTCAACAAAAGTTTCACAGTATAAATATTAAGGAGTGATTCTAACTGAACACCTTTTGTGAACTATCCACATTGATAACAAAATGCGGTAATGCTCTATAAAAATTAGGTTATTCAAGCTGCAGCTTGCTTGAAGTTTATTGTTTATTGAATTTTATTGTTTTTTATTGCCTAGTATTATGTAAATTCCCATTCCTGCTATTGCCCTGAATAGGGCTGCAGTATGTACTACAAGCAAATAAAAAGAAATTTCACTTGTTTTCTCTTCATTTTTTTCCCTCCTTAATTGCCCAAATCATCACAATGTTGCAAGTCTCGTACTCTATTTCTTGGTCGACGTCATCAGTAACTGCATCGCTAGTGAAGCTGGCGCAACATGGTGAATTTGTGAGCAGCACAAATACTGTGGGAACATGCAAGTCATGATAAATGTCGTCAGTAATCATTACACCCACAGATTTATCCCTGCGCATCGATCATGCCTTGCTCATTACCATGCAAGCTCCATTGACGCAAACATCAAGGCTGCCGTCATCGTGACACCGCGTGCCGTCGATGGTCTTCGCTGAATGTCGGTAGTAGAACCGCTCTCCTCTCGGCTTGCAGTTCAGCTCACACGGATTGGCAGCTGAAAGCGAGAAACCATGGGTCAATGACGATTCAAAGGACATTCACAGGCAACACGTCAGGGAGTTTGTTAAGTACATATCAGTGCAGTGGTGGCTGCATTGATATACACTTGACAGACTTTCTGAAAAGACACTTTCTTTAGAAAAGTGATACACTGCTGCTTTGAGGTAGTAAGTTCCATGGACCAATTATGCAACAATATTGAAATCTCTCCTAGAGACAACAAATGCATAATGTAGAGAGAATGATCTAAAACTTGAAGTGTTTTACCGACTTCGGAGATTCAGTTATGGCGGCGTAATGTTTGCTCCTTCACTTGTAGTTTACCACTCTATGGTGACACCAATGCACGAGACATGGTAACTAAGTGTGTTGCTTCCAGCCACCAGGAGTGCTGTACCTCCTGAAATACTCCTGAGGGGCAAGGAGGGAAAAATAGACTTTAAGCAGGTAGAATTAACTAGAAGGAGGTTATCTGATTGGTGGCTAAAGTCAAGGCACGAGTGAAAATTAAACCCTTCACTGCAAAGTACGAATCCTCAACCTCACTATTTAAAGGAAAAAAAATAAATCTAGTTTTTGGTTTATTAAGTATTACGGCTTGGTGGCGCAAGCCACCACCCGATCTAAAGGGTACAGCCATATCCATCCATCCATCCACTAACACATAAGCCAGTTCGTTTTTACAACGAAAAGGGTAGGTCATCTTGCATAATTTCCTCTGAATCAATCGTTAATAAGGTGAACTAGATGCAAAAAAATCAATCAAGAAAGTATAGATACCATCACAATTTAAAGTGGCCTCCATTCTATCTTCCCAATTACTTAAACTGCAGCACTGACCGGCTGACAGCCACAGATAAAGAGTTTGTAACACACATTGCATCAGAAATCTGATGAAAAACCGTCCATCGGTGTTCGTAGGCAGCTGGCCATGGAGATACATTTGCTTTGGCTATAAACTACGTAGACAGACAGTTCTGTGCATTGTTATATTCCATCTAAACACAACACTGCAGTTTATGTTTATGAGAATAAATGATACTCGAAGAAGAAGAATGGATTAAAAGGCCTATTGCTTTAACACCTGACGTTTGCCCTTGTGAGAACCAATCAGTAACCTGCAAGAGAAGCAAGTTTGCTCTCCAAAAGACCGAGCGACACGAGAAAAGGAGCCAAAGACATGTGCTGCCTTACGTAATTGAAAACGAAGTAGCCCAACAATGAATTTTAGAGTCTGTACACGAACTTCTGAAATCTAGGAGTTCCACCAGAGCACTATTGCATGACGTTACAGATGTTAAATGTTACTTGTTTCTAATGTTATCGAATGTGTTAGTGTGGGCATACATGAAGGGGTATTGCTTCACTTACAATAGTGAACGCAGGTTGAAAGCCCATTGGACAAAGACTGAAAAGAAGCGAGACACACACGAGCACTGATCTATCTGATCTTTGCCTTTGTCTTATGCACTGTTACCTAGTGTTGCAGCATCTATGCAAATGTATACGGAAGCATAGTGTGGATACGGGCTAGTTGGGATTCCGTTTCACAGACTGATTATAGCGCCAGGGAAGACACTACAACGAGACGAACGAAGATGAGCGCCGACATCCAACTGAACTCTATTCTGAACAACAAGCATTTTACGAAAACCACAGCGTGCGAAAAAAATCGCAGCATGTGATAAACGCCCCCTTCCAAAACACGAAGCTAACATGAGCAAGCACTCTGTCACATGCTGTCGTATTCACACGTTGCTTGTTCTTCACAATACAGTTCAGTAGGAACTCGGCGCTTGTCTCGTACGGCGTCTTTCCTTGCGCTGTAAACACTCTATGAAACCCAGAGAGCTACCTTAGTGAACTGGATTGACCAAAAATGACTGCAGGTAACATTCCAAACGTATATGAGCTGTGCCCTCAAGCACGTCCATAGTGTTGTAGTGTTGTCCCACTCACCTTTGTAGTAAGGCACCCAGCTGTAGTAGCGTCCTTCGAAGGCTATGCTGTTGAATCGAGCGCATTGTTCTTCCCTGAAGTCTTTCGTGTGGTCTGGGCATTCCTAAATAAGAATGAAGCAAATAAGAATGGAGCAATAACGTGGCATTTTCAATACATAGTAATACGGAGACAGCGTTCGCTTGCACAGAAAGGGGTAGAGGTTAGGGAGGAAATTGTTAAGTGCACCAAGGGGTCTGTTTTCATTAATGAAAAAAAAAACACACGAAAGACCCAAGAAAAGGTACATACATACAGCGAGGGTCAAATCTTCACAGAGCATGGCTTCTGCAAGCGAGTTGAGCTTACTATCAGTTGGTGTACACAGTAAAAAGGCTAGGTTGCCCCCTTACGTTAGTATATGCTAGAAGTTTGAATACCAAACTGTAGATGCATACTAGAGGCTTTTTCAGGAATGCCAGTCTCTTCACTTTTGATAATAGATTGTGGGGTGTCACTATTGATGTTAACTTTCAGCAGGCGTGTTGAGGGAAAAACATTGATGAACCCTAACTGACAGAGTTCAGTGTATATTAATCACAATCCCAACTGCACAGCGCACTTTTTCGAAGAACAATATTGGTTATCTTTCTTGACACTTATCTGAAACACCATGACTAATGATTGGTACTGCAAAAGTATGTTGTTGCAACCAAGTCCTGACAGCAATATTATTCCTGGTACAAGTAAATAAGCCAAAATACTTGAGACTTCAGCGATACCTCGGCAATTTTGCCCAATCACAGCATCAGTGGGCAATGCCATCTTTTTAAGCAGAAATTCATAAGAAATACAGCATTTTAGTGCTTGTTGTGGTTATTTAAACACACGCATAGACATGCACTAGTACAATTCACGAGAGATGTGAAACTTTTTGCCAGATGCAATAACCATCACGTCAGCAACCTGATGATGATGACCGTTAGTATAATGGGATAAATTGATAGGCATGGAGAGCTTGGTCTTGAGCTTTCGACGGTGCAGCAAAAAAAAAATTGCAATCCTGAAACAGAGGCATCCACTCTGAAACAAGTCTGCTTGCTGTAGTACAAGCTTCCAGCTTTTCCAGTACATAGCCATATTTTAAAAGAACCTAGGTACAAGACAAGCACACACGCCTACATCACTTTTTGACTTATTTACAGTTTGCACATAACACGTTTCCTATGTAAGAACAGTACCAAATCCTGCATCGTCTCGTTCAATTGAGTAGTATTTAGTCATGGACAAATGCTATTAGCTCCCAAATATGCACGAACTATCTTATCGATAGTCGCACTGTTGCAGTGTCAATACAAAAAGCGCGACATATTAACAGGCATTGAGGAGGAGCTGCTACACCATACACTACAGAAAAATCTGCTTTTGGCAGTTTTAAAATTTGCGTTAGAGGCTTCACGAAAGTAAGCAGGTACACTACAAATTGTGTGAAAATATTACCCTGTAACAAAATGTGAATTTCGGGTGTAATAAAAACTATACGAAATATGGCAGCATGGAAATAAAAGCGCAGCCTTAGTGCTTTTGGCGTGAAAAGTGCTAAACTGAAGCAAGCATTCTCATCCTCCATTAAAAGGTCTTGTAAACAAACATTCAGAAGCCAGGTTTGACAGCTAAGAGACAGTTTCTAGCGTGTTAAATATACGGGACCTAGTCTCTACGAACTCAGAAACAAGATAAGCTAAGGTAAACTTGTGGACGGTCCAGCAAAGTACCAGAGAACATATAAAACAGCATCTGCGTTATACTTCAGCCTGATGACGTGACAGATCGCCTGATGTTTGCTTGCAAGTCTATGCTCTACAAGTTACTGTGACACTTCAATACTTGCCACTTTCCGGACTGTTTATTTGACCTAATTGATCTTTGCTACAGGACATACTTTGTGGCAAATTAACATAAACTCAAAAGAAAGGCACTTAGAAGATTTGCGTTCCTTTCAACCTGGGGCGAAATTAGTTGCCACTTGACAGCTTAAAAATTGTTCATTCCAAAAAAATTTTTTTTAACGTTAGCGATGCTGCATAACAATCGCCACTTGCCGCTGCTGTAATGTGGCAGACGAAAAGACAGAAACAATTGAGTGAAATGGTATGTCTTTAATGTTTATTTTATGACTTAAAATCTACCAGTGTACACTCACAATACAACAGTCGACAGTTCGTCACAGTACTAATCTTACCGTGCAAATATTGTATCAGTGTGATTAACATGTAAAAGCACAAAACCTAGAAATGCTATGCACATATTATGATCCCCGTATTGCTGTTCACGGCTGCAGAATATGCCATTGTGACAGGACATTTACAACCACAACCCACTAATTGACAATTTGGCAATCGTGACAAAGTTTAGTTTCGAAGTTGTAAAGCTGTTGCCTTTGCACTGCGCAAAGATTCGGCCATACACGAGTATAACGCTTTACAAATGCACAAGAAAAGAATCCAGACATATATCAAAATGTCTACATCACCAAAACTTCTGCATACAGTTTAAGTTTCATTAATTTACGAGTTGCAATATGTTTACAATGTCAAGTGTTTGCACTGCACCACCATGCACACTTGCACCAAACATCAATGCTCTCGCACATACGCTTAATCGCTCTGAACATGTTTCTTTCTCTTTTTCTTCGATGCCACAAGACCACTGTCATACTCTGAAATCTTCACCCTCTTGACAGGTGGCCTCAGCTGTTTCATACGCCTGTCAGACGGTCTGAAACGAGTGCTGCCGCGTCCAAAGCGATGCCCCGGACTGTCCTGTGCTGGATGTGCTGCCCACTGTGCGCCGAGTGTGCTCGGAGTCTCCCTCAGACAATACGCCTTGGCGAGGTGACCCAGATGCAAGGCCTTAAACGACACCACATGCCTCATGGCGCGTGGGTAAGATGCGTACGAACGGATGTGACTCAAAAAGCCCTTCTTCGCCATTTCCTGCAGAGCCGTCTCCTTGTAAACCTCGCTTTCAAAGATGAGCTGAAGTGCAGTCACAAAGTCCTCCATCGTCCTCAGCTTTTGTCCCGGATCAGTCCTTGCCTCGAGAATGTGAGACTTGATAGTGAACACCTTAGACAATATGTCTTTGAGATCCATCTGGTCCAGCTGAATGTTGCGCTGTGCAAGGACATCTAGGAAGCCGACCTCTGAGGGAAATAGCAGGAGAACGACTTTTCCCTTGGCACCGATGCGAGCAGTCCTTCCGGCACGGTGGACGTACTCTTCGGGGCGCAGGGGCACACAACACTGGACAATAAGGTCCACCTGAGGAACGTCTATGCCCCTCGATGCCACGTCGGTTGTGAAGAGAATGCCAGATGTTGCTTCTCGGAAACGGTTGAACACTTCAGCACGGTCGTGCTGCGTCATTTCACCATGTAGCCGGACGAAGTCAATCCGCTTGTCTGTGTCTTCAAGCATTACGCCCAGGACCGAGGAGAAGAGGGCGTGCTCGAAGTCAACGGTGTCCTGAGTGGCCAGGAACACGATGACCTTGCCCCGTTCGGCTGCTACGCAAGCTTCAAGAAGAAGGCAGCAGAGGGTCATCTGGGACAGCTTGACTGGGACCTGGAGGTAGTACTGGCTCAGGCCTGGTGGCAGGACAAATTCTTCGAGTTCATTGGCGCCCGACTCAACGGCTACGTCAACGGTCATTGGATCTTCGAGCGTCAGGCCAGCCAGCTTCTCCACACCTTTTGTCAGTGTTGCCGACAGGAGTACACTGGTCCCTTCGACTCGTATTTGCTCCTTCCAGAGTGTGACTATCTTTGAGATCGACTCTTCGAAGCCGAGTTCGAGCATTCTGTCGGCCTCGTCTATGACTAGCCACGAGGCGTTGGCGAGTGAGAACGACTCAGTGTGTTCCAGGTGGTCCATGAGCCTGCCTGGAGTGCCTATTACAATGGATAGCCCCTTGCGGAGTCGCGCCTTCTCGGACTTCTTCTTCTCCCCACCCATCAGAACACCCGGAACAACCCAGGTGCAAGCCTTGCTAAGCTTCTCGAACCACTCGTACGTCTGCAGCGCCAACTCCCGGGTAGGCACGATAACCACGGCTCTGACACCATCGGCGCGCGTCAACTTGGGTCGTATCTCCTGTAGACAGTGGAGAATGGGCAGCGCGTACGCCAGCGTCTTACCGGAGCCCGTGTGCGACTTGATCAGGGTGTCGCGGCGGCCGAGGAGCGCCGGAATGGCTAGCTTCTGCACCTCGGTAGCGGTCGTGATCTGGAACCGATCGCGGAGGCAAGCGACGAGGTGCGGGTGAACGCCGAACTCCGAGAACTGCGACGACGAGAAGACAGGCTCCTTTTTGGCTTCGACGGCGGTTGGCGTCGTCTGCTGTTGCTCTTCGAGCGAGCCCTGCACGCCGAACAACGAATGAGTGAAGTTCTTTCTCTGTTTCTGCGGCAAAGGAGGCCGCTCGCCTTCGGCCCTCTTCGCGTCACCGCCGGAGTTGCGTTCCGAGTCGTCATCACGACTTCGCCCAACGGCGAATCGCTCACCACCGAACTTGAACGTGACTTTTTCCGGTTTCGCTGACGACCCCTGGGTCGGTGCATGCTTTCTTTTAACAGCTCCAGGCGTCGGTGTAGCTTTTCTGGCGTCGCCTCCGCGAAATGTTGCCGCGTTGTTAGAAGCAGCTGGCAAACGTTTCTTCCGAGGCTGGAACTCGGTGTTGAGGTTGAGAACGAGATCACCACTGCCTTCCATGGTCAGCCACGTGAGCTTGCGTGCGAATGCTTGAACGGCTTCTTCGCGGTTTACCACGCGACCTGAAAGCAAGTGCAACGCTCTCCAAGCTTCATGTTGGTTCGCAAAGGTTGCTAACACTTCTAAGCCTATTGCATGCTGAACACATGACGCGAAAAACGTTCCGCGTTACGAACACGCTTTCGCCAGAAAAAACGGTGCCGCCGCAAAAGCACGCAGCGAGCGAAAGCACCGGTAGAGAAAGCAAGGCTTAACACAAGCTCGCTTATTAAGCGTTGCTTCACTTCTTTACAGAGGGCGCAAGCAACGCACTCACAATTTTTTGAAATTATTTTTACTCGCTAAGAGATGGCGCTACCAAACTAATACTCAGGTTTGTTTGAGAAGTTTTACTCGCTTCGTTCCTCCAGTTACCTAGTAATAAGCGCGTTATACAAAATTTATTGGCAGTGATGTGTTGTTCACGTCACCGCTTTAGAACGCAATCACGACTGTCGTATTCTACTCTTCTGCTTGATTCGGCACCTGGAAATTTAATACGCTAGCTTCATGCCACCCTACGTGGGCAAGTAATAGTGAAGTCAGCGATTCTGCCTTCGAAGAGAATTACTCTGTGAACGTTGATACACTTCGAAGGCACATTCGATTGTTTCATTGTTACAGTACTTGTCAAAAGCAAATATGATTCACTTCAACAATTGCCGAACCCATTCGAGCGAAAACCGTTGCGTTTGAGATATATGAGCGAATTGTGGTAACTGATCGAAATGGTAGTCGTAACTTTCATTAGATAGATAGATAGATAGATAGATAGATAGATAGATAGATAGATAGATAGATAGATAGATAGATAGATAGATAGATAGATAGATAGATAGATAGATAGATAGATAGATAGATAGATAGATAGATAGATAGATAGATAGATAGATAGATAGATAGATAGATAGATAGATAGATAGATAGATAGATAGATAGATAGATAGATAGATAGATAGATAGATAGATAGATAGATAGATAGATAGATAGATAGATAGATAGATAGATAGATAGATAGATAGATAGATAGATAGATAGATAGATAGATAGATAGATAGATAGATAGATAGATAGATAGATAGATAGATAGATTAAAATGACGCCACATAAGAAATGACATCCCAACAAGAGTGGATAATCCTGACCGTATTCAACTAGTCAAGAAAACACGTAGCAATTTTTATGCTTACTTATCCTGTGGCTAAATTCACTCAAGGCTGAATACTGACAAAAGGAAAAAAAATAGCGAAAGGGGAAGTTGACTAACTTTCACAAGCTATTGTTGCACTCCCAGCAAACTTCACGAGCGTCAGCCATTCCCCACAACATTCCTGCCCAAGATGGCAACGAACTCTAGGAGAGAAATATAACCCTAGCAGACGACGCCCAACGGCGTGAGTAGCCACACTTCTGCGGCTTGTACCGCGGGAGCGGTCGTCTGCCAATCATGGCTTCAAGACATACTCCTTTTCACGCACACGCATCTGCTTTGCATTGCAGAAGAGCAACTCCATAACTCGTTCTTTCGTTTATTTATTCTTTTCGCACTTATATCTGCAACTGAACACCCCACACGCGCGAGGCAAAGCGATAAGACGCGGTCACACCCTCGTGTTATACATATTTGATAACACATGTGTACGCTCTTCATTCTGCCTCCTTTCGCCTACGCTCACTTGCTTTGCATCAAGTTGAATCGACGAGGCTGCTGCAGTCCGGAAGTCGCAGATCAAGCCAACACGTTGTATACGTAAGCAGACCCTGCAGCGTTCTTTTGTCGTTCATCAAGTCGAGTCAACAACACGCGTGGCGCTGTATTTATGAGGGCGCCTTTACTATGCGGACAACACGGCGTCGCGGAAGTTAGGGAAGCTTCAACGGTGTTTTTTGTATAAGTTAAAATAGGGCCAAGTCGTACTCGCGAACTGCTGCAGGTCGACTACCACGTGGCAGTTTCCTTGGACAATTAGTGCCGAAGTTTCGGGCCATGTTTACGAATTCACCATTTGTCGGCTACGATTGGTCCGTGGGGCTTCTACAGCCTCTCCGATTGGTTCAGACTGCCGCCATTGTAAAATTTGACAATATGGCGAAAAATCGGCAACGTCTGCGGAATAGGTCGTCGTGATGTGGCCAGCTGTACCACGGGGGGGGGGGGGGGGGGGGGGAGGGTCTGGAGCTTCTACCTAACCCCCTTCAACAAAATTTTCGCGTGTCCCCCTCTGCCCCCCCCCCTCCACCAGAGCAAACGTAGTCACAACAGAATGCATGGGATACCCATCTTTCTGCCCCCTTGGACGAACTCACTCATTGTGGGTGCCCCACCAAAGATATATCTGCTTGTTACACTGCAAATGTCGTCGAAAGACGATAGTCTTGCGTCTGGAGAGAGGGAACAAAACGTTTATTTGATGTTCTGCGCAAGAAAATCGGTGAATGGCGTTATGGAGGCGCTGCGTCAGAGTGCCTCGAGTGTGCAGCGGAAGCGAACGAGCGCATCAAGTTACGTCACACGCGAGACATGAGCGCTATCTGGCAGTCATCCTGAAAAACGAAGTGCACGGCGTGCGCGCCCGTCTTGGAGGCGAGAAGGCGTAGAACGCAAGGCGGCGGGTAAATTCGGCCACCGTGTCCTCTTAGCAAAGCGTTGGAAACGCTTGCCTTTTCGTGCAAGCGTTGCATTATCAGCGCAGCGTGATAAACACTACGGTTCTTATAATTACTTATGTATGCCTTTTCTAGTATAAAGGCGCTCATACAGAATATTGACGTGTTGTCATGGTGCCTCAGATATGCACAATGATCGCTTTTTAATTGGAAATCACACAAACATGAACGCAAATTCTTTAGCAATACTGGTGGGCGCTGCGGATGGAATCCGCCATTAGGGGTATCGTTTGGTGTCGTTTGGGGCACCGTTAAAAGCGTATAAACAGACAACTGTACAGACAGGCAGACCAAAATCTTTGCGTCGAAGGTCCCCAAGAAAGACTATCGTCTTTAAAAATCGCGGCGCTGCCCCTGCTGTACAACGGAAACAAGTACTGCCAGATGAGCCGGGTCTAAGTTTTCGATAGCGAGCTCTGGCATGGCTTATCCCACATAGTATTTATTGAGTCTATATATCTATATTAAATTGTTCCCCCTTAGTATGTTCTTAGTAAAGACGCGACTGAGTGCCATATGTATTATTTCTTGTGACGAACTGCCGCGAAATATTACTGCGGCTAGCACTGTAAACAATTAACTGACTGATGTCAGCCTTCTGTTCATCGGTAAAGAAGATACTTATTGAGACAAAGGATTATTCGACCTCGAGAACTCTCGTTGGGTAAAAATGGTGGCTTTATGGGCACCGTGTTTTTTTTTTATTTCTTTAAGCTATACAGGAGCCAAGCACCATGCATTTACGTAGTGAAATAGTTATATAAAATTTGTGAAAGGGTAAACAAATCACAGGAGACATTGTTACGCGAAAATTCTACAAACTGTGTAGGTAATCTTTGCACTTCACAAAAAGGTGATTCGATTTCTTGTGAAGGTGGTTCGCAATATGTATCTATAGGAAGCACTCGTGCATGGAGGTTAAACCTACATGCATTTTACACGTCCCTGTTTCAACTTGTTTCTTTTCCTCCGTACTTTTGCCGCGTTTTATAAAACGTTTAATGGTGAACACTTGCCCGTGTTCATCGATCTTGTTGTAACATAACGAAGACGATATGTTGTAATCGGAATAACTTACCTCGACGTTGCAGGAGAAGTACCTCTTAGATGGACCGACGCAGCCGTGGGATCCGTCGGCTCTGAAATATGAGATAAAAAAGGAGATGGCACGGTCGACATTTAGTCAATGCGCCGGAAGGTCGGGCGAAATCATGAACTGTACTTTTCGTACGGACAGCGTCTCAGCATGAGTAATATTTTTTTTTCTTCCCGCTTAAAGTTATCTTCTTGGATGCGTGATTTACAATAGAGCTTGGTTATCCATGATCGAGATTCGCCGTGTGTCGTAGACAGGAATTGATCCTCATCATTAACCAGCGCGAACTCAGTTACAGCGCAGTAGAATATAAGCTCAATCACCACCCAAGCACACTGTACAGATCGTTAAGCATGCACTTCATGCGAACTTTCTAAATACGTCAGTATAGTCATTTAATACTATTATTATTATTATTATTATTATTATTATTATTATTAGTAGTAGTAGTAGTAGTAGTAGTAGTAGTATTCTAGTGCTATTATTATTCTGTGCTATAAGTAGCTATGTTCTGCGCTATGTTTCTTTGTATAGTTCAATCATATGTTTTTTTGCTTTTTTTCTATTTTAAACATTGTATCCAGGTTGATGTCCTTTGTCGCTGTGTTACCGCTTGCGCAAGTATGTAGGTATGTCACACAATTGGTCCCACTACTAGCCAGTTAGGCTATGGGACCAAACAAGTGTTTGCGAAGTTTTTGTTACATGGATGTGAAAGTTACAATAAAAAAAAAACGAAGAAATTAAACGAGCGGCCCCTCGTGGGTGTTTGCCGCCCGTGCGTTCATGTTGCATCACGTACATGCTCTTGACTAAATACTCTGTCCTAAGCTTTGAGGTGGTGTTATAACCACCAGCCTTTTATAACTTGAAAGTATCGCCTGGCAGTGCTGCGATTACTGTAACGCGCACAGTCATTTCTCAGGCTTACCGCTGCCGTCTTCCTTTTTTTTAGGGGAAGTTGCGTGGAGTGGCGTTGGCCCAGTTTCCGCGGCACACACGCGTCGTTTATGATGATGATAGTATTTCGATAGACCGTGCATATTTCGGTGACACGTATTCCTTTGTTGGGCTAACATTATTGCCCTAATTTGTAAAGGACAAGTGAAGAGTAGGGGGGATTCACTAATTTCCTGTGGCGCGAGCCCGTTTGTGATGCCCACAAGCGTACAACCACGAATTTCGGACATGAAAGGCACGACCAACGACAGATCCGCTGTTGAAAGAAAGGTACAGTACCTATGCGGTTGTGATGATGACAAAACAGAAGAGAAAGAAAGAAAGAAAGAAAGAAAGAAAGAAAGAAAGAAAGAAAGAAAGAAAGAAAGAAAGAAAGAAAGAAAGAAAGAAAGAAAGAAAGAAAGAAAGAAACTGGTTTTACAGAGCTTAAAAGCAGCGCACATCTACTCCCTTGCAAGCTTGCAAGTTTGCTTTATTTCTCTTCTGGCGTTAGCGGTGAGCCGCCAAGAGTGATGCGGTTGCCGGTGGCGCCCCGTCACGGCGGGGGCACGAAATGCGCGGCCAGCATGCGCAACAACAAAAGCGCACGCTGCGAGGGAAAGTCCGTGAAAGTGAGATAACAGATAGCTCGAGCTCTTTTTTTTCTTCTTCCATACCCTCCCTCACTGGCCTGTCTTCTTACATGCGTATTTATATGCGCGAACGCACGCGGAAATAAAAACCTAAAGTCCTGTGGAGGCCGAATACGGGCGTCCCAGCAGAGGAGCATCCTCTGCTTTCGTTGAGTTGGCTGCCGAAAAAGTGTGGCAGATCGGTCACGATTTCTGTTCCTAGGAGCGGACCACGTTTGGTTGAAAGCGATATGTGAAGCGTCAGATTTCTCCTTGCCAATAAGCGTAACCGGATGGGAGCTTCCCCATATCTTTACACTTTGCATGTGTGTTAAGGCGCATACGTACAAACACAAGCGCAAACCTATACTTGGGGAAGGAGCAGGGTCGGACCCGCCGACCCAGAAAATTTTCTCGCTCCGCCGCAGGTTATTGCTAGTCAATAGTGTAGTGATGTTTTGCTGTATTGCTTCACCGTAGCGTCGTGGACAAACATCAATAACAACGCCAACGTTACTAACGCCACAAACAGATGGTGCAATATGAAGTACTCCTTGATGATGTTGATGATGGTGATCATCATGAATATCATTTAATGGTGCCATTGAATTGTACGGTCTCGAATTTGCCTATATCTGAAGAAGGAACGACAGAAACTGATACGCAAGAAGCCAATCAATGAGCTAGCACTGAGAGGGCGAGTACAGGAATTCAGAGTCTCGTTTCAGAACAGGTACTCTGTTCTCATCGAGGAAACCAGCCTTAGAGTCGATGCAATAAATGATAATCTGACGGGGATCATTACGGAGTGTGCAGTGGAAGTTGGATGTGCGGTACTTAGACGGCACAGGTAAGCTGTCCCAGGATACGAAGAACCTCATTAAGAAGCGTCATAACATGAAAGTCTCATATACAACAGACAAAATAGAATCGGCAGAGCTGACGCAATTAATAATTGTAAAGTATCCGATGTAAGAACGTATAACATGGAGAAAATTGAACACGCTCTGAAGAACGGAGGAAGTGTCAAAGCAGTGAAGAGGAAACTTGGGATAGGCAAAAATCAGATGTATGCACTAAGGGACAACAAAGGCAAAGTAACTACCAATAGGGGTAGGATAGTTGAAATAGCAGAGGAGTTTTACAGAGATCTGTACGGTAGCCGGGACAACCACGACCTTACTATAAGAACTAGCAGTAACCCAGAAGGCACCCCACCAGTAATGATAGAAGAAGTCAGAAACGCATTGGAGAGCATGCAAAGAGGCAAAGCTGCAAGTGCACGAGGATTAAGTAACATGAGATCTGCTGAAAGATGTAGGACAGATTGTGTTGGAAAAACTAGTACCAGAATCTTGGAAAAATGCTAACATCATCTTAATACATAAAGAAGGAGATGACAAGGACTTGAAGAATTACAGGCCGATCAGCTTGCTCTCCTTCGTATACAAGCTATTTAAAAAGGTAATTGCTAACAGAGTGAAGAAAACATTAGAATTCAATCAACCGAAGGAACATGGAGTATTTCGAACAGGGTACTCAACAATAGACTGCATTCATGCTATCAATCGGGTAATGGGGAAATGCTCAGAATACAGCCAACCACTATACATAGCCTTCATAGATTACGAGAAGGCGTTTGATTCAGTAGAAATACCTGCAGTCATGCAGACACTGCCGAATCAGGGTGTCGACGAAGCATATATAAACAACCGGGAAGAAATCTACAGGGGATTAACTGCTATCATAGTGCTTCACAAAGAAAGCGACATAATGCCAATAAAGAAGGGTGTAAGGCAGGGGGATACAATCTCGCCAATGCTATAACACCGCATGCTTACATGAGGTTTTCAGGGGCCTAGAAAGGGAAGAGAGAGGCATGAGAGTTAATGGAGAGTACCTTAGTAACCTGCGGTTTGCCGATGACATTGCATTGCTGAGTAACTCCGGGGACGAATTGCAACTTATGATTATGGAGTTAGACAATGAGAGCAGAAAGGTAGGTCTTATTCTGCAGAAAACTAAAATAATGTACAACAACCTCCGAAGAGAACAGCGCTTCGAAGTAGGTAATAGTGCACTTGAAGTTGTAAAATGCTATGTACACTTAAGACAGGTATTAACCACGGAGCCGAACCACGAGATTGAAGTAACTGGAAGAATAAGAATGGGGTGGAACACACTTGGCAAGCACTCTCAAATCATGACAAGTATATTGCCACTGTCCCTCAAGAGGAAGATATATAACAGCTGCATTTTGCCGGTACTTAGCTTCGGGGCAGAAACCTGGAGACTTACAAAGAGGGTTCAGCTTAAATTGAGGACGACGCAGCGAGCAATGGAAATGAAAATGGTAGGTGTAACCCGAAGAGACAAAAAGAGAGCAGAGTGAATCAGGGAACAAACCGGGGTTAAATATATCAAAGTTGAAAGCAAGAAGATGAAATGGACATCGGCTGGGCATGTAGCGCATAGACAGGATAACTGCTGGTCATTAAGGGTAACTAACTCAATTCACAAAGAAGGCAAGCGGGTTGGGGGGGGGGGGGGGGGTACAGAAAGTTGTGTGGGCAGATGAGATCAAAAAGTTTGCGGGCATAAAATGGCGGCAGCAAGAACAGGACCGAGTTGACTGGCGGAACATGGGAGAGGCCTTTGTCCTGCAGTGGACGTAGTCAGGCAGATGATGATGGTGATGACATGCTTTAGCCTGCACTGTCGACAGTCGCACATCGTTCTTGCCACCTTCGACAAATGTGTGTGCAGTGCATAAAGGATGCCCCAGCTAACCTTAGCGGTTAAAAAGCTATCGACGCACTCTAAAACAACGCGATCAAATGCATGATACCCACTATTTCAAAGCGTAAGTGACACTTCATTTCTTTGTTTCTGTTTAATTGACTAAATAGGCATGTTTAACTATATTTTGGAGCAACAGAGCCATAGCTAAAAATCCTATGGAGAAAAATTGCAGATACGTTTGAAATATACCCGATTAAACAGCTTCTAACTATATATCTGTTAATCATTGCTATTTTTCAGTTTTCTACATATGCCCACTAAATACTAAAATACCACGTTATCTCACTCACTGCTAATAGGCAATGGGAGACAGAAGACTGCGATAGGACACATAGACCTGTAATCCGCTTTTAGTTAACACACACGCTGCGAATTTTTATTGTTCATTGTTAGCAACTCACAGGAAAAATTTCTTATCGGCACTACTTTGGAGGTCAAGCAAGATCCACTGCCTATGTACGGGTGGCAAGTGAACGGTTGTGCAGTGCGAGCAGTCATTTTCTTCCTTTTTTTTTCAATCAAGAAACTCGCTAGCAGACGCTGCCTGCGTCGGCGTTGCGAGGTGAGAGAAGGGAGCGAAGGAGAGAGTAGAGAGGGGTGGGGACGCGCATGCGAAGTGGGGCAACGCCTACTAAATTTCAATTTAGTCGGCGTTGAGTCGGGGCGTAAACGCTCCAGAGAGGGATACCTAAAAAAGAGCGAGAGAGGGGGAGCGAGAAGACTCTGCCTGCGTCGGCGTTCCGAGGTGAGAGAGTGCGACGGGCGCGCATGCACTGTAAGGGTTGTCACGCCGCACACAAGATTGAGCTCGACCATAAGACGCTTCGCATCTAAAAGACTGATACTATAACAGATATTAAGTTGAAAACAGCCTAATCAGACGTTTCGCAAGCTTATCTACAACCTTAACATTTAAAATTATCCCCCAGCTTCGTTGCTTCAGAAGTTGGCTAGTTAAATGTGCCTAATAGGCAATTAAAAAGAAAGCAAAATATAGTACAACTTTTACCGTGGAATGGTAGTTGACATTCTTTTGGTTGCATCGTCATAGATTTCGTTGCTTTATTTTAAACTCTTGCCAGAGATAGCTAAAACGCCATGTATACTGAAATACGTGTGTGCGTAACTGAGTAGCTCAATTTGTCTTTGACTAAGACTAAGCCAACAGACGATGTTAGTCTCCCCTTCAATCATACTGCTTGGAAAAATTGTCGAAACCAAGCCGATCCGAAACCTCAAGACAGTGCCGACGGTTGTTGGCATGGAATGGGTGGTTGATCTGCCGAAATAGTCTAAAAAATTTTTTAACATCGTGAACGCAGCGTAAAAGCGACACGGACAAGGAAAAGAAGTTGTAGGTTATTACGTTGCAGAACTGTTACTGACTTGCCCCATTGTCGTTTATTCGTGAAAGCCTCAGATTAACGCACGATCAAGCCAGTTGAGAGGCCACCTCACACAAAGATGCAAGTTTTATTAAACAATGAGCTGAGAAAATCCCTATCCCCCCTAGAAATATTGTGTTCAGATTGCACTAGTGGTAAAAGGCTGGAACCAACAGTGGGGATTGCGATCACTTAGTCTTTTCCAGCTTTTACGTGGCTGAGTGAAACAGTGTTACTAGGCGGTAGCCATTCATTTGCGAAGTACCCCTTGACCAGACGAAACGCATGCTTGATGCGCTCGGACACCGTTTTGAGCCTAAGTACTCTGGCTGAATTAGACTTGGTCTAATTACACATTGCCTTAAGTAGAATTGTCTGTGCTTATCTTTGCATCACTCGGTGACGTGATAGCTAAGCGCAGTTTTCTTGTCCCCGACACACGGCCTAAAGAAAAGCTTAACCAGCTAAAGAAATTGAACCTTTATTCACGTAAAATACGAAGTCTTACGCATGCGGTCTGTGCAGTGACATGTACCTGAAGTCCTCGCAGACTCTGGTCTGGAAGGCGACTCCTCCTCCGCAGGTCCTCGAGCAGGAACTGCTGGCGGTCCAGGGACCCCACGGACCAGACTCCTGGTATGAGCCCGAGTTCAGGCCCAGTGTCACGTTTTGCTGAAAGTGGTGCAGGTGCTGGTGTTGCCGCCTCTGACGACCATGGCGAATGAGCTACGTATGCGAAAGAACAAGAACATGCGCAGTTATCGTAACATTTCTCAATTGCCATAGGCCATAATACAAGCGAGACAGTAGTTCCGGTAAAGGTGGATGATTGAAGATATTTAAATATCCTTGAAGAGAAAATGTTATTACAGTCAACATTTCTACCAGAGGACTTCTCTTTATCAAGTTGCTGCTCTGATGAAAACAAGTCAAGAAAGGGTGCGAACCGTACAGGACAATAGGGCAGAAGGAACAAGCATTGATAGGCCTATGACCGAAGAACCCGGCATATTCTGTCTGCGTGTCCTTTCAGCGGTGTTGTTGAATTGTACGATGGGAACACATTCGGGCATCTTAAGCGCAACGCAGTGAAAAGAAGCTTTTTACAAATAATGGGGGAGAGAAAGAGAAGTACGGTAGATCAGTGCCCAATGCACTGGAAAAGAACGGCACTAGAGTACTTATTTGAGCCAGTTAGGAACAAATGGGACAGAGGCGGACCGCGTTTAATGCGTCCCCGTCTTGTCCTACGGTTCAGGCTGTCTCTCGTTTACTACAGACTTGTAAAAACTGGCCCAAGTAAGCAATCTAGTGATGACCGATCCACTTGTAAAAATCTTAGCTCAAGCGACGTTTCCTGTTCAGGAAATTATTCATCTGAGGCGGTGTAACCTGCATATGTGGCCTTACGTGTGTGGCCACAGCAATCTACCACACAGCCACGCCAATGTCTCCGCACGTCAATCGTCACAATAAACTACAGGTTTTCCCGCTCACTTTAATGCAAGTGCCAGCTTAAATAATCTGCACGCAATTGGAATAATAGTCCATGTGCTAAACATTCAATCCAAGCGCCAACATATTTAACCCAAGCGCCAACTCAATGAGGCCGTGTGACAGTGAGTTTAATACAAGTGCCACCGTGTTTAATCCAATTGCCAATGACTTTAATTCAGATGCCAGTCAGTTTATCCATGCACCAAAAACACATAGTTGGCAACATTATATAGTATAAATGTCAGAATAATGTAATTGTGAAGTCACATGAAGGTCTTTTCCCTTGCCTATCCATGCTAGCACTTATGAAATGAAGTGCGAAGTGCTATTACCCACTAACATTTTGGTGTCATAGCTTCAAAAAAAAAAAAACAGTGTGTATTAATTGCATTTACGGGTACTAAATGTATTTGCTCATAGAGTTCATGTTAGTCTATGCTTTATCGCTACTGAATTATTCCGGCTAATCATGTACACCATCGCATATGCATTGATTCATGTCGTTTGTTCAGCAGACGGCATTTGGCTACTTATTCGCTGAGGCATTCGCAGTCGTGTGCCCAGCCCGGTGAGAAATCGGTGACCGACAGATGATATTCATTCGTTCTTGAAATCATAAATAACCATTTAAAAATTAACTTGCATTTATTTAGGTTCATGTATAATTGTCTTATAAAAGCATCAACAGAGATACTCTTATTTTCATGTAAAAGACGAAGCTAGTGTTGCTGAAGCGTGTTTGCTTGAAAGCCGCGTTCATCCAATACATGACTTATGATGATGATGATGATGATGATGATGATGATAAAATAAACATGTTCCGAAACGGTGTTCTTGAGCTTGAATGAAAAGATAACAGCTAATATGAATGTAAAATATGACTTCTGTTTTCTTCATCAAGATCATGAGTTTACGTATTTTGTGCACTGCAGGACGAAAACCTCTTATAATTATCTCTAATTCGTTTTGCCGTGTGAGGGCTCCCTATTTTATTGAGGACGCACCTGCTTTTAACTCATCACTGCCCACAGTCAAGTTTTCCATATCTTGGTATGCATTCCGGCACTACAATAACGATATTATGTCTTTCG